AAAAAAAAAAAAAAAAGCCACTGGAATATAACATGTAACGCTGCATGCTTGTGATGAGAAGACTGATCAGAGAATCCCTGTGAAAAATGTGAACAACTTGTATTTAGAACAAAGCATTCTTGGAGTTAGAACCTACTTTTCTCTTTGTTGGCAACAAAACTTTATTTAATGTTTTTCTAATTTCATGTATATTTATCTCAAGAAATTGCTCCTTCCTTTGTCTTTTACAAGAGTATATCAATATTCTAACTCAGTATGAGCTTATTCAGCTGCACATTTCTGGGGCATTGATTATACTGGGGTAATCAAAGCTGCTGATACAAAAGGGGAATTTTTGGTAGTGTAAGAAAACTGAAGAGTTTGAATTAGAAATATTTTGGGCTGTCAGATTCACATAATTGCCATTGTACTTAATAGAAAACTAGTCTGTTGTACCCCAAAAAACACAGAGCCATTGCTCAGTGGATGGATAACGGTGAAGACAGAATCCACATCCCCCTTACAACACTGAATGACAACTCCACAAGCACATGTGTAGGAATCAGAAGGTGGAGGGGAAGAGTGGGACAATGAGGCAGGATCAAGCATTCTGTACTTCACATAAGGAGGCCTTAATTATCAGATTTCGCATGTTGGAGTTTGTCTTAGCAGCAGGAAAATGGATTAAGTCAAACGGAATATCCAAACGGGATTGGATATTTACAGGAAAACACTATAAAACTGGTACAAGTGATGATCAAGTTATGGCAATTTCCACTAGCTGATGGGCTAGCTCAAGTTGCCTAGCTTATGCTTTCTGCTTTCTGATCAATCCATAATTGTCTTAAGAACGTTTTCCCCAAAAGATAATAAGTTGGGAGAGTTTATATAGATATATACACATATATATACATGTATACAAAGTTACATTTAAAAAAACCTATTATCTTATTTCTCTCTCCAAAATCTGTGTTAAAAAAATCCTTATAAATCCACAGGGTAATGAATCACTAACCAATACAATGAGAAGGGCCAATAAGCAATATTACCAAGAGAAGAAATAATTCTTGACCTTACAGTTCTTTCTAGTGCTCTCTGAGATCAGAACCCTCCCTCTCATTAATTAGCAAAATTAATGATCCAGCTTATGAATTGTGGTTTGAAAAGAACAGAGATTAAAGCAGCAATACTTATTAGCAAAGAAAACTAAGAGTTGGAATAAGCTGATTTTATAGACTTGTTTTCTAAATGGGAAACATTATTAAATCATCACTATAAAATTAACCAATTCACTATTATGACACCAAGTACCACAAAAAGGAAAAACAGTTTGATGTCCTATTAGCTAAATAAAGGTCAGTAGGGGTATGAAGACAAAAAGAAAATCAATTTGTAAGAGCAAATACAAGTTGGAAGATAAGGAGAAAACCATATAATCAAGGGGTTACACTTAACTTAAAGAAATTTCAGAGATAATCATAAAGAAAAAATATATTAAAATTGGAGGATCTATTTAGTAATATCCTATAACATTCAGTAATAAATAATTACTGCTTTTATTTAGGCATTTCACATTTTCACATACAGAATTTAGACAAGTGACCTCAACTTGGTATTTAAACTATACAAGTCTGAAATATGCTGTAGCTCAGAAATAAAATCACTCATCTACCCTTAACTTTGACTCAAGGGGAACATTACTGAGAAAGTCACAACAAGGTGGCATCCTTAATATATAATAATGACACATTCAGGAAATGCACCATTATTTATATATGTGACGTGCTGTAAATTGCTTCCATCATCAAAACTAATTGTAGTGATTATTAATGCAGTGTTATGAACTGTCAGAATTGCTGTTTGTAATTACATTTGTGCAAATGCTTCATTACCTGCCTAATGAATTTGGCATATATGCACATGTAAACCCCTGTTTTTGTTAACATAATGAAGGGCATTTTTTTCCCCTTTAGCTACTGATGTGGAACTGGTTTGACCTATATTACAAAGTTCAAGCATTCACTGCCAGAAAAAATCCCACGGCCCCCACCCCCTTTGATCTGGTTTATTTTCATACTCAACAAGAGCATCATATAATGCCAGCTATTTAAATAACAGTTCCAGAGAAAGGATTATGTCCCCTTTATTCAGTATAAACAGCTGATTGAGTTGAAATGACCTTGGCGTGTGGTTACCTGACCACTACTTCTTACCTTCACATGGGCCTCCAAATAGTTGTAGAGGACAGTGACACAGACGTGGAGATCTCTGGTGCTGAACTGCTACCTTCCATTCCAGCCCTGAGGGCCAAACTTCAGTCTCCCAACAACGCAACTGTGAAAATTGCACAGAAGATAAAGGATGCTTTTAAATTTCAGTTTTCTGGTACACAGCTCAAGGGTATCCTGTCAAAGAAAAAAGGAATAACATGCAGTAACAACTGGCAGTGTTATCGACAGCTGTGCCTGCCTCAGCAGCTGAAAGGGAGCACTCACAAGCCTGGGGTTGGAAGGAGAGTAAGAAACAGGTTTCTTAATGATCAGAGACTATTGGGCAGTATTTTTTGCAGTAATTTCCAGATGCACAAGTGTTGATAGTGACATTTTTATTTCCAAATCTCCCCTAGGAAAGAACTGTTGTGCTACTGAAACCAACAAAAATAGAGTCTTAACTAGAACTCTATAAATATTACTCAGACAACCACTAACTACAGTTTCATAGCATAAATCATCCATAGACTTTATCCCAAGCAGAAGATGTACCAGTTTAACACTTACTAAAAAAGCCTTCAAAGTCCTTCAAATTTTAGTTTCCCAAAAATCATGTTTGAAATTGAAGTTTAATATATTTTTTTTGCCTCCACTGCTTGTAGTGTTAGTAGAGAATTTTGGCAAGATAAGATTCAGCACAGGGTTTCAGCTGGTTTTTAAAATATTTGGCATTGCCTATAAAAACTGCAGAAAATAATCCTTAATTCTCTGACATATATTCTGTCTTTTACTTTAAGAAGTAATGGACATAAAATTACTTTTGATACCCGTGAAAACACAGATGTGTGGAATAAACTTCAGAAGGATAAACTCTTGGCTTTCAAAAGGAAATAAACAACTGAACTAAACAACAGGCAGCAGAGTCTGGGGAAAGGTGAAGGATTTTATGTCTGACAAAAAAAACCTCCTTAAGTCAGAATGCTGAGTTTAACCATGAAAAATGCAACACAAGTTTCTACCCTGAATAAAACCAGGAACCTTGATATAACAACAAAATAAACATTCAATATATCAGGTGTCTGAATTTGAGAAATTAAGACTGACAGAAGAGTTAAATACGATACCAAAAAAATTTAAGTCAGTCTCTATTCTGCTAGTTTACCAACCACTGTGCCAACTGCTTTTGCAGGACCTGAAGCCAAAGTAATTTTTAAAGTATTTCCCAGATCAGTCAGAATAGCAGATTGGTTTGGGTTTTTTGTTTGGTTTGGGTTTTGTTATTGTTGTTGGGTTTTGGTTTGATTTGGTTTTTTTTGTGTTTTGTTTTGGTTTTTTTTTTAATATCTAATTATACACTCCCTAGTCTACAATAAAATCCGTAGTAAAATATGTCATCTTTTGGTCCAGGATTTTTTTTGAAACATAAACTTACAGGGTTTCTGGGCCAAAACCCAGAAGACTAAAGATTGAGAAGCACTGAGTACACCCAAATCTCACTTCTCACTAGCTCTGGCTAGATTAGCACCATTTGAGATTTGGTCCAACATCTTTATGGAATGTCCTTTCAGACTTTCCCCAATCCTTCACTATCAAAAGTCTTTACAGCAAAATCCTTGCCCCTCTCCTCCCTCAGAAGCCAGGAATAATGGGCTGGAAAATGGAGCAGGTCTGTAACATCAGAAGCTTCTCAGATGTTCCCCATTAATTCCTGTGGCTTCAAACACACAACACTGCTTCTATCATTCTCCCATTTTCTTATCCTGTCCCCGTAGTGGTTGAGAACTCTGAAACTCCCCTGAAAACCAACTTGGCTCTTCTCTTCACAACAACATTTCTATGCTCACTAGCAGTAAAATAGGGTTATTTTTAGACTAGCATGATTAGCTTACTCACGTGAAATCTGGTTAAAGAGTTCTGGTTTCACTGATGCTAAAGAGGGCAGTTTGTGCATGCCCCCACAGTGCCTAGCATATCAGGGCCCCTCATTAATCCCATGGAGATTTCATCTAGCAGACAACACTGAGTCTAGTCCATCTCTTCCTTTGTTGCAGGCAACTTGGTTGACAGACAAACCAGGATGCTGAGGTTAAAACCAGAAGAGGAGGGAATCAGTCCATTCTCATGACCACCTTAATATCAAAGCCTGGAACATGCATTTTTTGTTTGGCTTGAGGGCAGAGGGGTTGTCACACATATACATTGGCTGTTTAGCATAAAAACGTTTGAAGGCAGCATCTTTTTTTTAGTAGCATTTACAGCTGCAGTGCTCCTGTTCGCTCTTTTACTGTGTTGGGAAACCATTGCTCACCAAGGGATTGCACGGATCTCTTTGTCCACTGCAGAGTGGGTTCTTGGTCCATACAACGCTGGCCAAAGCCGGGGCTGCTATCTCTGAAAAGCAGCACTCCAGGGCTAATTATACAGCTTCCCCAGGGGCAGTCAGACCCATTTCATTAAAGTCTCCATTATGGCCCACTGAATGGAACAGGAGCTCTTAATTAGGGGGGGGGGGAAGTGTGTGCCTGAGGGCAATCCTAGCTACCCACCAGGGGCCTTTTGCTTTATCTCTGCCATTCCTCCCGGGATGGTGACACTGTTCAGCAAAACATGACACACACCCTATTAATATGATGTTTATCCTGTTACAACCAAAAGCAAAAGCAAATGGAACAAGATTATTAGCTGTTTAAAACTTTTGCTGTAATCCATTGCATATTTTGTGTTCTGGAAATATCCCTCCAGCTGAGGAGGCATTCCCTTGTCAGAGGGACTGTTTGACACTCACTTGGGAAAGAACCCCATGGCCATGGCAGGCAGCCTTCTTGAGTGCCTCATTTGCAACCATCTCCTGCCTTTGTCCGAAAGAGATGTTATGAAATCTTCTAGAGTCTACAGTCTATAATGAACCCAAGCTTTTTGCCTGCAATAGAAATAATTGGGGAAGGGTGAGTGACAGAGGGGGAGGAGATAGGAAAATTAGCAGAGCAGAAAGGAAAAAGAATGATAGTGCCCCCATTAATTTCACTATCACTTGTGCAATGCATATTACTTCCTCTGAAGCACTTCACTAAACCCTTACAATTTCAACAAGCAAAATTGCGAGCTCTCAACAGTGGCCTTATTGCTGGTATTAGAAAAAGCCTGCAGAAATCTGTTCCCTTGGTTTTAAAATAATGAACCTTTTGACATTTTGATAGATGCTCGGCATTGTTACTGAGCTTTAGAAACTCTTACAGGGGGTACAGAGCAATTCCCTTATGAAAAAAGGAGCAACATGTGGTAGATATCACATCAGTTTTTTAACTGATTGGTTCAGTGGGTAAATGCACAAGCCTCTCACCTTGTGAGGCCTGAGCTTAAATTGAGCACAGTGAGGTCACAGATGTATTAACCTGGTATTCTCACTATTGTCTGTGGGGAATAGTAATCCTAAGTATAGAGCCACAGAGCCCTATACAATTGAATATAGTTTGTATAATGACCATTATTTAGTCACAGGGGGCACAAGATTACATGAGCATGGAGAAAATTGCCCTCTGGCCCTCATCTAGTCAAAAGGTAGAAAACAGCACAAAGGAAACCTGCATTATGCCAAGCAGAGGAATGCTCAATCTAGAAATTTCTTCATACTGTAGTGGTTATGGCCTTACACTTTTCATCCACCCCATTGCCATGCATCTGGTGGGGGTGGAAGAAACTTTAGAACTTGAATCTGCTACCAAAAATAAACTGCGCTCAACTTTCCCATAGTAGTGCATACTCCATTGTAGTGACAGATGACTCCAGAAGGCTTTGTTCTGTTTAGTAGAAAAAAAATACACCCCTACATGCTTGTGTGTATGAGAACATACACACAAGCATATAACCATACATCTATTTATCTTCATTTCTAGCCCTGCATGCTCCATTTCACTTTTGAGCTCAATTTTCCTTTCTTTGATGGGAGGACAGTTGCAAGTTGCTTCTGTTGCGAGTGAAGCAAGTAAGAGGCTTACCTAATGTCTCGGTATCTTCAGGTGGGTCTACTCTGGAAGTCAGAATGAAAAACACAGGACTGGTCGAGCTGGACTGCTCACTTAGCATTTTGCTAAATCCATCCTTGCGCTTTCCACATACCTTCAGCCAAGCTTTTCTTCCACAAAGTTCCTACGCATATGACAAAACATCCACTAAACATGTTCCTTGATGTTCCTTGATAAAAAATGTTCCTTGATAAATGCTTCAAGTCTGCACCATTGCAGACTTGAGCATCTGACAGTGATGGTCATTTCATCAGAGAAATCATGAGAAGACAGGAAGGGAAGCAGGTAATGAAACAAGAGAGAAGACAATCATTCCCATTTCCCTGTGGGATAGGGACCACATGACAGAAAACAGCAACTTCTGAATGAAAAAGGTCTGAATCGATGAAGTCATTATATGCAGGCAATACTGGCACATAAAGCCAGGGCAGCTGGGCAAAGTAAACACCCAGGACAAAAATTGCATTCTCAGAAGTCATATAAAAATGGGCAAAAACTGTGATGGTGTGGTGTGGAGGATTAGGTCTGTAAAACCATCACTTGGGATCAAAAATTAAAACAGTACAACTGGAAAACAACTGGGAGGAGATTGGTTGGTATCCACAGCTGAATCTTTCTTTGTATCACAGAATTTTCAAAAGGGAGAGCTGAAAAATCATCATCCTGTGGGGTTACTTACCTAATACTGCCCTAATACCATAATGAAAACTAACACTGAGAAATACACTTCTAGATATTAACAGGATAGCTTACTGCATGTCTATTTATGAGTAAGTACTCTCCTCTGGTACCTCTATGCAAAATAAAAGAAATCCAAATATGCTGTGACTTATGTCTCAACACACTACCTCTTCACAAACTCTGCACCAGCAGACCAGGCTAGGAAGGACCACAGCCATCGATCTCAAATTCTGTTTGACCACCCAGTTTTCTTTCCTCTTAAGATCTGAGTTTTGTCAGACAAGCCACCACCCTTACACACACTTATCCTGAAAGATGTACCCTCAGATTTCATACCTCAGAGTGTATGTCATTCTGTCCTAATGGACAACATTAATTGTTTCTCAAAAGAGGTTTGTTTTTTTTTTTTTTGTCTATTCCTGGGGAACTTTTCCTTTTCTGGACATTCTGAGTCCACCCACTTCTTCCATTTCTTGGTGGATCTTTCAATATCTTTATCTACCCCACTGAACACATCCATCACTGCCATGGCCTGGAAGTATGCCAAAGACATAAATACAGATGATGTACTTTCTGCATGATGACTGAAAAAGGATGACACTGATACTTTTTTAGGTATGTAAAAAACCCTAGTTTAACCAATTATAAGGGACTCAGGACTTGCCTTAAAATACTAAATTACATATCTATACCCAAAGCACAGATACATAAAAATAATATTATTTATAAAAGTTTACTGTGGTTGGTATTGCCATACTGTCTGCTTACTGTTAAACATCAAGACACAATGAACTGGAAACCCTGTATGGGACATTTACTACAGTAAGGAGTGGCATGAAATAAAATTGTATTTTTAGGGGCTGGAAAATTATGGTAAAATAGAATTTCCTCACAAAGTACAGTATGAGACGTCTAAGGAAAAATGCAGCCAAATAGCAAAGAAAACTCCTTTTTGAAAGCATCACTGGTTTTACTAAAAAAAACACAGTAGAATGTATGACTTTATTTGAAATTGTCTAGTTGAGGCATGTGTCCAGAAATAACACCAAAAAAGAACTGAAAAGCAATTTTCCCAAACTACTCTAATGACACTCCATCACTGAGTACTTAGGAAGTCAACAGGACTCACATGTGTTCAATTCTGAATCGAAGAAGGAAATCCAATTCCACAAATTCTATCTCTTTACTTCTTAGAAGAATCTTAACAGCACACAAAATTTAAAAAAGTCATCAGACTTGCTTCAGAGCCTTCCAGTACAACTGAGCCCTGATTTTTCCCAGGGCATACAGATACTAAAATTAAAAGGAAAAATAACAGCCTGAATGTAATATGGATATGTATTATTTACTTCTTACTTTACATACCAGATCAACCCTAATTATCCAAACATAAGCAGCTAAGTCATGGTATTTATCCTCAACATAGCTTCATGAAATCATTGCAGCATTTTAAATGAAAAGAATTACATGAAAGCATCTTTGGAATTTCTGCAATTATTGATACTGAAGCAGCAGTCACCCTGTGCCAGAAACTGCACAGCCACAGAGTTTGAGCACAGAGGCATCACTTTATAGTGAAGAAGGTGCAAACCAAATAAATGTCAGCATCACCAATCAGAGATTTTTCCTCATCTGAAAAGCTGTTTGGGTGAGAAAAAATGAGGTTATCTTTTTCAAAAAGTCCTTGGCTTGTGAAAAGAAAGGTTGAATATGTGGCAACTTTTCTCTCATTGAATATCCCCTGATATTTCAGCCTATTAAATTGCTTTGTGGAAAACACATTGAAGGCCTGAAAGTTAACACGATTATTTTTATTTATTTGAATTTTGCTTTTTTGATTTTCTACTCATAAGATAATTGGTTTCTTACAGTAGACTTCTAGGAAGAGGTGACCTGAGAAGTCTAAAATGCAAGGCACTTCTGCCAAGAGGCTTTTGAGGAAACTTTCAGCAAACCAGGGGTGAGGGTTGCAAACAGCAATACTCTTCTGCTTCCTTATTTAACTCAGCAAACAAAATTTCTCACTTAAGCAAGCTGGTAATTTTGTAGTGGGTGATCACAGCATTAGATCATTTGGTAGATTTATTGCAGTGATTTGTTTATACAGAATTTCTCCAAACTCTTCGTTCCTGACCCTGTGGGATGGCTTAACACAAGGGAAGGCGAACTTTGCAAGCCCAGTCAGAAAACACTGTCAGAATGGAAACAGCCAACAAAGAGACCCGTGGGAATGTACCGTGTTATGGACCAGCCGGAGACCACATCGTGGTCTTTCCTCAAACACACAGCTCTGAAAATGTAAACATCTGGTACAAGTAGTAACTAATGTATCAGGCATTGCTGGTTTTGTTCCTTGCATGAAATAAATTTGAAACCAATTATGCATAACTGGTAGATGGGGTTGATGCTGCCCAGGCTGATACGGACAGAGTAAGGAATGGATGCTCTTATTGCTGTTGGTCTGTAGTTCCCTCTTGTCATGTTAATCTGAGCTTCATTTTCTTTGGCTTCAGCTATTTATAGGATGACTGTTGTCTCATTTATTTTTTAGTGTGCTATAATTATCCCACACAATTACCATAACATTCCTATCCATACAGGAAAGAGTATGGATATACCCTAGAAAACTGACTTTATTTCAGACAGCAGTAAATACTTTAGGTAACCAAGCTTCTTATCTTAGACAAATATTAGGGAATGACTATTCTCTGCAGCAATATGCCTGTTTAACTCTGAAAACATGGAAATCATATATTAATACATTTGTTCAAATTTCATGCTATTTATTAATTTTATGATTACTAATTCAAGCACCTAAAAACCTCAAATATGTGACAACTACATACAGTAGATATGAAACCATGAATATGTGGGAGGATAGCCCTTTCTGGATAAACAGGAATTTGACTATTCCTTATTCTAGCTCATAGAAATGTTACAGTAAAAATTATTAATAATACACATTTTACAGTGACCTTAAGCTGTTAAAAATAGTTCAGTTATTACCTTGTGTTGTATTTCTGCTGAAGTTGACTTTGTTGATTTGATTTTCTTTACAAGTGCACTGTCATCTAAGAGATTGCCTCAGGCAGCTGACAGCCTGAGCAGCATGTTATCCTCCAGCTGCTGGAGCTCATTCGTGAAACCATTCTGCTGCTTGGCCAGAACTGATTAGCAGAGGGAATGAAAACACTGTATTTGAACAACCACAGCAAGAAATACTGTTTTATAGCATTTGTGAGCTACATTTTCAGTTTAATTACATCAGTTGATTTAATTTAATTTTTGAAAGAGACAGTTTATCTTCTGTCCCAGTATACTAGATCTAAGGTTCTGGACACTCATAGAGAGAAGGACAAGGTTGTCATGGACCAGAACTTTATCTCTCTGCTAGGGTCCTTCCTCCTGAGACTGCACAAAAGGACCAGAGATGGCAAGTGGTAATCTGTGTGGCGGCTGAGGAAACCATAGAATAGCACAAGGCTGGAGAACCTCACTTTGGCAGCAAACATAGTGGAAAACTTTTCTGCTGGATTGACCTTCTGACATTGAAAGAGCTTGACTAGTCTTATGGAGAACTCTCAATCAGATTCTGACCCTCACACCAAAATCCCAAGGTGATACAGATGTAAGCAAACAGTCCCAGATGCAGAGGAAAATGGACAGCTGTTTTCAGATTGTGTTCCCAAGTATACGGCTTTCATTCTTCTAGGGGTAATTAAACTCTCTGAGTTTGCCCTTGCATGAAGCAACAGTACCTCAAACAGGTGTAACAAATCTTTGCAGATGAAGTTAGTAAATTACATGAGATAACTGGAAAGACACAGTAGAGAAACAGGAAGTATTCTTGCTATTAATTTCACAGCTCTAAGTATTTTTTATTTCTTTTTTTATCTCATAGATGACAATCTGCCCGAAGTCCTTTCTATAAGCACCTATAAAAGCATTTCTCCTCATAGGTTACTTACATTGGTACGACTGCAGCAGCCACAGAACTGCATTCTTGCAGGGATAAATTGTGATCTATTAACCAAATATCTCAGGTCCTAACAGTGCCATCATATCCTCTTACAGACTGGCATGAAATTTTATTTACATTTATTGGCTTAAGATCACTGAAGCAGAAAGCACTGCAGAAGGCTTTAATCCTGCATTGTAAATTAAATGCAATGTACAGAGCAAACCAAGCAGTAGAGAGAAGTGTGGGAATAATATCACAATAAATTTTAATTTCTAGGAGAGCTTTAGGTCAAGATGAGCCCTCTGGGAGCATAAATTTGAGCAAATCAGTAGAAGTACTTTTTACACTTTGCAGAATCTGACCCTTAAATTTTTCTGATATATGGGCTACTAACAATTACTGTACAGCCAATTCAAACAGGCATATTAATTCTTTAAATCTTGGAACAGGCAACAGACAAATCAAAAGATAGCCTTTACCTTATGTTTTTCTAAGTCTTGCCTTTCAGGACTAACAACCTCAGCCAACAGGTGCTCTTCCAGCCTGTCCTCAATGACAGAGAAATTAATGAGGGTGGCCTGAGCCTGCAGTTCTCGCTTGTAGTGAGGGTTAGCCAGCTTAGTGTGAAGGATGAGACAGAAGTTCTTGTTGAATTCACATTTTTTTCTCTTGATATATCTGGGAAGGAATAAAATGCACAAGAATGGGCATCTCACTGAATTAAAACCCCGTAAGTATCTCAGATTGAAAAAGATGGGTACTGCATGATCTTGGCAGCATAGAAAATGGATACAAACCAAACTTTATGTGCCTGCAACTTAAGAAACAAAATGAGGATGATTGAACACACCAAAATTCTATGAAGAATACACAGAGTATTTCTTAACTGGCATAGTTTAGTTTGCATATACAGCAGACACAGGGAGATTATTCACTGCTGTCCTGAAGAGTCCATGGCTTAGGGATGTCTATCGTCATTACTTACCACAAACTTAGTTTAGTTTTCAAACAAACCCTAATGAGATAGTTGTTAGTTTTTACTACAATTTCCTTAAATATAGCTCACTTCTCCATGTTCTGAAATAGCTCAGCAGTAAATCCTAAGGAACTAAGCAGATACATATTTATAGCAAACTCATAGTGACCAGAGGAGAGAGAATGGCTGGTGACTGAAACAACAAAAATAATTTTTTTAAGGTAGTCTACTAAATGTTTTGTTCCAAATCAATTCTTTGCTGGGTGAAAGAATGAGTTATACTAAACTCATTTTTTACTCACTGAATAAAATCCCTTACCCAAGAGATGTCATTTCGTGATTCCTCGTCTTGAATGAAAGGTGCCAGTCTGTCCTATACAGCAACACTGTTACTGCTGAAGTACCATTTGGAGCCCAGCAGTCAGGCAACATAAAGTTCACCTTCCTACGTCTGTGGCACAGTACCAAAAAAAAAAATTGAAAGACTGCTTATAGACTGCAGTGTGTGCTCTGTGTCTGGTCTGGTGTGGGCCACTGACACAGCTTTTTATCATCTACTTGCACAGCGAGCAGTATGTCAATTTTTAGGATTCACCTGCCACACACGAGCACAAAACCAGTGTTTCTGTACAGCAATGGCTTTGAATGTTCTCTGACAAGAAAGAAGATTCAAATATTAGTAACAAAACTGTTAAATAAAAGATCAATAGAACTTCTATACCACGGAACATAGGTAGCCACAAACTTCACAGAATTCAAACATGCATTTGGTAACTCAATTTTCAAAGTGATTGCAATAGTATAGATACTAAACACTTTAAACACAACTCAGGAAAGTCATATCAGAACATGAATAAAATAAATACTTTCTGTAAAAATTTTAACACTGCGTTCTTTCAAGTCTATCACAGGGCATTGCTGGAGTCAGGGACATACATTTTAGCTCTTAACATCCTTGCCTGCTTCTGACATGCCCTTATCCAGAAGACAGTCTAAATGAACTGGTGTGCTGAGATCCTTCTGCATTTCACCAAGGATCAGGAAGAAATGACAGTTACTTATTATATACTGCAAGAGAATTCCTAAAAAAACCCCTAATATGTCTAGTGCTAGGAAACCCATGACTCTACAATACTCAATTTCAGACATGTGTATGGTGTAATACTGCCATGCCAACTGATGAAGATGGGTTTTCCAGGCTTATGTGTGTATAATAGTGAAATAATTTAGCCATACAGTCATGTCCTTCAGATTATACAACCTTTGTCAGGTGGACATGAATTCACTGTCCAGTTCTGCAACATGGTCTCCACAGCTTTCAAAACTGGCTACAGCTGGATGGAACACAAGAGTAGAGCTTGACACGGAGAAAGCAATTTTCCTTTGCTTTCATTACACACACATAGGGATGAGACAAGAAGAGATCTGACAAAAGACAAGTTCTTCAGTTTGTTTTGTCAGGAGAAAAACCTTTGCTAAGGGAGTCACACCACGTTTCAGAAGGTCTATACTAAGCTTTGGAGTTCTGGATTCAAATATGTCCTCTATGGGTTCTCAATTCACAGAAGCACTAAATTTCTAATTTCTGCGATTATCACCTATGAAAGGCAAAAACTACATAACGACTCAGTGGGTTTTATTACTGCAGCTGTTCTAGGATTTCTGTTAACTACAGATTTGGGAAAAAGAAATATTTTGTTATTGCTCTTGCATGGTTCAAGGAGTATATGCAACAATGACAAAGACAGAGGTAGGGTAACCCAGTAGGACGACTTCATTTTATTCAATTAAATGTTTCTGTTTAGAGGTTAATTCTGGATTATGAAGAAATGTAGCAATACAGGCACTAATAGTGGAAATCCATGATAGAAGGAATATTAAAATAGATGGTCACCAAAGAAATTTCTAAAAACAAATTCTACTTTAGGCAATGTTTTCTTCATAATCTCCTATTCCATCAGCAAAGGCAGATAGAATGGATGGAATTAATGCACCACTCTACCCAGGAATAGACAGAGAATCTTTCACATGAGTTCAATCTCCCTCTTATTTAAGAACATGTAAAGTAAATTAAAGAGAGATTGCTCTCCATTTTTTTTTTCTTGTAGATTTTGAAATAAAGTAGATTAAGGGATTCAAAAGGGATTCACAAAGCACTTTGAAAATTCTGTATACACCTTGAAGAATAAATTGTTTTTAGCAAAAGCAAATATAAAGCCAAATAAATTCCAGAATGTAACATGAGTACTACATTCTCAGCTATAAGAAGACTAGGAATAGTGCCACATCTGTTCTGATCTGTCAAAATTTGATTTATTGACACAAAGACATGCTATTCCCTTCCGCATGTCCTGCCTAAGGTAAAAATGCCTAGGTCTTTCAAAGAGAGGATCTCATGAAGGCGAAAAAATTTTGAGTATAAGAACCTGACTTCATATCATGAAACAGCTTAAGAGTACCTTCCAGGGCAGATGTTCTCCGAAACAAGCCATGACTGTAAATGGCAGAATGGTGTGATAGCTTCCTTTAGCGAGATGTTTTGGATCAGCTCAGTAAGAATAAAAAGAAGTGGTAAATTCTTGGACAGCAAAGGAAAGGGAAACAATATTTTTCAGTGGGAAGAAAGAGGTATAAACACATTTTCTGAAGGAGCCTTCTTTCAGTTCCTGCTGCTTAAAATTAAAAGCTTCTGGAACCAACTTGCAAACTCCAACAAGTAATTTAAAGAATGAAGTTGAATAAGTCAGGTGAAAAAAGTGCAGAACGGAGCTTTTACTAGGCAATCTCAGCAGGCAAACTGTGCAAGTTGGTCAAGCTAGTTCAGTGGGAAAAGCACTGCCTTGAAGTTGCACAGCCAGTGAGACATTCAAGGCAAGGAAAGCTTCTCCCTGTGGAGAAAGCGAGTGAATTGTCTTGCTGTTTCATGAATAATAGTCATGCCACATAAGAAGGGAAACTTGTTCATACAAGCTACATTTGCACATAAATCAAATTTCAAGACATCTTAAAGAGTTTTGTAATAACCTAATCTTGCAACCAAAGAGACATGACTACCTCTTCGTGACTGTGCAAAGGATTTGAGCAGGTGTAACAGCTCATGCTACAGCAAAAAGGAGCCTTAAGAACAATAAATTTATTCCTCTGTCTTCGCTCCTATGAGTCAAAATGACATTGATCTATTATAGTTAATAATCATATCCAGTGATCTCCAAAACAGTGGTGCTGCGGAGACAGGATAGGAAACCCATAGGTAAAATTCAAATATTAAAGGCCATCCATACCAAACCAATTTAATGGCATCATTCCTCTTATAGGAGGTGAGGGCTAAAATCATACACCATTGTAGAATTGGTACCTGATTACTTTTATGCCTTAACTTATCTGCTTCAAAAAATCTCTGTATTTGCATTTTGAATCATTGTTGCATATATTGCTAATACATCGGACCCAAATTTTACTTACTTTTTTCTTGTGCCCTTCATGCTTATATACAGCTATGTATTAAAACTGATTTTTTTTGAAATTATTTTATTTTTTTCCTTTTCTCCTGCTTCTTAAAGCAAACATCCTGAAATATCATTAAAATGATAATCTTATCATTTTAAAGCCATTTCAAACATAAGGCCCCAGTCTAAAGTGCATTGTTGCCTTTAAGAATTGCTTGGGAGCCAAAAAATTACTCACCAGGCACCAGCAGAGATAAGGTAGAGAGCAGTTTTAACAGAAGGTCTTCAAACCATGGGGGTACAGACACACGTGCACGCCATGTGTCCTGGGGGTTCCACAATTTAAGGTACAGTCCATCCAATCTATCCACCCCCCAGTTCTACCCCCGGCACGCTCCTCTGGAAATTGAGTCATGCTCCTCTGGAAATTGAGTCAGGGGCTGTGACAAATCTTCCTCTTTGTCACAGCACGTCCAGTCCTTGGAGCCCCTCCGAGGTTCCGGGTTTTGAAGGTTGCTTTGTCTGTTGGTGTATCTTGTTGTTCAAGTCAGGGTGCAAATGTTCTTCAACAGAATGAAGGCCTACCTTGAGGAAAGTCTAAACAAGCTATAGGAATTTAGAAAGATCAATATGAAATGGGGAAAAGGCTTTGGGTAAGTGGAAACTACTGTGCTAAAGTGTAAGGGATTATACAGTTACATTAAAATCTACACTTACTACACAACTACTTCTAAAATCTACAAAAAGCTAAAAATCAAAAAAATCCATAGGCATCACATTAAGAACAACGGAGCATCTTTGCAGCTCCAAAATTAAAATTAAAAATGTATTCAAATTTGAATACCTTTAACTTGTTAGGCTTTTAAATATATACTAAGGTGCTTAAGCATGAAGTCTGTTTTTCAGAGATAACAAGTACCTGCAGTTCACCCTGCAGTCACGTGGTTTCGAGGAAAATATAAATTATATCCATGTGAAGTTCTTCAAGGCTGAGAATTTCTTTTGCAGGCTTCATTCAGAAACAATACCAGGAGCTGATGTTACAGAATATCCAAGAGTCCAACATAAGAACCATCTTGGCAAACAAGAAAGGGGAAAAGTACTTTCATGAAGCTGCTTCACAGATCAGCAATAATAAGAAGGCTAGTAAATGTGCTTTGGAAGGAGTACAAGTTGATAAATCTCCCTTGCTATGCTTTCTGTCGATTAATATGATAAGATATATTTTACTTAAAATTAGGATTGTCTGAAGCTCAGTGGATTTAATTATTTGTAATTATCCAGTTGTTGTCAGTATGTGGCCATTTTATGACAGTGGTATCTACTGTGTGGGTCAGGTTCAACTGTACATCTTTTCAAACACAGAATTAATGTACTATTGATGAAACCATTACTAGAACCAAATTAAAGTCTGGGCTGATGTATTGGTCCATGGGGTGCTGTCAGACATGAAAGGAATAATTAGTATTCATTACTTCATACTCTGCAACATTCCAATTATTAATGAACTTCAACTGCTGGACTGCACCATATCTATCACAAATACCTTTCTAGTCTTTCTTTATTAGGAAAAAAAATTCAAAGTACCTGACACAACTACTAAAACAAACAAATGACAGAAATGAATCCAGAATGAGGAAAACTCTGCATATTTGGTAATAAAGGGGTATATATATTACTAGTATCCTGCAAAGGAGACCTGTGCATCTTCAGTGAGGCACAGAATGCTAGGTCATGTAATGCTGCCTAAAATATTCAGCAGAAGGACCTATTTTTAATGGCTTCATATATTTGCATTTGTATCTATGTGCACAGCTCTCTTGTGCTACACGGAAGGCTTTGCTAAGGCAAAACTATATTGCTGTGACCCTTGTCCTTTTCAATCCAATTTATTTCTATTTCTATTCCCTCTCTCTTGCCTTAAAGATCTTTTAGCCTGTGGAATTTCTGATCTCTCTTTTAGACCAGTATAATTCTAATTTTTGGTAGAGTTTCTTCGCTATGGATTATAAAGCAAGCTGTATGCTCTTACTCTGAAATATTTCAAATACCACTATAGAAAAATATAACAAAGAGGGATCATTTCAAGGTTTCACAGTGCAGAGCAAGAGTGCATCTTCCAGGAGTTTCATGTATGCAAGGAGATTTGAACTGTTTCATAATGCCTAGATTTTCTCTGCAGTCACCAATGCCTGAAATATGGGAGAAAGAAGGGAGAGAAAGCTTGGGCAGTTTGTCCAAAACTAGATACTGTTTTTATTTATCCTTTTTTACATATTTTCTCTTTTGACAATCTGAAACTATGCAAGCAGTCTAAAGACTCTGAGTAGCATTCGAGACCCATTCAGAAATGCTTCAGGAGTATCTTTGACTTTATATTAGAATAAACACCACATTTTTCAACACAAAAAATCTAGCTTGTTGATGTGTTGTTTGCAAACAAGACTAGAAGAGTCTTTCAGAAAAAAAATAAATTCATAAACAATAGCATAGCATTTCAGTTCATCAGATGAAACATTTGATGAGGTTTACCAAGTGTACTCTCATGCAACCACAAAGCAACATTATCATTTAGGTTGACAGCTGCATAGAAGACTCAAAAATCACATTGGAAGTTTTTGTGAAAAGTGACGGAAGACATTACAGACTGAAATTCTCTTGCACCAAGTACAAGCTTCTTTATTTTTCCTATTATCATCCTGAAAATGTGTATCTACAAGTATCTAAATTAGATCTTAGGAAATATTTTTGATGCGATTTTCTAAGTTTGACAATAATTTTTCAAAATCTAGGGGAAGAAAGGGGCATGTGAATGAAAAATGAGACTACAGACACTCCAAAAGGGTCAGAACACAAGGTTACCCTCCCTTGTACCATCTACCACTCCTGCCATGGCTATGTCAGACCAGAGAAAACAAACTAACTCAGCTTTGAATTTGAATTTCCTACTTGAATGCCCACCTACAAACCTCTGGGGTGGAGCTCACAAGGCTGGCAGAGCTGTAGCCCTTTCATTGGGAGGGGGAGATCAGAACAGTCCCTGAACTGGGGTATTTGGAGCACTCACATGAGAAAGGGGTATGTGAGTTTTGTTGCTAACAGCCTATGTTTCTAGGTAAAACTGAGGAGACATTAGCACCACCATGACATCTGCCTCAATGGATTTGTGAGCATGATCAACTGGACTGGTTTGATGCATGGAAGATTGGCAGTACCAACATAAACCATCTTTGGCTTATTCATTTCTGCCCTTCTGCCCTAGGTTCTACCATATTAGTTTTTCCTCAGTAGCTTTACTCGTTTGTTTTGGTTTGGGGTTTTTGTTTGTTTTTGGGTTTTTTTTCTTATTTTTTCATTTTAAACCAGTTCATTGATTTACTTCATGGGGTGGCCCAAAAAGCAGTTACGGCAATTCACTGCAAAGTAGAGGCATAGCTTTCTTAAGCTGATTTTGCAGCTGGAAACCCCTATATTGTTAAATCCAAATCTAGCCTGTAATTTCCAATATTTTCCCTTTTGCTACAGATGCCTAAGAAGAAAATTAAATACTTTCTTTTCTTTTGAGCCAAACTATAATATTTGCTTGTCCTTGTTTTAATCCTTTTTTGAAGTAAAAAAAAAGTAAAGATTTCCACTTCAGTTTGAGAAACACACATGCCTGTACTGTATTTTGAGTTCAATTTGCAAACTGAGAATTTTGCTATCTAATCTTATGCAGATATAAACATTTTAATATCCACTCATCACCAGTTTTTAGTCATTGCATTTTAAAAAGAAATAATTTATTTCATGAAGTGTTATGAAGCAGTAAGCAAAATGTGGCAATCAAAGCAATATAGATCCAGTTGCCATAGAAAAATTATGATTACTCAAACATACGTACCTTCCCTTTTTAACTATATGTCTTCCAAGCAGGGGATCAAGTATGGGATCAATAGATTCACCCATGTTTTCAATTAGTACAGTCTCACCAAAAGCCAAAGCTCTTTCAATGGTCTTCAGAAAACTTTACCTGAAAAATAAAATAAATAAAACTCTCAAATATTAGATAAATGCTGATTATCAAAAGATTTCATTTATATAATAAAAATGTAGAAGTTTTTCTAAAAGAGCATTATTAACCCATGCAAAACTGCTCACAAAGAATTTCCTAGTGGTTGAGAGTTTGGCAGTCTTAAGTTCAACATTTTTCTACCTATGCTCTTGCTAGTCCTCATATTAAACAAAAAATATATTGCCGAGGCTTTTCTTATAAGCACATATGAGGGTACAGCCCCACACTGAAGATACTGGAATTAACACAGAGATGTTGGGGGAGCACATATATATTTCATCTTTTGTTATTATTTTTACATTTTATGTTTTTGTGTTACAGCTTTTGGTATATCCTCATCTAAACAATAAATACTTTCTCGAAGGGTTAGAATCTGAATAGCTTGGGAGAACTCTGTTTCCACAGGCATGGAAAAAGGAGTAGATAAAAATGTAAGGATAAGTAAGCAGACAATACAGCTTCACATAGCAGGGTATTACAGGGTATAAATGGAAAAACCACAATTATTTGTATGGGTTGGAAAAGAATGAAAAACAAATCAAGGCAGGTGAGGGAAAAGAGTACATTCAAAGCAGATGGGTTAGATGATTAAGATGTATTTAAAAAATCAGGCATAACTATGAACATTTACTGTGTTGTGTAATTGTGTGTTATATCTGGAATTTAGTACAATAAACTTTGAAATGGAGCATTATCTCCCTAAATCTAAGTAAAGATAAGAAAATATATGAACAGATCAATTACATGCTAGTGTTATCAACTTGCATATAATTCAGTAATATTTTACCTTGGATGCTGCACAGTGGGTTGACTCTTTCCCCCTGTGAGGTGCACACGCTGTGTTCTGCTGACTAAAGTGTACAGGATAAGTAAGGTCATATCATCCGGCTTTACACCTTCAAAAAGCAATTTACTCTTCAAAAGAAGTGCACCTCAACTTCCACTTTCTTTCCAACCTCCACTTTATATCCTCCTTAACACTTGAAAATAGCAAGTTTCCTTTCAAGCAACTTTTTAAATGGAAAATGATGCTATGGATAAATAAGCAGAGTGTTGCAATATTTCAAGTCTTTAGGTAAGTGCATTCCAACAAACACTAATCCCTTACAAAAATTAGGGGAACTTGAGGGCAGTAAACATGAAAGCCAATTCTTCAGCATGCACATACTCTTTCTGTCCTAGACGTATGACTTAAGGTCAGCTCCGCATGTATTCTTTATCCATTTAATTCCCTGATGTTGGGGATCTATCATCAGAGGTCAGCACTTGCAGTTTCTTAGAGAAGTGGCATTTTCTGTTGGCATCCTATCACCAGGCAGTCTCTCGTTACTCCATGCTGCAATCATAGCATCGTCCGTCAATGTGGCAACTGGATCCAGGCCCTCCATCACAGGAAAAGGAACCTTCTTGAATCAGAGTGGAATATAATCATCCAGCAAGGTTACCAAGTAGTAAGATGTGACTCAGTGCAATGCACAAAAAAACTGGGCTGATATAAACTAAAGTAAGGCAGAAAAGTAAGGAGGATCCCTGTGGAGTTTCAAATGCAAAAGAATATTCTAGGAAATGTGATGAGAAGTAGTTTATCATATTTATAACAGATTCAAAAAAACGTGTTTTCTCTTAAGATATTTACTTCATAAAAATATTTATAGTTCAATAATATTAAAAAACCACTGTATATTATAAATTTCAGTGTATTCTGATAGTTAAAATTCAATACTTATGTATGCTCTCAAGCAGCTATTTCTGGAACATAAATCAGTATTTATCCACACAAAAATTATAAAAACAGGATTCCCAAGACATTTTATTAATATAGTTCAGCTATGCTCAAAAGCCAGAGAATGGGATGATCTCTGAGGGCAGAGGCAGCCCTGGAGCTCCCTGTGGGGTACCAGGTACAGCAATGCTCTTGTGTGAGTGCCTGTTCACTAAGAAGGAAGCTGTGATAGAGCAGCCATCAGACAGCTATGCTTGTTGGATGCTACACTGTCATAGGCATTTACAAGGAGATGAAATCAAAAAGAAATGGACCATCTGAAATCAGTGCTTACAGAACAGGTATGGGTGGGAAGGGAAATGCCTAATGCAGAATAAGAGAGAGTGAATAACTAAGTTGGAAAAAACAAAAGTGGCTGGTGAAAGCATAATAGAAGCTCTATACCAGGTGCCTGGAATTGATCTTTTACTTGCTGAAGCAAAGGGCAAACCACCACCAATTCCTTCATGGTGTTACCCTAGACTTCCTTATTTGTGGGTTTTGGATTGAATTCAAAACCTATAACTAAAGGAAAACATCATCAGTATTAAGCCTGAACAATCTTCTATCCCATTCAGAAGTGTCTTAAAAACTCTTCCATCAAAATTTTCCTCCTCCCTGGACACGCCTAGTCCTCAGACTAGAGCTCCAGACTAGATTGGAGCATCTTTTAAAAGTACACACTGAAACAAAATGACCCATGTATATGTGTGGTCATTTAAATTAAAAGCATTACATATATTTAATTTGAGCCAAAATTACATGATTATTAGTAATAAGAATGGCACCACACCTCTAGTGTAGTTTCTGTGGCACAATGTCATATTATTACAAAATGCATACCACCTTAAATTGCCTAATCCTTGATTCTATTCCCTGAGCCCAAAATAAACCTAACTTTTGATGAATTTACTGAAAATATAGGAACAAAAGTCCCAACAGGCATACACTGCCCTCTGCAAGCATGCAACGTATCTATCTTCCATGTGTAATACATTCATCTAAATATACCAAAAGACTGAAAACATGATTTGTTTTATCTGTGGACTGTAAGGCAAGTAATACAATAATTTCTATGAGCTGAAATACTTGCTTGTGAAAAACACTAGCACTGGGGTGTTATCAGGGTTTCTAATACTAATTTTCACACAGTGCAAGGAAAATATTTTAACATATAGATAAATCTATTGTCACTGTATCTGCACAAAGCTGATAGGTACTTCATGGCATAGAACAACTTGATGTTCCTTCTATACATGACTATTAATAAACAGTATGGAAATATAGGGAACACAGTGAATATAGGAAACAAGTAGGAAGAGGTAATGAGCATTTGCAGCAGCAAGGAAGAAAGGAATAGTCCAAAGCTTCACAAGTAAGGAGAAAGAAAGCTTTGCAAAGACAACTCTAAGGATTAGAACATCTATGCATTTACTGAGTACTATTAGTTTCCCCTGTGTACAGAAAAATGGGAATTATCATAACTACATGCTCCTTCTAGACCTGAAAAGTTAAGCAGAATAGGTCTCTCTGTACAGGTCTATCACTTTTTATAGCTTTCACTGTTACAAAGCTGTCATAAAGAACAGACTTCAGCATTGAGAATTGGAAAGGAAAGGGATTTTTTTTTGCCCAAGAGAACCTCTCTCTCTCTCATGCCCCTCAGAATATACTTGTAATCTAAAGAAAGCATGTGTGTGTGCATGCATATATATATGTATATATATACATATATACACACACACACACATATATATATATATTAGTGCATATATATACATATACTGGAAAACAAATACCAGATCTGTACTTCAAATTTTTGAAAGATATCAACTTTAACAAAGCAGGCTCCTGAGAGTCCCATTTTGTCCAGTAAATTTTACTTTTTTCTGCCTTTAGAAAAGGAATACAGAAATGCCCCATCAGTTCCTGATGATACTCTTTTGAGAAGGGTCCAAAATAAAAACACAAGTGCGGCTGGTAAGTAAGATACCACGACATAAAGTTTTCTTTTTTGCTTTGAGGTTTCCAACGGACAAGCTCAAATACATGTTCTTCAGACTTCAAAGTAAAATTAGAAAATATTATCTCCTGAGCAACATGGAAATGACAGAATGTTTAATGTTAATATCTCCACATTAAAAAGTAGAAGCACACAAAATACAGCAGGAGAAGTACTCTGTCAGCAAGAGATACACTTCCAAAGATTGTAAATGCTGGAAGCAATACATACTTTCTCGTGGTGATTTGAAACTTTTGAAGCTGAAAATAATAGGATAGAACTCTTCATCAAACATTCTATCAACAGACTTTTTTCAGTAATCAGTTTTGTCTAGATCAGATACAGCATGGTGGGCACACTGCAATATAGGCAGCATCTGGTATACTACTGCCAGTGCAAGCATTTCCAGCAACATTCAGAAAAGTCAAAAGAAAAAAAAAAAAAAAAAAAAGCTGTTTTGACCTCAATAAAGATGTAAATTCCACCTTTTTTTTCTCACACTTTTTTTTCCAAGGGAAGGAACAAGGCAGAAGAGTTGGCATCCCTGCCCATGGCAGGGGGGATGTAACTTAGATAATCTTTAGGATCCCTTCAAACCCAAATCATTCTATGAAGACTTGCAGGATTTTTTACTCTTATTTATCTGCCTTCTTTTACCTAATAGCTTCAGATGTTTTACTCAGTTAAGGCTGCAATGATTTGAAATTATAACAGGAGGACAGATGGGGTTGGCCAAACACACAGGTCGCCCAGAGAGGTTGTAGAATTTCCATGGTCCTGGACAACCTGGTTTAACAAATCCAGTTTGGGCAGTGGGAGTGGATTATCTCAGAAGGTTCCTTCCAGTTGCAATGATAGTTTTTTCCCTACAGAGAAACCCAATTTCCCTTGTGCACTCTGCAGAGGTTATCTTAACCACGCTTACCCTGGAATATTTTGTATGAATAGTCAGGAATGGTCTCAAATATTGATGATTTCTTATAAGTAGCTATGTGGAAAGCTGTTATTTTATTCCAGTTATGTTATAAAGACAGCCCGCCATCTATTTAAAATGTCAAAATGGTGGCTAAAGGATTTCAGAAAAATGAATGTATCTTCTTTAAAGAAAGTTAATGTTTAAGACATGAATCATCTCTTTTTCAACTGGGATGTGTGCCATGACATAAAACCCAAACTAGCAGTATTTGGCACATTAACCTTTGATTGTTCTGTGTATGCAATTCCCAGCAAAGGAATGAATGTATGCATGAATGCATGTTCAAATAGCTTCAGCATGGACAGGAAGGTAAAAATTGATCATCCATTAGAGTCATCTTCAAACTGATAAAATTCTAGATGTAAAATTTGAATAGACTGCCATAACATCTCTTCTTTGTTTGTCTTGTTTGAAATACTTCAAATAAAATAGTTTCATAATTTACTCACTTGCATCAGGGAAACCTCAGGAAATCATCCTCCAGTGAGTAGAGGAACTGAAGCAAAGCAAGGGCCAGGATGAAAGAAGGAAACCACTTTATAAGGACTGTTCTTTACCCATAAAGACATTTGTCTGTATGTCCATACAGATATTTGTTTTTCAGAGCAACAACAGTAATCAAATAATATTTTTCCAGTCCTTTATATGGTGCAATAAAATATCGATGAAAATCTCTGAATAGAATGTATCCTCCATGCTTCATATAGTTTTGTTTTAAATTCTTGCTTTTTGTTGGTGTCAGCTGCCTAAGAGCTTATAAAATCAAATAATAACTCTCTCATTTAAAATATAATTTTCTATGTGTATGCAAACAAAGTAACAAACTAATTGTTAAATTTTTTATTCACTATTTTCCATTTATATTTTTCAGAAAAATCAGAAATATTTACTGAAATGGTTAAACATCCTACCTTGTGAAGACAGACACAGAATTCTATGATCACAGAAGACTCAGACTCTTTTGTTATAAAAGAGGAATATAAAGTAGCCACTAAGAAAAAAGAAGTATCTTTAATCAAAGTATGTGGTTAAAAGAGCTATCATGTAAATGTTTCACAGTGTAAACATAGGAACTTGGTGTGTGAAGGCCTCTTAAACCTCAATTCCATTCATAAAAGATGCCCAACAAATTACATGTAAAGGACCATTCCTGTTGAAGGCTCTAACAGCAACCTTTGCAATATAGGAGTTTTGTTTTGAAGTGCTTTAGACATCCATTTTTGCCTACAGAAGTTATTGGATTTTTCTTTAAATCATTAACTGAAGGCAACAAGACAATAAATCCATTAATTTACAAGAGGGCTTTTTGATTTATCCATTCTCTCTTCTTGTTGTCACTAACTGGTAAGTCATAAACAATAAAGAGCACCCACCTCATTCTCCAAAATAGCTTTGAAATTTGAAGATTTACTAAACATAGAATGATTGTCTATTTAAATCTTCAGTAATTTTACCATACCAGCCAAGCACCATAAATCACTAGTGACATTGGCTAACAAGAGTTTAAGAGTTGGAACATGCAGTGTAATAAATTTCCAGACAGTTAAAAATCACTATAATTTTATTCTAATGCATTATAGATTGCCTGTAATGTCATCTTGGCCGGGGTGACCCATTTCTAATTTTGAACAGCTGTTCAGCTCGGGAGTTAGTTAATGATTAAATATAAATTGCCTGATTTATTAGTCTGAATGGCTGAGCTTCCAGGTCAATGCTATATAGACAAAATCATCAGTCTTGATGCTTTTCAGAAGTTAACTGTCTCCTCTTCTAGTCAAAAAGAATTTACTCTCAGAGGAAAAGGCTTGACATTCTCAATTAATCCTTCAAAATATTTTCCCCCTTAATTTACACAATAAAATCACTAATAAAACTTCAAATTTTGGAGATAAACTTCTTTTAACAATGTGTAAATCTTCAAATCCAGGACCTGGAGACTAGCTGTGGGCGAAGGTCATTGACTTCCACAGAGCTTCCAGAGGATTTGGAGGTCTGCAAGGTCAGACCAATAGGGACCGTCTCAGGTGTACTGGGGCAAACAAAAGTTTTCATGTGCAGATCATACATCACCTTCACTGTTTTTCTCCCAAAGAAAAGATTATTTACATATTTTACATTTCTAGCATATTAATTTCAAAATCAGGTAAAAAAATTGATCTGTTTTAATTGCATTAGGTTTTTTGGATAGCTTTATACTCTTACAATAATTTTTTTCCAAACTGATTTAATCTTGATTTCTAGCCTCTGCTGAGAGATTTGCAGAAACAAAGATATTCACACTCTGATCTTAGAAAGCAAGGTCACAAGGATTTTAAGAAATCCAACTTAAAATATTTGTTCAGACTGCCTTGGGAACTTACATAGTAGTGTGAATATTCTTTGTATTTTCTATTTCCTGTCATATACACTCATTTGTCAAAAAGGACATTAAAATTCTAGATGTTGAATTGAGACAGCACCATTTCTGTAAAGACCTAAGAGAGACTGCTCAGCAATGGTGGCAATGCTGAGGCTGACTTGAACGGTTACTGGCCGTTAAATAGGCACGTGTTAGCTTTAATGATGTTTGTCTGCAAATAAAGTTAATAACCACACTGAAATATATATAATTTTAACATAAATACATTTCATTCTTATTTCAAAATTAATAGTTTCTGTAAAAGAGGAAAAAACCAAAAGCAATCAGCAAATAATATCTGACTGGTGCCTTCCACTTATTTGCAATCTAAAGTGCAATAGGGGCAGATGCACGGCGACTCCATCCTGACCTAGAGGATTATTCAGTCTTTCTGCTCATTAACTAGAAGCTGCCCAGGCTGTCACAATGTGTTCACAGTTGTATATAAATGTAGTGACTTATTTACCAAGATTTCTCTCTAGCAATCATGCCAAAATCAGTTTCTCAGCAATACTTGATTTTTAGGAGATAAAATTATGGTACAGCCCATTTTACTTCTCAGGATTTTGTTGTGAGTTTATTTGTGGTTTGGGGTTGTTTGGTTGGGTCTTTTTTAAAAATTTAAATGATTTCTAATAAGGGTCACCTTGTCACCTTTGTCATCTCCCTCCCTGCCTTGCACTCCCCCAGCCTTTTTCCCCACACAGTCTTCAAAAATTTAAGTTCAACCTCATGCTCAACAGAACATTCCAACTATTTAAAAACTCCCACTAGGATGAACATTCAGGCAAAATCTTTTTACATCAAGTCAGTTGACCAACCTGCTGGCTAGCTCAGTAATTTTTTTTGTTCAGTTCACATCATCTTGACATTGGACTTTGTCTTCAACTGCTTTGTCGAGTGGAGATGTGAGCTTACGCAGAAAAGGGATGGGTAAATAGTATAGTCTAAATCTTGGGTTTTGGGGTTTTGCTTGTTTTTTAATTATTATTATTTTTATTTTAAATGACAATATTTTATTTTAATGACAATAGTTGTAGACAGTACCTTTAAGTCTGAAGGATGCAAACTTTAGAGGAAAGGTTTTGCTGTATTCTGTGTTCTTTCCGCAGCTCCTGGTACAATACTCTAACAACAATTTAGGTCAAAACAATGCAAGAACAGAATTATTTTTTTCATTTTGTATTTAGGCATGGTGACATAGGATGATTTAGCAATTTGTTCATGGGTAGACAGAATGGCTAGTGGCAGAAAACAGGCAGATCTCCTGCATGCTGATCTGCACCTTGGCCAGACCTTTTACAACACTTCTGTGCACCCCGCTCAGAAGGCAGCAACATGCCCCTGCTTTGCTTTCAGGGGTTTCATACTGCACATACCTCAATGCAAGTTGCCTCAAACTGTTTTATTTCTATAGAGTAACCACATAGCTAACAACAGGTAGTTCCACTTTAGGACAAAATTTTCCTGTTTCAGGTTTAATGAAAGAACTCCAACAGCAGTAAGGAGTGCATACCTCCACAAAAGCTGGGTGATTTTGCAGGATCAAAGATTTAGATCTCTTCTGCCATGTTTGGTGTTTGAATTGGTGGTGTGTAACCAGGAAATTAAAAAACTATTTATAAATTAAAAATAAGAAGTGAATTGGCAAAGGGGGAAAGCTGCACCTTACAAATTAATACAGAAGGCTGACTTGATTTCTTTAGGGATAATGAAGCAGCCAATCCACTTTTCAATGGTGATGGATCTCAAACTGAGAGACTAATGAGGACTTATACTCAATAAGGGCATCTCACAGAGTTGGGCTATAAGTAAAATTTCATCAGTCTAGCATAAAAGACATAAGAAGAATGAACACAGTAACAGCTCTCTACTCTTTTTTAAGAGAGACTTATTTCTAGGCATCTCAAGTTTGCCTGCGTGATAACATAGATCTGACTACTGTTCAAGTACATTCATCCATCAAAGGTTCAGGTAGTAAAGATGAGAAAGTAAGACAAACAGCAAGGAATGCCCCAACATCTCTGTGGGATTTGGTTTTTTGATATATAACAGTCTCCTTTATCAGAGTACTGCTTATCCTATGATTTTAGAATAGGAAAGTTGTCACTACAAAAGACACCATTCCCTTTTGTTACTTTTTCATATCATGTAACATAAATAAAGTCTTGCAATAGCGGAATTACATATTGCATTTTATATCCCAGCACTGCAAATTCTATGGGATAAATCACGTATTTCAAAAACGCTTGTCATTGAGAAAGTCAGTGTCAGGGAACTATACTCCACAAATCACAGCAGAGAGCCATTACTCTCCATAGCAAGTCTGCTGGACAGTACCCTTGTATAATCCTTTTCAGGTACAGTGTATGTTAAATTCTCTCATATATTAATATCAATGACTGTAATGATAAATAATACAAATTGCACCACATCCACAAAAAGGATGAACTTGACCCAGCTTTTTAGCCTTGACACTACTAAACTTTACTTCTCTTATTTTTTTTTTCATAGTCTAGGTATACTTATTGTAATACATATGTGAATATAAAATCATAATTCTCACAAATATTTTTATCAAATAACTAGTCTCATGAAGAATGGAAATCTGATTTATTTTCACTCAAAATCTTATAAAACAATTTTGAAGACATTATAAATTATAAAATAATTGTGAAGAAACAGTCTTTTTTCGTATTCCCTAACCATATTTTCATTCAATTTACTGTAAATATATAGCAATTGTTAGACTTTATGGTATATTAAAACTTTAACATGCGAGAAAAGATTAGTAGGTATGGTCTCCCACCGAGTATCTTTAATCATCTTTAATCATCTTTAAAACTTTTAAAATGTTTAAAATTACATACTGTACTGGTACCAGCCTGTGTATACTTGCCATTAAATAAAATTACTGTAACAATATTTATTATAATGTTGCCCATAGAACCATAGAATAATTTTGGTCAGAAAAGACCTTCAGATCATTGAGTTAACCCAGCACTGCCAAGCCCACCGCTAAACCATGTCCCTAAGTGCCACATCTACATGTCTTTTAAATATCTCCAGGGATGGTGATTCTTCCTGGGCATCCTGTTCCAGTTTTTCAGAACCCTTTTTGGTGAAGAAAGTTTTCCTAATATGCAGTCTAATCATTCTCTGACACAATATGAGGCCATTTGCTCTTGTCCTATTGTTTGTTACTTGGGAGAAGAGACCGACTCCCACCTCACTACACGCTCTGTTCAGATAGACAGCAAGAAGGTCCCTCGTGAGTTTCCTTTTCTCCAGGTTAAACACCCCCAGCTCCCTCAGCTGCTCCTCATATGACTTCTGATTCAGACCCTTCACCAGCTTTGTTGCCCTTCTCTGGACACTCTCCAGTACCTCAATGTCTTTTTTGTCGTGAGGAGCCCAAAACCAAATACAGGATGCGAGATGCAGCCTTACCAGTGCTGAGTACAGGGGGAGAATTGCTACTTTGATCCTGCTGGTCACACTATTTCTGATACAGGCCAGGATGCCATTGGCCTTCTTGGCCACCTGGGCACACTGCTGGCTCATGTTCAGACTGCTGTCAATCTGTATCCCCAGGTCCTTTTCCGTCAGGCAGATTTCCAGTCGTACTGCCCCAAGCCTGTAGTGTTGCATAAGTTTGTTGTGACCCAATAGGTTCTAAGTGCAGGGCCCAGCACCTGGCTTTTTTGAATCTCATACACTAGGCCACAGCCCATCGATCCAGCCTCTCCAGATCCCTCTGCAGAGGCTTCCTACTCTCCAGTAGGTCAACACTCCCTCCTGATTTGGTGTTGTCTGCAAACTGACTGAGGATGCACTCAATTCCCTCATCATTTCTCATTTAAGGATATATTCTGGAACCCATGAAAAGTGAAAGGAGATCAGTTTAACTGTGCTGCCTAGACTGAAGATTTATTATTTATTACTAACTGCTGGACCAATTAACATCACTGAGAATTGCTGGCCACAAAAACTTCCATATGAAAAATATGTACAACTCTCCTTCCCTCTCTCTCTTTGCCAACAGAAAGGAGCTGAATTATGAGTCAGGGAGCACAGAGAATCCATGAAAGCAGGACCAGAGGTCACTAATCTCTGATGCTCTGCCTTCAAGTTTATTCTTTAGAAAACTGATAGAGGAAGATAGAAAGAGAGAGGGAAATAAATGACTGGAAGGGAAAAGGGCAAGAAATGAACTGAAGGGGCAACTTCCCACAGACTGGATACAGTCAGCTGATAGCCCACATAGAGAGATACAGAAGAATGTCCATACAGCGAGAGTGACTTTCCTTTAATATTATGAGAATTCTTGTGTTTATGGACTATGTAAGCACACAGCTCAAATAAGGAAAAAGAGCTTTCTACAGGCTGATGGGGTACACAGGATTATCAGCAGCTAAGGTAAATAAAATCTAGTTAGTTGTTACTAAGAAGTGCCTGCATGTTTCTTTTTTTTTCCCAGAAAAAAATACAAGTTTGTCTTCCCTTTATACTAATTAAACAGACTTCCTTACACAGTGAATCTTACCTTTAAAAGTTGGCCTGACACAAGCCAGCTGGAACAGGTTGCATAGGGCAGGGGTGCACATTACCAAATACTGAATGAAGAATTAAATGAAGCAGATCAAGAAGTACCATGGTTGGAAAAATGGAGCTGTTGAACTTTGCTAGATGTGAAACTCTCTAGAAAAATCAAAGAATACGGATGGATATGTATATAGCATTTAATTCTAACTTAAAAAATGGATGATAGCAAAATGTCAATTTTTCATGATGAATTTGCATATTTTTATCAGTTCATTCTGGTTAATGCTACTGCTGTACATAACATTCCTCCCCGTGAAACATGTTGTACATCATGTTCTTTAGCATATGGATTAATACAAGTTTTCAGCTGAGGAAGTCAAGCTGATTTTAAATGTAAGGTTGAACAGTGCAGTTCAGGATAATCGAATAGGGATGAAAATCTACAGACAAATTTATTCACTGTTGACCATGTTGTGCATGTTTAGATGGAGAAAAAGGCAGAGCCCAGAAAGCAAATTGGAGACTGCGAAATGCCAGCTGTAACTATGTTTAAAACAAAAGTGTTTGCTTTCACAGAGTTAATGAGTGTCAACTCTGTTAAAAAGCAAAATGCAAAGACAGGAAAGGATACTGTTCTGTATTCATCAGCCACAGAGTCACAGAATATTCTGAGTTGGAAGGGACCCACAAGGATCATTGAGTCCAACTCCAAAATGAAGGGCCTGTACAGGGATCGGACCTGTGACCTTCCCGTCATTAGCACCATGCTCAAACCAACTGAGCTAACATTTAGGGCCATCACTGACACTTAGGACCATCAGTCTGCAGAGCTCATTCCATCTACTGAACCCTACTAATGAACTCAGCCTCTCATCATTCTCTAACATTTCACAGGTAGGAAACTGGGCACTAACCATCAGAGGAAACGCATCTGTCAGTCACAGAATACTCTATAGGTGAAGTGGGTATTACATCCCCAACTTGTTATAATTCTTCTATAATAAACTTTCTTCTAAGATTCATAGATTGTTTGAAGCTCTTGTTGCAAGCTCTGGCTTGCAAGCTAACCTGCAATTTATTTTTTTTCCTTCTTGCTGAGAGTCCTGTGGAAACTATCAATGGCTTTTATGAGCATGTACCTTCACGTTATGCACTACTTACAGATGCTTCGATCATTTCTAGTCTGCCATACAGCTATTGGATAAAATTAAACATGTAATTAAAATTAGCTTACTTCAATGACTTTCAAATATTTTCTTTAAATAACATTTTAAATTCTCTCAGCTAACAAGGAATTACATGGTTTTCATTCCATAAGTACAATAAATAAATAAATAAATCACTGTTAGTCCAAGTGTATGTAAGCTTATGCACAGCATACCCTATTTGGATATAACATATGTATAGGTAAGCAGCTCGTGGAAATTAGTAACTTCAGTCATCTCACAAATGGAAAAAAGTATGACACATTAGATGAGCATCCTATTCCTAGCTGGAACTTGCAAGACACTTGAATGAACAATATTTTGCATTGGCCTATGCAAAGAATTGCACTGTAACTGAGGCTTTCAAAGTGAAATAATTAGAGGCTGTATAGTAGAATACTTAAAAATGGTGACTGTATATTCTTCCTGAAAGATAACATGCAATATGTGGGCCCCAAGAAGCAAATATAGAAATGACCAAGAGGAATAATTTGCCCTAAAAAAAATAATTTTGTCAATAATCTTCAGTAAGGAAATGGTGGATTAAGACAAAATTACGTAAGTGCATAAATTTTTTAAGGGTTTTCATATATAAAAACTGAATCTCTTCTTGGCATCTTCAAAATTCTGGACTAAGTCACAACTCGGTTACAAAAAGCAAGTCAAAAGCAAGTTTTCCTGAATGACATGTATGCAGGAGTTTTTACTATAAAACACTCTCTTACCACTTGCCCTCTTTGGGATCACAAATACATTTTAGCATACATAATATACACACTGCACACACAAGTATTTCCTTTTTATTCTTCCACTGAAGTTCATCTTCTTGCAAAATATTACTTGACAAACTAAATTTCTGTTTTATTTTTGGAATCATAAGATGGTATAGGCTAGAAGGTACTCTCAGCTCAATACTGGCCTAACTTCAAAGTTTTCTTTGAATTCTTCACAATCAACTCCACATCTTCTCTAAGCCACTAATGAATGAACAGCAATCAAGAAGTAGTCATAAAAAGTTCAAATATATATTATTTTGCATTTATCACTACCAGTGAATTTGGTCAACTATAGAGTTATTCATTCAACAACATGAGCTCATAGCTCTGGAGTTTATTATTGTTATGAGTAACATCTACTGGAGAATTGAAAATTACAACCACAGTTCCTTTAAAAAGTTCATCAGGTGGATCAGCTAGGGTATGAATCAGTTATAAAAATAATATTTTTAATGGGATCCTCCCACCATGTAAACAGAATCCTGGTTGAACATGCAGTGACTAGGAAAAATATTCGTATTAAATGACAGCATGACAGCTGTTGGCCTAACACAGGAAACAGATTACTGCAAAGGAATTGCAACTTTGTCTGTGGTGCAGAATTCTTCCTACTAGGAACTAGGCATAGTGGAGAGAGAAATCGCTACTAACAACCTTCAGAAAAATTCATGAGGAGAGGAAAGGGGAAGTAAATAAATATAAAAACACAGGATGATTCAAAGTTGGAGGCTGACTGAACTGCAAGGTCAACTAAACCAGGAAAGGCTTCTTTGAGATACTGTCAGTCAAAGAAGAGAGATGTATTAGTGCTCTTCTCATAGGAATACATTAAAAGAATAAAACATTCCATAAGTTTCAGGGGTGACTGCTGTGAATTAAAAATAAGCAAAAAAAAAAAAAATCTCCCCAAAACACCACTAAAAGGCTATTTTTGTCTAAAAGTAAGTGTTTGCACTTAATAAACATACATCAGTAGAGTTTTGTGAAATAAAAAAACAAAAACCATGATTCTTCTGTAAAGCTGTCTTTTAGCATAGATACAAGCTTCCTTAGGGCAGATGCATTTTGACCTGAATGGGCAACTCCAAAGTCACACAGCTAAGGCTATTTCATATGGTAGCCAAATGTCTGCTATAGGTGATGACAGGATTTTTGGGATGGAGGTCAGAGGGGTCAGAAGAGGAAGTGAAATGGTAAAAGCTGTCTTTGCTTAGCCATTAAAACTGCATCAGTAACCTGTCAGAACAAGAAAAAAATGGATACTACAACAGCAGGAGAAAAACCAGGAAATTGCTCAAATAAAGAATGAAATTCTCAAATAACCATAACTCACAGGCTTCCAAGAATTTCCAAAGTGAATCTCAGTCATTCTTTTAAATTGTTAATTCAAGAGAAAACAGTAAGAATAATCCCCACACTACAGATTTGTTCAGCTTTCGTTTATTGCTTGATGTCTTAAATTGTGAGATTTCAGATCTAAATGTTACCAACAAAAAAAGTCTTAAGCCAAGTCAAAGTCTTTTAGAACTAAATTATGTCATAGCTTTTGAACTATTTGAAGTTTTCTTTGCTAAGTAACAGTAATTAGCTTGGAGCAGAAACTCCTTCCACCCACAGTCTCTCAAGATACCATGTCTTTGTATCAAGAGTGCTTTGTGTTGTGGTTGCTCCATTAAATGAATACTTAAACAACAAATAATCTCTCTCAAAAGTTCAAGAGCTACTTGATGGCAAGTGTGGTCTTCAATTCAATAATTACCTCACAAGACACCTGTCAGTAAAAGACTAATCAAAGTTTCCAATTCCATGTGCATGTGTGCGCCCATGTATATATGCATTTGTGGGCCTTTCAAAAAATCAAAGGAGATTTGGTGTTGTTTAATGACAAACATTAACACAAATAAGCATGAACTTCTAAAGCCATTTCTGGAAGTTATTCTCATACTCCACTAGGTCATTACTCATATAAACACTTGGTATTTATTTCTTGTAAAAATCACAGCCAGTTGCTTATATTAACTATCATTTCAGCTTACTAATCTATTGGTTATAGTGTGCCTAGGTGGCTTTGAGGAAATTCAATCATTTTGGATAAACAGTTCATGTGCTACTACCCAAACCATGGAATGTTCTTCAGTACATTTGGGGGAAAATAATGATAATCATAATGAGAGCACATCTTTAATGTTTTAACTATAAGGTAATAAAATCAATAAAATTAAAATACATTAACACAAACAAATAAATAAATAAAATAATGAAATTAGGTGTGCTCAAGATGTTAGAGAAGGAGACTTTTTAATCAAACAGTACTTAGAAGAAGCTTTTTAATGATGGCTTCCAGTTTTTCTGTAGCTGCTGCTAATTCAGTGTGAGCCTGAGCCAGTGCACAACATTTTGGTTCTGCCTCATGATACACCTTGAAAAAGGCATACAACACAGGTACATTAGACAAGAAATTGTCTCACTTTATTATTAAAATTATTAGTGACTTCTGATGAAAGACTTTCCGATAATCCTAGTAATCTTTCTTTACATATATTTGCTTTAGACTCCTCTGTCTAAACAACAGTGGGACACATAGAGATTTCATTTTTTATTGACTTAAAGACTACAGCAGATTTTATTATAGTTTATAGAAGAATATCTTAAGCAGAACTGAATACACCCTTAGTGGGTCTACTCTCCAACTAAAATTAATTTACATGTATCATTTTCATGGTTTTAGAATACAGGTGATAATCAGTCATTAAACTTGAGTAGATTTCAAATAAAATTGATAAGTTTTTTACTATTTTGAAATTAAATAATAGCATGCTTTAATACTAGGATGAATGGAGAAATCCTGCTGCCAGGTGCTCAAGGGAATCGCAAATGATAAGCTCTGTCTTACACTCCAGACAGCCAGACTCAGATGGATGTTTCAAGTGAAACATGTACATCTGGAGAATGTTTCCCAACTGTTGCATCATGATGACAATTGAAAAGCCCTAGACAGCTACATCTTTTTTCCCACTTTCTACTAAAAATATTGTGTACATACTGTTAAGCACTGAATACTTCCCACTTTATCAATGGTTGTTGTTACGTGCTCCCCAGAACACTAAGTTGAGCTTACTAAAATGATAAAAAAATTCAGTAAGACAACTTTCCCCATCAGGGCCAGTTCAAGAGAGGAGCTGATATATACACACCTCACTGAATTTTACTATATTGATGACCCTGGGACAGAGACCAGCTGCTGCAAAGGATTTTGTACGAACATGATTTGGGTTGAAATCTGGATCCTTCAAGTAATGTTTCTTGATGACTTTCAGACAATTCTGAGGAATATGCTCTGATCCTTCTAGAAGTTATCCTAAGGCACGTGGAGGACAGGGAGGTGATTTGAGATAGCCCATGTGGCTTCACCAAGGGCAAGTCTTGCCTGACCAAATTAGTGGCCTTCTGTGAAGGAGTGACTACATCAGTGGACAAAGGAAGAGCTGTGGATGTTGCCTATCTGGACTTCTGTAAGGCCTTGGATTCAGTTCTCCACATTCTTCTCTCTAATATGGAGATATGTGGGTTTGACAACTGGACTGTCCAGTGGTTAAGGAATTTGCGGGGAGGTCACATCCAGAGAGTTGTGGTCAATGGGCTCAATGTTTGGACAAGTGGTGTCCTTCAAGAGTTTCATATCTTCATCAGTGACAGATGGTGGGATTGATTGCACTCTCAGCAAATTTGCAGATGACACCAAGGTCAGTGGTGTGACTGATACGCCTGAGGAATAGGATGTTATTTAGTAATGCAGGATAGGAGACAAGGTAGGGTATCTGTACAAAAAAGCTGGGGAATATTAGGCCACTCCGTAGCCTATGCCATTGCAGTAGGTAAGCTGCAAGTGTTTCATGATCTATGTCCTAACTCCAAAGCTGGAAGTAAACAAGAAACATATGGCAGAAAGAGAGTGAAGATTTTTACTAAGATTTTGGGAGCCATGAACTTTTTTCCCTGCTTCTCCATTTTCCCCCTTTAAAGGGGATTTGCCTTTAGAAAATCAGAGGAAATACCCAGGAGCCAAAGGTCAGTTCAGTGATGCACTGGAGCTTTCCCTAAACAGTAAAACACTCACTCCAGTTTCTGGATATAAGCAAGTATATCAAATTTGTCAAACCATCCTCCATCTTTTGCCAAATTTGCCTCTTTCTTTTAATTCCTCAGTTTCAAGTCTGAAACCATAGGCCTCAACAAGGGAGAGAATGGGAGAAAAGAAAATATCTTATATGAAAACACTGTACTTCCTTAATTTCAGGTTTGGAAAGCAAAGAGACACCAGTTAAAAAAGCTTTATCAAAACACTTATTTTGACTTAACAGTGGCTTAGATCAGTGACTTTACATCAGTTATCTTCAGTTTTAAGTGAAACCTGAGTGTCTCCACAACTTTTTAAAACAATTTAATTATCTGTTTAAAAGCGGATTATGATTTCATTGGTACAAATTTATCTCAAAGAGTAACTCTGGAGGGTGTTCTGTATCATTGGCAATTATGTATTCAGAAGATTATCATATTCATTTTTAAAGACACATAGCCTGGGGCTGAAGTCAGTTATATTTGCTTGATTCTTATCCTAGTACCTCATGCTCATCTCACAGGCTCATTTCCTGTCACGTCTTGCTTAAACAAAGTCTAATTACAGAGAAAGAGGATATTACACTGATGAAGATGTTAATCCTTGGATCAAGCACTATACGTTGGCAGTAACAAGCCTCTGTAAGAAGTTAATATCCTTACAAAACATGTTTCTACAATTGTTGCAGGCATTTTCCATGTACACATTTATTAGATAGGACACACAGAGACACTGTCTGTGGAAATAACAAAGATTAAAAATCAATATGCATTACATTATAAATGACAAGTTACTAATCAAGTTAAATATTTCCTCCATCTCTTGTGATATAATTTTTAGGATGTAATTACCAATGTATCTTGGTTTGCATCTTAGCCACAACATATTTTTTTAATTAAATTGACAATACATAGTGCTTCTAATGTGCCATTTTTTTAAAAAATAAACATCTAACATAAGTCACACAAGTTGATTATATTTCTGTCTCTCTTTTTTCCTAATGCTTAGTTATGCTTTGCTTGCTGATGCCCAAAGAAAATATGCAACAAGATAATTGTTTTTTATGGGAAGAAAAATTAAACAGAACAGGTTGCAGATAAGCTTTAGGACAGTATTTCTCAAACCTACTACCCCTCGAAAAGGGAGGAAGGAGTTTGTCATCCCTCTTCCCAGAAATTTAGTCCCCTTCATATCAATATTGCTACAGTGTAGAGCTTTTGAATGATGGCTAAATTGTTAGAAAACAGACCATGAGTAGAGTGGCTTAAATATACCAAACAAATAAAGAATGCACTTCAGCTGAGGGAGGTAAACAAAAAAAAATTCAATCCATCTTTCTTCCTAGTCCTCGGCTAGTGTCACTGTCACATATATACCTGCTTTGCATGTTTTCTTCCTTTAAAGGAGTAGGTCCTATTTTAAAAGGCAATGGCATATGCAACTTCATCTGTAAACCACTCTGGCAACATTCAGAGTACAAAAATGGCTGGTAAAATGACAGTAGTGCTACTGCTGGCTATTTTAAAACCTAACCAACATCATGTTTATGGTAAGACCCTTGTTTATTGCTATAGGGGTATGTAACTCTGCCACATTTGTGGGGAATCCAGAGTAATCTCACTTTTCCTATGAGTCTGATCTAAACTGACTTCCATTCTTAAGTAATACTTCATTCCAAGTCAATACCTCCAAGGCACTTATTTGCCTAATGTTGTAAAACTCAAAAAAACTCTTGCAAACTCCAGTTTGAAATCTATAGAACAGGAAAGTAAAAATAATTTTTAATCAATTATGAAGAGTCTTTACAAATTACTTAGTTGGAAGATGTCTTCCATTTGCTGGGTTTTCTTTTTTTTTGTAACAAAATATTATAGAAGAGTAGTATTTAGAAACTATTGTCAGTCTTACGAAAGAGTTTTAGATTATCGTAGTGCAAAACGACACTTCAATTTCCAATGAAAACATTTCAGAAGTGCAATAAAGCAATGGACAGTGGAGTACAGTAATTAATAATGTCAGGTGCTGAACTTCATCCCAGAAACAAAGTAGCCCAAAGAAGTGATTATCTCACAATAATCACTCTATGTGTTTAACCTAGTTGCTTAATGAAGTAACTAGTTGTGGTAAGGGTGTATTTTGATCATCCAAATTCATCAGAAGCATATGGAACCATTACCGGAAAAGCATCACTGAAAAGCAGATGGTAGGATGTAGAGCTGTTGGATCCCCTTTGTGCAAGTTTAACTATTTGCACTATTTGTACTTTAAACTTCATGACAATTTTTAAGACCTATATAAGATATGGATCAGCAAAAGGATGAATTCCATAATTAGTATAATCCAGAGAAATAAAAAGGTCCTTATCCTCTCTTCATTTATGTCGGTAGAAAAAATCACTTTTCCCTCAATAAAATTAGAATCAGACACAAGGTCATTAGAAAGGTATTAAGCGTCATCTAAAGATAAATATTTAAGAAACAAAATAGAAGAAAATGAGAGACTATTTTGATTGCCAGACAATATAATCTTCCCTCCTGGTCAGTATCTGGAAACTGTTTACAAAATTCTTGGCAACTTGAAGTATCCACAGCTCAAAATCAGGCATTAAAAACTATTACGAATCAATTAGAACCTCTCTCTGCAGTTTTGATAAATGGCATAATGTACATCAGATTTTGTAGCAAAATGCCAGAGTTGAATGAGCCCTTCAGACTTTCAAGGTAGAGGAACTTCAGTTTATATCATTCCATATGCCTGGTGCTTTATTTCAAAACCATGCTTGTAACAGTAGGTGGAAATTTTAGAGTCTAGATGAAATTTCTATTCATTCTGTGATGAAGACTAACCCCTGTAAACCTCTGTGTTTCCGACATGGATGTTGATAACTGAACTGAGAGCAAAAAGACTGAAATGAGAGCAAAAAGGAGATTCAACACTGATGACATATATTAATAGGAAAGCTATCATAATCTTAAGATTCAAGGTTTGCACCTTGCAATATTGCGAGATGCTGGAATGAACTTCTGTATCAATTGAGTTGTTCAATTTACCTAGAGCCTCAAAGCCTTTAGAAATCTGAAGTGCTAAGAGATGACTCTCTGACCTTTACTGTATTACAAATAGGTCTGATTCTCAAGATCCACATCCATTAAATGCTTGAACGAGCTCAGTATTTATTGTTCTTTCATCTCATTAAAAGAGCTAAAAGGTTGGGAAAAGGCATAATGTAAAGAAAGGTCAAGTGGTAATCACGGTGTGAAATGCTGTTACATGTGTAGGTATAATAATTCTTTAGACTTTATGCTCCCTGGAGAGGAAGTTGTTCAAAACTGTTCCCCTAAAAAGGTTTATTTTGTGCTAAATATAGTTCAACACCAGTAAATAGGGGAATTAGACTGACCTTTAGCTCCTCTGCATCTGCAATGGCCTTTTCTTGGCTCACTTTCCCAGTCTGAAACCCTATCTTAGCAATCAAAGCTTCAGTATCTTGATTTTACAGTTGCAGTTCTGCCTCTTGAGAAGGAAGCTTGGATTTTTGATCTTCTACCTACAGGGCTAAAGGTAATGCTTTATTCAGGTCATTAGCCATGGTTCTGAGACCCAAAAGCTGAACTCAAAACAAAATTCATGTTTTGCGGGTCTCTATCAATAAAGTGTTGTCTTTTAATTTTTTAGTTTTTATTTATACCTGACAGAATTTTATTGACATAAAAAACTTAATAATGACAGCCTAACTGCTCCCATCAGGGACCCCATAGCTCCCCCGAGGTGCTTAGATGTCTGTCCTGCTGGTCAGGTTGTGGTTGTAACTAGGTGTCTCAGCGGTGCAAAAAAGGTACAGCTGCAGCACCTCGCAAAGGCACCAATGTAAAGGCAGAAGGACATTATCAAAAATGCTTACTATTCACTCTGGGCAGGTAATTCCAGCACAGGTTTGCTGAAAGGTTAAGAAAAACTCAGAGACTAATGAACAAAGACTATCTGTTAGTCTGCTGAAATAGCAATTTATTGCCTGCCAGTCGAGAAACCCGTACCAAAATATCCACTGACAATATCTTTTCACATATAAAAGAATTCTTACAAGTAACTGTGGGCTGGGCTTGTTTTTTGTTTTTCTGCTATCTCTCCAAGCATTTTATCTGGCAGTTATTCATGATAACAGCCTATATTTTAACCAAAGGGGTTTTATTAACCTGATCTGGATAGAGATGATAAGACAAAGTAAAAGAGGAATGTTAGAGGGCTTACACTTCAATAATGTGGAAGGTCTTGCAGGCTCTTCTGATTTGGTGGCCTCCTGAAATCCTACAAAACCTTCAAAATTACCCTTTTCAAAATCTGACCATTTTGAAATGAGAAGACAAAGCTGTAATACTGAATTGTAACAGATCCCAAATCTCTCCACTCATTTTATTTATCAATTTATTTGAGCTGACTTTATGTCTTTTTCTCTATGAAAAATACTAAACAGTGCTGTACTTGATATTCTTGTGTAGAGCTCCTCAGTGCAGGGTGAAAAAGGCTCACTGTTCAAGTGCTTGGCTAGATGGGAGCTCTGGGTCTGTCAACCAGCATAGCATGCAGCACTTGAAATTGTCAAATTGCCATTTGATCATCATCAAATTAAAAATCAGAGAAAAAGAGCATTTTAATAATTTACTATCATGGGATACCCTTATTAAAAACAGACTTAAAAAACCCAGCCACTCTTTTCTGTTGACTATTTTTTTGCAGGTCTTCAGTTGACCAGGTGGGAATAAGCCAGCCAGCTCCAATTATTAACTTCATGCAGTAGCATCAAGATGCAATGTTATGCAAAGACTGCAAATGAGAATTTCATTTGCATAGAAACACACAGATTTTTTATTTTAATTACAAAATCACTGGATTATTGCTTATCTTCAGCATTGGCAAAAGGGGTTATGAACATGTGAGTGGGTGGCGTGGGGGAAAGGCTTCTAAGCAGTTTCCCCTTCCTTCTGTCTTTGTGGACTGACCAACCACAAATGAACTGTAAGCAGAAGCACTAACTGGGGACTAAGTGGCACTAGCCTTACAAGGACGTGACAACAGCTGAGGGAGAGGCTTCATACTTGTTCCTCCTGCTTTCATTACCCCTCATTTTGTCACTGGCCATGCACAAAACCCCCACAAATGGCATCTTCTCTCTCCGTGGGCTTAACTTTTACTGTGGCACTTGCTTCCCCTCCCACCTTTTTAGTGTAGTCCCACTATACTATCCCTCCCTCCAGACTTTGTCCTTGCTTAAATGGATGGTATCCTCTTTCCAGAGACAGCTAAACACCTCAAAGAGCTTCTCCGCAAAGGAAAAAACTACAAAGCCCAGTTTCAAAAACCAGGTAGTTTCAATGAAACACAAAAATGCCACCCTATATCTAATCAGTTTAATGAAAAGGTGGTGTGACAACGTCGCTTTATGTGCAATAAAACTATGATTATTTATAAAGAATAAAAGAAAAGGTTGCGACTTTCACAGTTTACCTGGAAAGCTGCTGCCTTCCTTTCGCATCCTTTTGCCTTCCTTCCTAATTCTGAAAGTTTCTGCATGCCCTTTAGCTCCATGTGTCGGGACATCTTGCTTTTCTTCTCTAGGAGGATCTTATCAAGCATGATTTGCTCCGGAAAACTATTTGGAGTGGTGTAATTGTATTGCCTCTTGCTATGACTGTATTTACACTGAATGCATTCACACTGGTGTGGGCATAATGGAGTCCTGGATGAGCGGCTGCACATATCCAAGGAACAAGAACAAATGTAAACACAGGAGCAAAGAAATATTTCCAAAATTCAGTGTATCTATATAGGTTAAGTATATCCATATAAGTTTCTAAGGATGGCTTTTTCACAAAACTCTTCTTCAGTTTACCCTAAATATAATGCTGTCAGCATGCAAAAAACATTACAGCAAAATAAGCAAAATAAGCCTTCTCCAACCATTTTGCATCCAATTAATTAATTTTGCACTGGCATTCATTAAGTCTTCACAGAATCACAGAATATGATGAGTTGGAAGGGAACCATAAAGATCACTGAGTCCAACTCCCAGACCTGTGCAGGACACCCCAACAATCCCACCACATGTCTGAGGGCATTGTCCAAACGCCTCTTGAGCTGTGTCAGGCTTGGGGCCCATGACCATTTACCTGGGTAGCCTGTTCCAGTGCCTAACCTCTCTCTGGGTGAAGAACCTTTCCCATCACCACAGAAGCTCAGTGCTTCAACATACTTATGTATTTTTTGATATATACTTCTAAAAGCTAAAACCAAGGATTAAGTCAGTCACTATACTGCTATATGCAGATATAATAACTCATGAATTTTCTATTTCACCTCTGGAAATCCTGTCTAAGAGAAATCCTACATAAGTTAAAGAAACACAATAGAGTGGTTGCTGTAATCACACTGGTTCCCACATACTTCATATATCATCAAATTCCTCTCTGGAGTGAACTGTATTTTTGCCATTAACTTCAGATTGAACAGAACTGGACACCATGATTTTGATTTTTGAAGTTGTACAAGTCCCTGCTTATCTGTGCTTGTCAAAGTCAGTGATAAACTAACAAACTGTTATGAGGGCAGGATTTAGACCACTGTGGAGTGCTTCTGAATGTCAAAAAATCAGCAACATTTCTGTGCTGAAGTGACCTCTCAGTTTCAAGAGGTATTTGACCAGAAAAGTAGTTATAACTTAATGGAGTTCAGATTCACTCTGAGCTGTGACAGTTGACACTTCCTCATGTGCCAGACAGGCATCCAAACACCAAATATAACTCCAGCTCCAAGCTTAGCACGCTGCAGAAAGGACCCTAGAGCATTACTGTGGCCCTGGGGGGGGGGCTGTGCTGGGTGCCATACAGCTCCACATGGAGTTTCTCTCTCATCACAGAGACCAAAATGCAGCTGTGAGACTGGAAATTTCTTTTGACACACTATGAAAATCAAAACAGGCTAGACACATTTAAAACAGCTCCAGATGGTCATTTAGGCATGTGTTTCTGAGCAAAATGCAGACATAAAATGTGTGTCTTTATTTACCTCTGACAGCAAGAAGAGAGGTAGTTCTAGGATTATAGTTCAAAGGTCCTTCTTCTAAATTTTTTGAATTGAACTAGCAAATACAAGATACCATTACAATTAGAGTATACTTCTCCAGAATAAACATGAAATAAGAAAGCCCCAACATTAATTTTTTTTTGTTTTAAAGGACCTTATTCACGTATATAACTACAATATATCATGTATATTACTACAATATATGCATACACATGTCTTAGCAAGAGTACTGTAAGCAAAATTAACAGGGAAATACTTAGAAAACCCTTTTAACTCCAGCACTGTAACTAACTTTCATTTTGTCCTCTATGACTTCCAGCATATTTAAACTTTATAATTTGTGGAGTCACATCTCCCTCATTTTAATGATTATTTATTGCATTCTGTACAAGATGAACACAGTTCAATTAATCAAGGGAAGCCTAAAAATCAATTAATATGAATTAAATGAGCTACACCAACTCTTAGGAAAGTCACACATAATTTACCAAAGCATTGTCAATAATGCTTAGGGAACTTCGGGAAAATTGCTCACGAGTGGCTGTTGATGCAGTTAGATGTTTTAAGCCTACATCATTAATATTACAGTCAGGTTGATGCAGAAAGACTTGCCATTTTTCTCAGTAAGAAAACTCATTATTTTCTTGTGACTTTTAAGAGCTAGTTTAGAAGAATACTTATTTCACCTATGATTACAAAAACAGAAATTAAAACAAGAAATAAATAAAGAATGATTTGCATTTAGGGAAAACAAATAAATTGCTTTACAAACAAAAAAAATCAGAACATCATTAGTTGAAGTAAAGTAGCATAAATTCATCCTTAAAAAATTGTTTGTAAAAGCAAGGCTAGTCAGCAGGAATAGATACTTTATGCAGATTTGAGCAGTGTTTAGCTTCCAACTAAATGTGTTGGAAAGGCTGAAATGTGTTTCAGCCTTTTTCTGCTTTTTTTATTGTTTGTGACATATACGCACCCTGCAGTACAGCTCTTCCCAGTCAAAGACAACCTCCTTACACATGATCCTTATGAGAGGTCTCTACTCAGCAGCCCTGAAAAGCCCTCTAACAACAGTCTCATTTGTAAATCAGTGAGGGACGAAGTGGGTTCCGGTAGAGCTGGAAGTGGCCCGAGACAACTTGTCTCAATGGGGCAAAATAACTATTGTTATCGAGCTTAACAAAATGGCACAGCATGGGAGACACGCTGAGCCAGAGAGCAGCTGGTTGTAATTCACACTGGTTTTCAGAAAACACTAATCGTTCCCGAACAGACCTCTTTGAGGATTGGTCTTCCCTGCATTTTCAATTTGTCACCTTCTCTTATGATAAGGTCAGCGGTGACAGCACTTCCTGACATTAACAGCTGTGGCTTTTAAAAGGGTCATTGTGGAACTACTAATTGCAGTAATTTCATTAGCATAAATTATTTATTCTGCCATTCATTTATCCCCAGGATTTTTTTTTTTAATACTACATTGTACTTTTCAATATATGCCCATTCAGGGTTGTAGGCAAAGGAAATTATTATTGTTAATTTAGTTTTCTTTATTGAAAAAAAAAGCAAACAAAAAAGAGTTGATACAGTAACAAAATCTGATTCAACTGCAGTTCTCTAGAAAACATAAAGCAGCTTGAAGCCAGTAATGAAGACTGGTACAAATCAAAACCATTCATTAGTCCAAAAGACAACTGAGTATTAAATCTATATACACTCTGAAAGAAAATATAACAGGTGAAGTTTGTTCATCCTTATACAATCTTTCTACTCTAGGCCTTGGCTGACTGACTCTAAGCATGTGAAAAAAACCCAAGGCAAGTTATGAGTAGTTTAAACAGGAATTTTGCCTGCATCCTCCCTATATCTTTTCTCAGAATGTATAATAGTGATCACTATCACATATATAAATCTTAAGTCTTTGCGGTTAAGTTGAGCTAGCTGAAACATGCCAACTAAAGAGCAAAAAAGACCAACGTCACTGAAAATGAACACATCTCATGGGCAGTTATCAAAGTTGAGAAAAAAAGCCAAGCCAGAAGAAAAGGTAAGGGGTGTGGGTGGGTGGGCAGGGGGGAGTTTGAGGCAAGGGGAGAAGGCAAAAGTATTGCTCCAGGCTGTTTCTTTGCCACACCACATGTTGTAAAGTATTTTGGAATATGATAAACTAAGAGCATAATTAATTTATTCTTGGTACGCTTAACAGTGTGTGCTGTTTGGTGCTAAGCAGCAGAGAGGTAGCATAAAACACAGCAACAGTAAAATAGATGTACATGACTGTTATTTTCAGAGGTGGATTAAACAATCCTAATTCTTTTATTCTGGACTCAGTGCTGATATGTGAAACCAGATGAAAGTAAGAAAGGGAGGTTGCCTGTCATGTTGAATTTGGACACAGATTATTTTAAAATACTGTAGATCACATTGTGTATCAAATGAGGTAAAAAGGCATCTTTGTAGATTTATTAAGCTCAGTACACAGATTTCAAAACTGCTACACTCTGTTCTTTTCTTGTGCTCTTTTAAAATTAGGTTCAGCAATTTGAGTACTGAAACAGAAGAGGGCTCTTTTCCTCTCTTCTCTCCCAAGAAATCAAAGACATCAGAATTGATTAAATTTCTGATACTCTCTATTTCCCTTCAAATACCTCTGAATTCACTGTTTCTTTTCCTTAACCCACACATTGACCAATGTCCCTCCAGGTGAAAAGGATCTCACAATGCCTACTTTCAACAGGCACCATAATTAGGGAGGATCACTTGTTCTTCCTGTTTAGATACTTTCACACAGGGCAAAAGGGATGTTCACAACACCCTTCATAGAGTATACTGACACTGAAGTTCACCATCTCCCTGCTAAACTCAGTCTACCCCACTTCTTTTCCTGGCTAAACTGTATCTTCCAGAAAAGTAATAGGTTTGAAGATAAAGAGATAGAGAAAAAAACCCAAAACTTAAAAACCAAAACCTTCCTTCTCAATTCCCACAGTCACTGTGAGTTTTTTATGGCTTTTCCTCACCATTTAAACCCAGAAACATTCCAGTTTTTGTCAAAGCAATTTACATATGATATCATATTTGTATTGAACTCTCAAGGGAAAAAAATCATTAGCTTAACTTCAAGGTACCTTAATTAAAAACAATCTGTAATATTGTTAAACATCAATAAACAAAAAGTCCCCTATCAATTACTATTGCTCTATTTTTCTGAAACTGTGAAAAAGGACAATTAGGATCTAATTGTCAATGATGCCAAAATAGTCAGTAATAGACCTCACCCTGCTGATCAATCATACAGTATGTTACAGAAGCCCAGGCACATGTGAACCCTAACTAACAAGATTTCTCTACTAAGAACAAAGGCTTTCCTGAAGTATCTAAAAAGAAGCAAGCAAAATGACATATTAACACACCAGCACTAGAGAGGATAGGAGACCACTTCCCATAAATCTTTGATGGAGAGGAGATGGCAGACTTCAGTAAGATTCCCTCTTCTTCAGGGTGGTCTTTTTCCACCCAGCCTCTCTCATTCTTTTGATATTCTAATACATCTCTGCAACTGTCCTGTTGCCGCTCTCTTTACTAACTTTTTTCTGTGGTCCTTCTCCCTTCACCTTCCTTTTACTCCTCCCCAGACTCCCTGCTGTACACCTCTCCTACTGTTCTGCTTCAGTTTTGCTTTTTTTTCCTGTCTCTCACGGCTTAGTTCCCCGTCTCTCTCCACCATATTTCATATGACTATGAAATGTTGTCATAGTTTCTCCGTTATTACAATGCCTCTGTTCTGAGTTCCCTTTTCCCACCACTTTCAAATCTTTCCCTTGCCTCATCCTAATATTTTTTTAATTCTGCTGTCTTGTCTGTTGGTCTTCTCATAGGTTGCACATGCAGACATGATTCAGGCACCCAATACTGCTTTACGCATATTGATGGCACAGAAACCTTAACTCACTTTCAATAAAGTGTCATGTTATTTAGTTAGTCGACATTCATTTGACTTGCTGGGAATCAAACAGGAAAGGTATTTACCAGGAGCAGCTAACAACAATGTGAAAAAAGAAACTCATCAGCAGTTGCTAGGATCAGTGAAATATTTCCTAAGTACTTAAAAAAATGAATTCTAGAGGAACATAGTGATTAATTATTTTATAAAAGTTTAAAAATAACCCCCCAGAGTTTATCAATATATTATACATTAAATATAATACATTATGAACTGCTATATATGATATATGATAATTATATATTTATATGTAATAATATTAAAAGACTGAATTCTGATGAGCAGATGTATTTTCACAGAAGAAAAATACAGTCCTTTCAGTTAAGGATCTGAAAAACCAATATATTTAAACCAAAATAAATTCTATCTTCTTTTCTCCATGCAATCCCATCCATTTCTTTCAAATAAGAAGTTAGTATCACATTAAAAATTAATGCAATTAATACCCTCTCCCCCCCTTCCAGCTCACCAGACAATAAATAATTATCCTGATGACACTGTAAGTCTACGTTAAAATAAAGCAGAAGGAGCTGATGGAACACACAAATGCCTGGTTTATTTGCAAACATCTCTCTCTCCCCCGCAGTCCTACAGGAGGCATCCGTGTGCCGCCGCAGCGCTGCAGGGTCGGCAGCCAGGGAACCTGTATCGGATTCCACAGCCCGGCTCTCCACACGGCCCCGGGGAGGGAAAACGCCCGGGGGTTTCCTGGAAGCAGCCTCAGACATCCCTTCCCCCTTCCTTCTCAATTTCACGACGACTCCAAGTATTTTGTATGGGTCTGAATGGAAAATAAATGTTGTCAATGCAGGTGACAATGTTGTCAATGCATTTGCCTGGTGTCACCCTCGACTAAAACCAGATGGCTATTCCTTGGGCATTCCTGAAATCCCTGGCCTACTATGATTAAAAATCCCTTATACAAATAAACAATCTCAAATATAACAATGAAACGTCGCAATTGCAGTCACTGAAAGAAATTAAATCTTTTCTAGATCTACGTGAATAACTCCACCAGTCTCACTGCCAGCACGACAGTGTTGTCCCACGCTGGAAGGGACAACAGAGGCAGCTTGGTAAAATTCTTAGAATAATATGAGTATATTCCTTTACCCCATAAGGAAACTCACTAACACGTGGGGTTTTATTTTATTTTTCTGAAAACAAACAAGTGACACTCTATCAGGAACATGTCAATCGGGAACAAAGGGAGAATAATTGTCTAGATATTAAAACTCTAAATGTATTTGCCACGTGGTGCCATGGATTGCCCTTACAGGGGAAATTTTCACCTGTCTAATGGCTGAATAGAGGGAAAACTCTTCTTTAGTTTCCCTGGACTGTGCACTGCAATATTTCAACCTCACGTGCTACAGCACTACTGAATATCTTTAACTTCACTGGAAAGGGTTAAATAAACTCTGTATCTGTAAGATGCTAAATTGCCTAGAATTGAAGGATTCTGCAAAGACAGTCTTCTGCAAAGACCAATTATATGCCTCTTTTCCCCTCACTTCTCTGCCTGTGCTAGACAGATCTCTAAACTCTGCTGAAGGAAGCAGGCAGTGGCATACCATAAAAATTCAGCTTTTAGCAGGGGTGAGCTTGAACAACACCAAAGGCAATAAATATGCAAGAAGGAGTAAAAAGAGCATTGTTTTTTTCCAGCTTATTCAGTTATTGATCTTTCAATGATCTCCGTTGCTTTCTTAGAAAACCGATGAGCTTGAAACTCTGTACCTCGACCCCCTCAGCTTCCTCAATGAACCTCCTGCTGCCAGAGCAAAGGGCCTCCTGTGGCCACTCCTGAAACCAGTCAATAGCAGGGCGCTTAACCATGGCTGGGAACTTCCGAGCTCACTTTCATAGGGCGGCACTGGCTGGAAAGAAACACAGAACAATCTGCGGAGAGGAGGGAGGAAAAAGGGAGAGAAAAGAATCACAGGCCCTCAAAGAGAGGTATACAATTAACCATAGGCCAGCAACAGCCACTAAACAGCTAAAGCTCCAAACCAAATTTGGGGCTAATAAACTTCATCAGTGACCTTGGCAAATAGGTTTTGCTCCTGTTCCATTGTACAAACATAGCATACTTAGTTTCCTTCCCCTCTATCCTCTATCTAAACATGGCAACAGTTATTCAGTTTGATAGCTATAGATGACAATGCAGGCATAGGAATGGCTGGCCTGCAGACAGCCAGAAGGTGCACATTCAGCTGGTCATGGTGACAGAAACCCACTTCTTAAGTTTCTAAATCTATTCAAGCCTCTTCCTGACACTTTAATACACAGTGCAACCCCTCTAAAAGAGCAGGAAGAAAAGGAGATCTGGATTTTAGTTTGCATGGGAATTTTTAGGGACAAGTCTTTACAAAAGTGGAAAGAGATGTCCCAAAAGGGTAGGCTAAAATATTCAAAGGAAAATAAAGCTGTGATTGGTTCTTAATATCACCAAGCCTACCCAAAGAAACTCACATCTGGGAAGGAAGGGTTATTGTAGTCCTCAGTTGTATCACACGGTTTGTCCTTTCTCCTCCATATCCAAGAACTTAGACGGAAATGTAGACATCCATGCAAAACCACAGCGGAGTCCAGGTTGTTCAGATATGTTACAAAGACAGGTTAATCTGCAAGTTGGTTTAAGGTACATAAGAAAACATCACCTACTTTGAATGTGTTCAGCATGAAGAGGCAAATGGCAGAAATATCCACATAGAATCCTAGCCAAGTAGTGAAAATTACACTAAAGTTGTATAAAGAAACAGAAAGATCTTGGAATTTACTGCAAAATTTTATCAGCCTGATGAGAAAGAAGGGCAACACAGAAGAAACAGTCAAAAAGATACAAGAATAAATGTTCTCTACACCAAAATTCTGAATCAGAGAAAAAGAAGACATGTACAGAAAGAATCTGTTAGGTCTGTTTCATGATTCTCAAAGACCTTGAACACTTTTCTGAATTTGTTTCTTGGTTACACCATGTATGTTTCAGTTAGACACTGTTTCTTCCTCATGTCATCTCACTTTCTGAAAAAAAATCTATGTTCAGTTGTAACACCAAGACACATGGTAAGCAATGTTGAAGCCTAGGGCACTTAATTTTCTCTTCTTCTATTCCACTAGTAGCCACTTTCTAAGATCTGCTCTTGTAGCAGCAGTAATGGAGAGCCTGGAGATCTGTCTCTGCTTTGATGTGCTTCCTACAAGTGCCCTTGCTATAGCAGTGGTGCCAAACTGAATCTATCACACCTCCAAAGGTGAAACCATACACAGTCTTGCTTGAAGTTTCATCTTCTACACCCTCCTACACTGCTCACATTGCTCATATGTGGAAAATTACTTCTTGGAATAGTCAGTCCTAGAGCTCAAACTTAAACATACGATTTATAATTTCCATTACTTTTCCCAAAAACACAAAGTTACAACTGAGACATTTTTACTATACTGTATTGTTAGGCAGGAAATTTCAGCACAGGCCTAGATCTAATGTAACACCCTGATCAGATAACTATCTCTTTGTTAATTATTTTTGTATGGACAATAAAAATATAGGGTACAGAATACACTTCAAAAGTTAGTCGTAAAAAGACTAACCTCACCACAGTATAACTTTTCTTTCTCCTTTAGTGAAGTTTGGTAAATTCACATCAGGCACAGATTTGATATGGCATATTTTTGGGGAATTCATTTGCATTCCCCCCAGTGAATTCCCTATACTATAAAGGACCTTGTGCACTGCTTGCTTTGCACACAGAATGATGAAGATTCCGTGTGGTCTGATAGTAAGAGAGTTATGACGAAATTTGAGTAAGTACTACCAGCTACATTTTGAACAATTTCTGCATAAGCAGGAAGGCCTTATCTTAAAAACATTTATCTTCTGTCCAGGCCATACATTACTGTTTAATTTGACAGAGGAGAAAAAAAATTAATAGGAAATTCTCCTTGTAAGAAATGGAGAGTGTCTTTCAAGACAACTGGGATATAAATACTACAGAGAAGGTATTTCATATAGTAATGGAAAACTTTCTCCAAGATGGACTCATTGTTTTCTTTGAAAGAAATGTGGATTGAGAGGGATTATGTATGAATCTTTCATCTGAAATTTTTTAGATTTAAATTCGCATAACTGAGTAATGAAGACAATCGTTGTGGAAGAAAGAACTGTTATCATGTGAAATTAATATCAACGTCCATGTAGCATCCACCTCTCCTAAGAACACAACCCCCCTATTTTCTCAGCTGTCCTGTTTGAGCTTCACACTCACATGTCACTCTCACTACAGATGTCTCTTACACTATATTTTTTGGCTCAACCTCCTCCTGCTTATCTTAGATATGCAAGGTCTCTAGGCTTATTAAGTGCTTCAAACAGAGTAAGACAGACAACTAAAGAGTGCCTTGGCACATGCTTGACCACTGCTCTGATGGGGCCCATCCCATTTAAGTGTTAGTGCACTCACTTGCATGGTTTTCCCATATGAAACTAAGCAGTGCTGCAGCAGGAGTGAGGAGCTATACAGACCAGGAATCAGTCCTGACCAGCTCTATGCCACTACCAGCATTTTGCAAGCACAGTACAGGTAAAGCTAAGCCATATGGATGCCAGCCATGTCATGCTACTAATCCTCAGGATCACAAAATGCCCTTCATAAATTTACTAATACAAATGTACCCTTAAAAGTCAGCTCTCTGAGTACTCAAGAAGAGATGGCTGACATCCAAATAGAAAAGCCTGGAGGTTTTCATAGAGAAACAGGAACTCTTACTGTAAGAGCCTGCCAACTGCAGAAACAGATGTTTTATGTGCTGCAGAAAATCTTCGATAGTTACTCCTCACTGAATGAAACAAAATGAAAAAAAAACCCAAAACCCAAACAAACAAACAAAAACAACCCTAAAAATGAAAAAAAATCTGGGTTCACTATTAGTTTAACACAGAATCAGAAACCCTAAAAACATAGGTTTTTTTGTCTGGGATTAAAGCAGTCAAGCTGATAGACATGTGCATTTATGCCCTCAAAAGAAAAAACCATGAGAGCTGGCCAAAAGCTGATCTCTGATGGGGCTTCACAAGTTCCTCTCAGATTCACAGACAAAAATAGATGTTCTATCAGTGGTGAAGCAGACTGCAAGGAAAAGGCTAATGTGTCCTAATAAAAGAGGATGTGGAAATGAAAGACAATAATTTAAAAGAAAAGTAATAGTAAAAATATGGACAAGATTGTCTGTGGTAATGTAGGACACCCACTCTGCCTATGTTTGACATTAATTTGGACTAAAGCATGAAACTACTGTACTGCTAAATGCCATAGAAAATGGGGAGCCAGCTAAATCCTGACAGGACTACAGAAAGAGAAGACCATTATAAAGATGTGATGACTAAATCAGTCATGCCAAGTTGGAAGGAAATGGGAGAAATGGCCTTCCCCTGAAACTAGCAAATTTAGTTCTTAATGCTGGGACTTCACAACAGTCACTGAGGGACTGTAAACTTTGAAACATGAGGAAAATACACAATGAAGAAACTTGCACAAGGAAGGAGGAGTGAGTATTTGTAGTAGACCAGCAGCTCATGAAGAAAACTGGCTGCACTCAGACTGAATAACAGAGATTCAGTTTAAAAAAAAACCAATTTAACATGTCTGGCTTTAGAATATACAGTAATATTTAAGAGCACTGAGGAAACTGAGATGAGAAGTTTAAAAACATGCAAATATGAAATGACGCAAAGAGTATGCTTGCTGGAAAGAGTATGCTTGAGAGCATGTTTATGTAGGGCATGAGGGCTGCAAGGCATTTAGGCATGATGTTCACATTTCTGGGGAAAAGTTGAAGGGTTACCATGACCAAAAGAATGAAATAAAATCAGATGGATCTCAATAGACAGCATGACTGACTGATCTCATATCCATGCTTTCAAGAAATAATTGCTTCTTCTGGCCCTTACTTTTTCAAGAGATTTTGTTAATGTGCAGAGTATTTAAGAGTGATTACTGCATACAGGTTTGAGATATTGAAAACCTTCTGGAGTTCCAGTAAATTACTGAGCCTTAGAAACTTCTTATCTTATGTGTGCCTTAGCACTGTCAGCACATGAACTTTTACAGTGTTTGACCATCAAATTTCTTTTCTTGAGCAGCATTCTTTCTTTATAATTTATTTCATGATTCATCATGAAAGTTTTTGAAATTCTCAGGTGTATGTATGTCCTCACATACCCTTCAGTTATGGACCTATATTTTATAAAAGTGCAACCCACTGTCTTCACCTGACATACTTTCAATTTAAATTTGCACCTACGTACATGACATGTTCTCAGTACATTAACAGCAGAATGGATTGCAAGGTCCAGGTTGAAAACAGTCAAAACAAAATCAACACAAATCAAAAGAGCTATGGTGATTCAAAGAATAGCACTGGGTAGTATTGGTTCCTGAGTGACAGATTCCTCACCATAAACAGAACTGCAGTATGTAAGACTGTAAGTGGGCACAAGGGAATTGTGGCTTCATGTAGGAATCATGTATTTTCCTAAAATACAATTGAAAAATGAGACTATATCACTTCACTGAGCTTTAACATTATAAAACGGTCTAAATTGTCCCTTCTGCTCTCTTTCACATTATATTAGTCTTTTATTCCTCAAATATAGGAAAAGGAGGAGGTGATAGGTCACCCAGCACTAACTAAAAGTTCATATAGGTATTAGCCAGTGTGTTAACTCATAAAATTTATGTCTCCTTCAGTACTACAATGTCTCTACTTTCCTTCTCTGCAACATGAATAGATATCTCCTGTTCTTGTCTCCAGTAGTGCTAATTTGCACAGTGGGGGACTGGTGAAATGGTTGCAAGGTAAAAGGCATTTGAAAGCTACCTTTCAAAAGGCCCTTAAAATGAAAAAAGAAAAAGAAAATAAATGAAGAAATTACTGTAGGAACAAGAAAAACAAAAAAAGGAAAAAATGTGAAAAGAGAAAATTGAGAGAGATATTAGAAATAATTTTTCCTCTGTCCTTTCTTAAAAAAACATACACAGACACAATAGTCATGAAACAGAGACAAATAGCACTTTCAGAAAGAGATATGCAGAAGGTAAGCACCACTATTGACCATGTTATTTAAGTCTGTAAGAGTGAAAGCAATACAGAATACATTACACTAGATTCCATACAGGTCTCCACCAACCTTTAACTTACAGAATAGATCTGTGGAGGGACAGAAGTAATGGCAGCAGAGCTAGTGATAGGACAGAACATCAGCAAAACTAAAGCAGAACTGGAAAAAGTATAGATGAGGGGGAAAAAAGAGAAAGTGGTATGTTATAAAGTGTAAGAACTCGACATAAAACTCATAATCGAAGTGTAAGAACTTGATAAAAAACTCATAATCAAATCAGAATGGTCTTTAGATCAGTGGTGGTTAAACATTTCAGATAATTAAGAAAAAAGCCTGCACAGAAGACCACTGTAGAGTAATCTGCTATGGGAAGGCTTTTCTCATCCCAAATCAAATAGATCATTTTAATGCACAAAGTATGGGGCATATATCCCTTTCAAAACATTTTCTTTTTAGAGGGTTAATGGTTTTTAGACTTCTCATTTTCTTATAAGCTACACATATGTTTCAGATGATGTGTGAAATGGAAGCCTACATAAACTGAAAGTTCCTAAAGATGCCACTCCAAAACCAGTTTTTCCCACTTCTGCTTTCAGGACAGAATTACAGTCTTCCTCAACAACATTGTCTCTTAAACAGAGTTGCAATTGTGGTATCAGATTAATGTGAATCACTAAACAGTTTTAAACCTGAAAACTACAGGTTTAAAAGCTACACGGGTATTTTTATTTTTCCAGTTTTAAATGGTGTAGAAAAAGCAGAAGGAATTAACATTTTCTGTGAAATTTCAATTGTTTGTGCGACTGTTTAAGAGTTGAGCACACATACAGAATTACTGCATGTGTAATTAGGGAACATATTTATAATTGCGTTAACAGCAGCACTAACTCCTCATCAGCACCTCACTTCTCTCTGAAGTGCATCATTATGTTCAAGACATAAGACCATGAAACTAAGACACAGAGCAGCTATGTGACTTTCCTATGAAAGGCAGGATGTCAATGGCCAGATCTAGGAGTAAAACTCACAGGGAGGCAAATTACAGGGGTAACGTGAGAGAGGCAAATTCAGTGCCACACGTCAGTGAGCAAGCTTTCAAGAGAAGTATGCCACCATATGCTGGGTTGTGAGATAACTAAAGTATGTTGCTATTTTGATCAGCTCATGACTGTTTCTTGCCCCTGAAACATGCCTTACTTTCAACTGCAGCCACTACTCAAGACGAACCTGCAGCAGTGCTCTCTGGTATCCATCAGGCCCAGGGCTCAGACTTTTTCTAACTCATGCAACTATGAGCTTCAAGCCTTCATCACTGAACAGATCTGGAAGCTCTCCTGTGAAAAGATAAAGGAGTAGGTAAGAGAAGCCTTACACAACACATGACAAATAATCTACATGGTATTTAGCCCGATGGGGTTTAAGCACATAACTAGAGCTATGCTGATACCAGACAGATCCAGTCACAGAAGAGTCTTCTCCTGTTTCCTATGCCTTTTTGTCTAAAAAGAAATTTTTCTATTTCTTTAAGGGAAAGGAAATGACATTTTTTTGAAATGACAAAAGTATTTGCCCTGATAGGAAGTTCACTCATAAATTATGTATGCCTCAGAATAGTGGTTCCTTTTTTTCAGGCTGTCAGTGAATTGTTTATAAGTCTGGTTGCAAAAGTAAATAGTAACTTTTTAAAAAATCTTTCAAGATGCACTCCAATTCTGCTGAATATTATTCTCATTTTTTCTTCCATTCTATCCCTAGATCCCCACATTCAGAATCCAGTTTCTCTAATCTTCAAAACATGGGCAAAACTGCATTGCTGCATGTTACACTTGTGCAGCCATGAAGACAGTGCTTGAAGTTAGTGAAATCACACCAAAGTAAACATAGCATTAAGTCAAAGAGGGATTTCCATTTCCCCCCAAACCAATGTACTTAGGCATGATTAGCTTCAGTAATTTGTCTCTCAGTGGGCAATTCTTTCTTAAGCAAGTTAGATTCAATGCTCAAGTTGTATGGGTTGACTTGGCCTCTCTAAAAGCTCTCCCTACAAATACCTAAGAGAGAAATAATCTCTTTAAAGTTCAATGAAAACACAGATCATTTGTCATTGGAAAAGATCTTTCAAGAAATGTGCTGGTTTAATCACCTGATGCCAACAAGTCATTAATCAGCACAAAAAAGCGTTCATCTGGAACTTGGGCATCTGTCAGCAAAAACACTGTTGGCATGTTCTTGGCACCAGTCTTGATGTACAAACTGGCAAGATCTACCTGTAAGGAAAGGAGGTAATCACTCATAATCTGCTAAAATGTTGATACAGGAAAAGTGTGGAATGCATGTTAGCAGATGGCAGCACACCGCTGACCTCTCTTTACTTTTCTCGCTTTATTTACATGTCGCTAATTTGCTACATAATATCCAAAGGGAGATGCAGTTTGTGTTTTTCTTCCATATCAAACACGGACATTTTGACATGACCTAGCGGTTAAGATCAAAGAAATCCTCTCATCAATGTAACAGAAAGGGATATTGCAGCCATGAAAGTCCCCATCAAGAACAGCCATGACTATACCAATAATGTCTGGGAATTGCATTGAAGATCCAGATTAATTTTAAATTTTGTTGTTTCTGAAAACTTGTTTTTTTCTTTAGTGAATTTATTTAGGAAGGCTTTCTCATGTGAAAAAAACCCCAAACCAATAAAACTGAGGTGTGCTCTGGTGCACTATTACTTTGGCTATGGCCCAGATGGAGACATGGTTGGGACCATTGTGCTAATAGTGGTACAAATATGGAATGATTTTTGGCTTGGGTTTCCGGAAAGAAAACAACCCACATCAGTTGCATTTGAGTGTAGTCACATTTGAAATACAGGATAAGGTTAATGCTGGCTGTTATGAACAAGCTGCCACACAACCTAGCAAAGCAAATCCTCAGGCTTGTTAACAGAGGCTTAGAAGTTTCCCTGCTTGGAAACAGCATGGGGGAAATGACCACTTAAGCCCACATTTTACATTGCACCTCATTTGATGAGGGAAAGAGGGCACAAGAAGTTAAACACCATGAGGACACTAAAAAACACACAGCATTTTTCAAAGCAGAACATCATGTACCTCCCTCTGAAAGTCAAAGGTTTAAAAAGCCTTAGTCTACACACACTGTGGTGGTTTGGCCATGGCCCAAAGCTAACAGAAGGGCTTTTTGGGGACAGCCATCCACCAAATCTGGCCATAATTGGATTGTTATTTGGCCAAGTCTGAGATTCAGAACTATTGTTTGTTGTCCACACGGAGTAAAGACGAAGAAAATGTTCCTTTCTTCACTGTTTGCTCACATAGATAGGGCACAGGTAGAGAGTAAGGCTGATAAGAGCACTTCACTCAACTACAGTCCTTGCCTTTGCATATGGACAGTTTAAGTGACTAAATGACAACATACAACAAGGAGAACATTTCTTCTTGTGTTCGCTCACTTCAATTTTATATCTCTAAATCAGTAAGTGTTTAATGATGCGCAAAAATTTGTAACAAACGAACTTCAACCACATCTTTGTAACCTGTGAAGCAGCCACCTTGGAGAAACTACCAAAATTCTGTGAAACGTTTAAACAGACACTAAAATACATTTTGCCCACCCATTTTTCAAAAATAAAGAAAACAAGAGGTCCAGCTGGAAACCAAAGGGGTTGTTACTGTAAATTCTACTGTTTCGCCTGTGATTTTATCAAGCCTGTGCAACAACAAAACACATTCTTGAAGCAGTGAACTCCAAAGGTTCAAATAATATCTATCAGTTTACCCTGAGGTCCTGCATCCCGTAATCTTTCTTCTGTGTGATTTGGAAAAACTCTAGGGAGCAGATGTATGCTGCCAGCCTTGACAAGCTCAGTTTACCACCTACTCCAATCAGAAGTGCACAACCCCTAGGGAATTCTAGGAAATGAGTGATTTGGCACCTGATGACAGAACACCAATAAAGTATTGTAGACTTCAACAACATCCTTTGTCAAGTTTCTAAGTTTCTTTTTATTGCATCACACTTGCTTTTTTCCCTTTTTCCTTCTTTTTTTTTTGTCTATTTTTGAGGTAATGTTCTCCTGACACTTAAAGGTACATTACCTTCATGCCAGCATTTTGTTTCTTTCCAATATTCGAGTAAGAGGAAAGAAAAGTTCTTTTCCTTTGTCAAATATTGAAGGTCTGCACTAACCTCTACATCGACCAGAACTGTCTGATTGCTTGTTCTTTACATTGAGTTGCTTCAAAGCATCACCCCAAAATCCTGATGGGCCCTGACTGGACTCAGAACAGAGACCTAGCTAATTTGAAGGGAGGTTGGCTGGACCCTAGAAGCACATGAGAATTTCATGTCTGGCAGTTTGCACCACAAAGGCTGAAGGACAAGAAAACACCTAATGAAAAATTTGCATCAGACTTCAATTTACTTTTGGAATATCTAGCCCAGACTATTTAAAGTATGTTTTTATTTGCTGATCATGGAATACTATAGGATGAATGAGGCCAGATAAGAATTTTCCCCCAAATTAGACAAGATTTAATTTCTAAAATTTTTAAATGTGTGTATTGAGGTAATTCTTCCCCCAAAAAACTATATTTTAGACATTGAAAGAATTCTCAGGCAATTGATATTTTAATAATTCATAAAAGCATCTAAAAATATTCACAAATTTTTATTTTTTTTAAAATCAGATACAGATTCTAAGGCATGAAAGTCTAATTCAGCAGATTAGAGCTCAGAGGCAGCAAGTTGGACTTTATGCTTAATTTTTTTCCATGTATAAATAAAACAAACCAAAAAGCATCCCCTTCATTCTCTGTGTCTCATGCCACTGAAAAAAGTAACCCTGAAAAAACATTGATAAGAACCTTCTTAAATAAAAGGGATAATATGTCTAATCTGGTTGCATCTAATAAAGAGGTAGAAACGTGTTCAACCAAAACATTACTGGAAGCCAATTCTCTTTGACTTCACTGTAGAACTTTATCAGCCTTATTCATGATTTCACAATGGATCCATAAAAAACCCCTCATAAAAGGTGAGGAAAAAATTTACAGGTTTAAATTTCACAATCGCTTTTCCAGGACTGCCAAATTGTATGGCTAAGACACCCTGCCACTTTATTTGGCAAACAGATACTACTCTCGGTCACTAGACTTCAGAGAGAAGATAATGGCTTACCACCATTTTCAAGCAAAACTAGTGATACCTGAGAAGGCTTCTGTCTGCAGTTCTGATGATTATCACATCAACCTCTAAATCGGCCTAACAAAATCTACAGTCCCTATGAAAGATCCATATGATTATCTTTGTAATTTAAGTGTTTCTTTAATCCTCTTGGAGAGAAATTTCTACAATAGACTGCTTAGTCAAGAGTGTCTTCTCTTACATAGCTCCTGCCTGATTATGTGCAAAGTGAAAAATGATGACACTGAAATCCTAGTCCAACTCAATGAGAAGAAAAGTTTGTGTGTTAAACCGTTTGACACTGCAAATAATAGAAACTGCTTTAATAAAACTAATCTCTGCCAGCATGGGCCTCTGTCTCTTTCTGGAAATGACTGATATTACGCTTGACTAGAATGACTGCATATGTTCAAGAAAGATTACAAATAATGACAAGGAGCAACAATGAACTCTGTGCCTCACTTATTCAGTAAAATCTTCACTTTGTCTTCTGAAAACTGGCTGTTTTTTTTCCATGAAGGAAAACAAAGCAAATGCAGTTAATCAGATTTCAGAAACAGGAGATTTTGGGCCATAATGGGTGCTAAGATATATCCTGACATAAGAAAAACAAATTACATTAAACTGAGATAAGGTCAACCTACCTATGAAAAAAAGCTACAGATAAATAAAATAAATCTATGATGACACTTAGAAGTCTTGCTTGGTTTAAATTTAAAAAAAATACAAGGCTGGGTAGCAAAGCAACTTCAAGTCTGCCATGCAGGGGCATAATTTAGTATATGCTTAAGGTATTACTTGTCCTTGTTTTGAATTAATCTCATTTTAAAAGCATTTTCCCTTTCTTGGAAACAAAAGGTAAATACTGGTTTTCTTATAAAGGCCTGTTACATCATTAACTACTTAAAAGACAAGGCAGACTTAGTCTACAGCTTTATAGACTGTCTTCCCAACCTCAGAAAATAAGTGTTGTAAATTTCTATAGAGTCCAAAAAAGGGTGAACATCTGTTTAAATAAACAAAATGGAGGTTAGTTTTAACACTGAGCCACAATCTACTCTTCTCTAACATCATCAATAAAGTGTATTTATCAGCACTATTGCTGCATAGTGCCCTGCATAAGCCTTCCAGTAAGAGCATTATGAGTCTGCACTGCAACAACTTCTGAATAGTAAAAAGCAACTTCACGCAAACATTGGTAGCATCATGATGAATTACTTGCTCCCTTTATAGATGACATTCTGCTTACACATGCTGCATGACACCCTCAAATAAGACTAGGTGCATAGAGGCATTCAGTTTATTGTAGCTTCAGGAGTTCCTAGGAAGCATAGTACTCAGCAGTTTGGGTGCTTTCACTGGCTCGCAACAAGGGTCTGCTCTGTGTTTGAAAAATGGCAATAGGCGAGCCAAGGCTGCAGCTACACTTGGTCTTCCACATTCTACCACATAGTTAGAGAGAAAAATAATGATTAAAAAACTCCCCAAAAAGAGTACATGAAAAATGTTCTCAAGAAAAAACATTACAATAATGTAGTGATTGATGTAGCCACACACTCCGCACTGAAAGACTAAAAGTAGGTGCAAGTAAGGGCTCAAAGCATTTGCACAGTACATCCAAACAGGCAGGCTCCAAACAAACTACTAGCAAAGCTGTTTATATCTGTATCTGTTTATGTTTAAACTACTTGAAACTAACGAGCAATAATTTCTTTGTGATAGGAAGTCATTGCTTAACCTAGATTCAAATTGACCATATTATAACCATATTCAAACTGACCTTTCCTTATTTTTCTCTTTAATCTCTCCTCTGGTGTCTGGCTAATGGTTTCAGCCCCTGCTTCATGGAAAGGATTGTCAAGCACTGGAACAGTCTGCCCAGGAATGTGGCTGAGTTGCCAGTGCTGGAGGTATTTAAAAGATGTGTAGATGTGGCACTTAGGGACATGGATTAGTACTGGATGTGGCAGTGCTGGGCTAATGGTTGGAGTCGTTGATCTTAAAGGTCTTTTCCAACCTAAATGATTCTGTGATACTATGATTATTCATTCGGAGCTTCTTCAGTCTCTGTTTTGTCCCACCTAGTCTTCAGGAAGTTGTTCTTCCCTCTGAAACATTGACCTTCTCTTCTCAAAAAAAATAAGTATATCAAACTTTGCAAACCATTGCTCTATTTCTCTTAAATACCTTTTCTTTCTCACCTTTCTACACATCTCATCTACCTGACCATAGTCACCTTAGGGCAGGGTCTGTCTTGTACTTTGTATAAAAGGCATCTTTTCTTCATTAGTCCACAATCCAATGTATGTCATTAGATAATAAAGAGCAACAATAATAGAGTGCTGTTAGGTAGATCAATGCATTGATTAGACCTGTGAGCCATTGGAGAGACCTCTCATATTAAAGATACAGTGGAACTTCATGGCAGTTGGTGGGAAGTTTTGAACTACCACCTATATAGATATATGACTGCTTTTACTACAGCTGGAGTAGTCTTGATTATTGGTGGAGGCTTGTTGATGGAAGTTGAAGCAAACTATATTGCTATAGATGATAACTGGGGAATGATTCACAGAATCACAGAAAATTCTGAGTTGGAATGGACCCCATGAGGAACATCAAGTCTGACTCTGAAGTGAATGGCCTATACAAGGATTGAACCCCAAACCTTGGCATCATTTTCACCAGGCTCTAACCAACTGAGCTAGTCTTAGAGTCAATAAGAAAGGAAGTTGAAGCACATATTGTAAAATGTCTCTGGAAATAAAAAGGGAAAAAGAGATGAAGATTCTCCAGCATCATACAGCAAATAAGAGTCAACAAAGTGTTAAATAACAATACAACCTGGTGAACATAAATCTGCTTGTGTATCACAGAAAAGACTTAAATTCTAGTTTCATCCTTCATGCAGTTCCACAGCAGTTGCATGTCTGGCTATGAGCCCCAAGGACACATCTGCCAGGTGAAGGACCACATGAGACTGCAATTGCTAAGAAATTCAGGGGACTCTCAATACCATAATAAATATGGTGTGTCTCTTTCTGTTTAGTTATAGGAAAAGCATGATTTTGAATCTGTATTAAATTTCAAACACTGCATTTTCTCCTATTCCCTTTCATCTCCTACCTATTGTAGTGAAAAACTAAATAGTAATTATTTCATGTATTAAATACAGGATTGCTATAATATGACACTTCAAAACATACCTGGAGCCTAGGTTTGATAGTGAAGTTGTCAGCAGTTGGATTCATATGAGCAACATATTGACAACTATGAATTTCTCTAATAGTTAGCTTCTGCCTATCATACCTGAGAAAGAAAATAATTAATATTAGTGACAAAACACTGAAATGCTGTACATTTCCAGGCTTAAACTCAGTTCAAGAATAATTTCTGTACTGTGAGAAATCTGAGATACAAACAGCCATGGAAGTATCAAAATAGGATTGACATTTTAAAATTAAGAATAATCCCAAAAATTTCTATCACATAATATTTTGTTCAAAATTTATGTTGTAATTAAGATACTACTTTCTCACAAAACATTCTGATGATAAAGATTTTTTTTTAAATAAAACTGGCTCCAAACACACTTGGATGAGTCAAAGGAAGTACAAATCAGTTTGAGAATGCACACAATCATCACAGACAAGAGCAGACAAAGTTTACAGATCTCAATAATTAAAAAACCATCAAAGATCATCATAGAGTATGAGGTGGTATGCTCCTTTATTTGCAGAATCATCCAATAGATACTGTTTCTGGCTCTTCAGATGACACAGCTCCAGGTGAATTAAAAGGAAGTCACTCAAAAAGTAAAATTAAAAAAAAAAGGCTTTGAATTGCTGGCAATTTGTGTTCCAATTATCTAAATATGAAGAGTCTTGTTTCTTTAGAAGTTGGTATACATCTGAACTAGGCCAAGCAGGTAAAAAAACACTGTAAAAGGAAAGTTGTAAATAGCCATTCCCTGCTTAAATCGACAAATTCTTCCTAGAACTTCATAGTATAATGCATTCTCTTTCCTCCCATCCAACAAATTTTACTCTATTTTAGAATTCTCAAAGGGTTAAGTTCATTTTCCTCAATGGTATGGTCAGCTTTTTTTCCTAATTTGATTTGTTTTGTAAAATTGAGTTTTTTGATTTTTGGTTTGGTTTTGTTTCAAAAGAATTTAAAACAATTCAAAAGAAAGAAGCATCATATCTTTTAAGCAGCAGGAATTTTGAGATCTGACTCTGAAATCTTTGCGAGAAAACCAAAGGTTTTTGAAGTTCTTTTTTGTTTGAGACTTCAAAAAATGCTCAAATAGCATCTAGCTCTGGGAATAAAACAGAAGAGCATTGAGACATTAGCTTTGCATGTCTCTGAATTAGACCAGATTGATTTCTCCAAGCTAAAGTTGTTTCAGATTTGAGCAGTCACTTCCTTTTTTTTGTCTTTACGCCTTGTGCCTTAACAAGATATTCAGCTGACACCTGGTGTCATTCCTTCATGGGATGAAGTATGATCTACAGAAAAAGCTTATATAATTCATTTGCACTAAAAGATGCAAGAACAGTACAGACGTTATTGCCTCACTATGTCACAACTACAGTCAGATCACAGTGTACCTGCCAGTGAAAAAAAGAACATTCCATGAAACAGAAGTTTTAAGGGTGCGGGTAAAACCCTTGAATACATGGTGAAGAAGCAGAGAACTGAGTACTCAGAGAACTCAACACACAGCCTCCTAATGGAGTGGAATGCCTGCCTATTTGTCTGTGCACCTCCTTTGGCAATACACAGAAAGACAGCTATGTGTATTTAACTCGCTTTTTTAATGTCTGAAAACTTCTTTACTTACCAGATCATTCACCAAATCATATCTTTGTTAGTCACATATTTTCTTCATGTTACATAAAAATGGTGTACTTGTAAATAAACAAGAATCTAATATGTATTTATGACAGCAATGAATTATTTACAGAAAATATTGGTCCCTCTGTAACAGAATGAAATAAAATACTAATAAGTTGATTTTAAACTTAAAACTCTATTTTTACACAGATCTGGTGAAAGGATGCTAATATATTTGAAATACTAAAAAACTGTCATTTGGAAACTAAGAAGGGAATTACCTTATTTGCCCAAATAAACTTCATTATACTTCAATGGCCATCTTCTGTGTTTTTCTTCTCATGGCAGAGAAAGTCCATTCATTTGGACCAGTATCATTAAGTTTTTATGGATTTTGTCTGTTGCCTTTACACAGCGAACAAAAGATAGAGGGTGGTATAGGCTAAACATGTGGCAAACTGGAATTCAGTGAATCAATTTCTGTACCTCAGATATCCCTGTTCTCAGTGGGTCAATCAATGAGGTCAACATCCAGCAGCTCCATCAAGAGCAGCTGAAAGATACTTTCCTTCCAAGACTCTCCATAGCCCCTCTACTTTCTGCTTCTCTGTTCTAAAACTGTTTATAACTTCCAGGGAGCATATGTTTTCTCTTTAATCAATTCATCGTGAAGCTTTCTGTTTCTGTGTGGCTTAGGGATTCTATCATGGACCACAACACAAAAATTATAACAGTAAGTAAGAAGTAAATGCTCACCAGTGTCCATAACCTATATGCTGCCGAATCAGTGCAGGAGATCGAACTGTTCCATATCTATCCACTTCAGCCATATTCAAATCATAAACAAAATAGATAACTTTCTCATTTCTTACTGGACGATAGTAGGATCAGCTTTTTCTCCAGCTTTTTTCCAAACAACTCTGAAATCTAACACAACATGCATAAAAATTATTACCATATGAAGCAATACTGAAACTAAACAAAATCAAGAATTCCAAATCATGCTGGCTAAAATTTGTGAAACATTTCATCACCTACAAGTGGTTTTTATAACCACTGAAGTCCTTGGTAATCAGTGAAACTCAGAGATTGTCTTCAAGAAAGCATCACCATGGGGTTCTGAATTCCAGAAGAGTTGATTCAGCTGATTGACTACTTAGCAGCTTTTGAAAATGTCATTGCATATCCATCTGCATGCTTTGAAACTGAAATGCTTTGAATGTGAAATCCCTTGGTATCCTGACACTCAGAGAGTTCATCAGTGAGTAGATTATTTTCTCCTCCTTGGAAGGATTAAACAAGGACTTTGTCAAAATATATAAAGCGTAAAAATATGAATTATAAATCGCATTTGATCAGGACATTTAATCGGGAATCTGGTGCGGTATCTCCCATACTAAGGAAAATTAAGCTGATTGTATTAAATTTCAGCCTATTACTCCAGATTAGTTACTTACATGATGCTGAATGCAGACCATCAGGTTACAAACTTATTACAACACTCAACAAATTAATTTAAAGACCCTTACATATTCATCAGAACTGTAAAATCTTGAGACAAATTTTGAGTTCATAAAGTTTTTATCAATTGCATTGCTTCCCTTAGATGTGTAAGGGAAAGAATAACTACAGAAAGCTGATAAGTCATCTTGAGAACACAGAAGAAAACAACTTCTATTAATCATTAGTATATTACTCATCTTCAGTATGAGGCGTTCCTCAACTTTTGCCACTTTCCACAGAAACCTATGAAGGGATTCATCATCCATGAAAGTTTGATTTCCAATTGCTCTGTTTCTACTTTGTACATGGAAAAAAGCACCTGCAGAAATCACTAGCAATTTATTAAAGCAAGACTGGAAAACTAAGACTCTTCCGAGGTCATATATTTTTGTAGTTTAAATGATCACATAAATGTTTTTTCAAAATAAAACCACTGTAATTGGTGGACGTCAAGGAAAACTTTTCAGCATGTCCCAGTGACTGGGCTCTCATCTTCAGTGAGTACACTAAATTCCAAGGTTTTGTCTGTCTCATTCAGAGCTGGGATTTGAAGCAAAGGGGGTTATGAATAATTTAGGGAGTACAGTGGTTCAAATTGTTACAGCACAGGAGAGATTTTCATGCAGACTCAATACTGCTTGGTAAGAGGAAAAAGATTTCTCAAAAGTTCTGGGCATCTAACCCAGATTTTTATTTTGTCTAATCAATAATATCATGATTTTGGGATACACCTGATATCGATTTTGAGATGATCAAAGCCACATTTTTTAAGACTTTAATATTTTTCAATAAGAAAGGAGTGTGAGGAAGAAAAAGAAAAAAAGGATTAACAGTAGAATAGGATAAAACAGACATTTCTTTTTTTTCCATTGTATTGGGCTGTATGTTAAATACTTTGGGTTAGGCAAAAAAAAAAAAAAAAGAAAAAAAAGAAAAAGAGCAAAATATAAGTGTATGGTTTTGAACTTGTCTTGTTTCTTTAAAAACTGGGCAACATGGTCACCAGAGCTTGTAGGAAATGGAAACTGCACTTGCACAGGGGCAGCTGAAGGCTGTATATCACAGCACTGCCACAGTTCTGACTTGCAGCAGACTTTTTGGTTTCTTAGGCAAAGCAGTATAAACAAATACATAACTGCAAGCAGTTTCCATTAGGACTACAGAAGTATTGAGTTGTCATCTTAGATTTTTCAGTGAAATTAATCATCTGCAAACCTCAACAGTGATTTTGACTGGCCAATTCAACCAAAGTAAAAAATGCATCCAAGGATACTTCTGTCTAGTCACAGTCACCTTAAAACATGGTCACTGACTGGAGGAGTAAAGTAAGCAGATAAAGAAAGAAAGTGTGATGGAGGACAGGACAGAAATGAAGAACCTCAACATATTTGCAACTGGATGACCATAAATTTTTTGGGGAAAAGGCCGTGACTGCACTTACCCTGCCTTTCTACCACAGAAGAGAAAAAACTTTTTGCAGAAGCTATGGTAGGTTTAAAGTCTCTTAATTCCCTTAAAATCTTAGGTAAAAGACAATTTTGTTCTTTTAGCTTGGTATATACCTGTACTTTTAACCCCCAAATTAGGAATTCTCATTTTTGATCCTTAACCTTATCTAAATTTTATATAGCGTCCACAATTACAATCTATAAACATTTACACATTTTTGTTCTCTGTGGCAGTGTTCCAGACTGTAGTTTTATTGAAGACTCCCGACCTAATGTACTAATATTAGTTTGCATCAGAACGTTCCTCCATCAAGTAACATTTTGAAATTTTCTGCTGTACTAGAGGCAGAGCGGGTGAGTCATATGCCTTCGGGAAATGCTAAATAAAACCCTACACTACATGCTAATCTCACCCACTCTAGCAGACACCTCAAAAAAATTTATGTGGATACAGATAAGATGGGAACTGACAGAAAAGACTGCACATTAAAAGTGATATGATCTGCAAGAAAAATCTTTTAACCTCTAAACTATGGAAAGAACATGGCAATGTAGTGAATAACTGCACTTCAAGTTCAGCTCTTAATCTCTTATTTATGAACTGAGACTTAATTTAAAGTGCTCATTTGTGTAATTTGCTGTGAATGACTCTTTCTACTAAAAAAATTCCCAATTCCCAATTTGACTGTTCCAAAGAATTGCTTGGAGTGATAGCCTAAGACATATGGAGGCATTTCGGTGTATCACTTGAATGCATTTTACAGGAAGGAGCATTTGTACACACAAACATAAAAATAACATAAGAGGCATTCATTTTGAGCTATACATGAGAGTACAAAATTGTTCCATCACAGCTCACAGAAAAAAATGTGGTAAACACAACAGAAAGCGAACACAATATACTTGTTTCTGGATTGTCATTCAGTTCTTCACCCACTGTGATTAGTGGAGGGACTTGCTAGCAGAGCATTTAACGAGAGGGGCTTGGCTGAAGAGCAGCAGACAGAAGGAAGAGCTGCAGACAACTAGATGAGTCCACTTCTTTGTTCGTGTCTTGAATTTTCTTAGAAGGAACAGGTGGAAGTTTTACAACACTGCCTTAAAATATGAAGGAATACTACTAACATTTCAAAGCAAATCCTTAAAGGTTCATAAATTGGTTTATGTCACAAGACAGTTGATGGGTGTGATACACTTGCAGAGTAAGCCCCTGTGATGCTGACTTCATATCTTTGGTTTATTTAAGAAGTTTCTTGCAAGAAGAATACACAACATTTGGTGCCCAGGACCTCCTTTTATCAGCTTCTGCTTGCAATGGAAAGTATGCTTTTGTACTCTAGTGCCATGGTCATGGTTGCTACTGAAATGGAATCATTAGCTGAAAAAAACCTCTCTGATTAGAGGAATTTCTGAAAGCCTTTTAAGGCTGATTCCCCATTAAAGGAGCTATGACAGTTTACAACAGCTCATGATCTCACTCTGACACACAGCAGATTTCTCCTAATCTCTCCTTCATTTTGAGGGGCAAAAGGGTGATTACGTTTTATTAATGCAGGTTTCTATGTTAATGTGAATTTGGAAACACTTCGAAGAATAAACTAAGGTACAGGGTAGACTGAAAATGGTCTTTGCTTATCTGATCTGAATGCAGAAGAAATTAACACAAGACTTGAAAGAAAAAACAGGGTAAAAACTTATTCAATTAAAATTTTTGGATTTATACTTTTTTTTAAGACTGGTGAAAATTTGATCTATTAGCAGCAATGTAGGTTGGCTAAAAATTAGCCAATTGATTGAAAAATCAGTTAAATTACACATCAAGCAAACACAAATGTTTCTAAAGATTTTATCTGAAGATTTCTAAAATTTTGGAAAGTTTATAGAAGTGAAAAATTGTTTTCAGAATATTCTCCCAGACATATGAGAGGACAAACCAGTGTGTTAACTTATTTCTCTAGTACTTTTAATGGTATAAAAAGGAAGACAAAGAGTGCATATCCACTGACAGCTGGGCTCTCCCTTGATTATTCTGTTCAGGAAGAGCAAAAGAGACACAGAGCTTTCATAAGCCTATTTTGCTTTGACTGTCTGACTCCTCCTGTTCCAAAATCTACCAACATACAGCCTCCTCCACTGGTGCATTCTATTAACGTTTACTTTGATCTGCATCCATCTCACCTATGGAGACTCCAAAGGTCACCAGTCAGACATTGACTCTCCTTGGGTGTTGTATGGTGCCTAGCAAAGCAAGCCCAGCTCCTGACTGTCCTTTTTGGTACGTCTACAGGCACCATGCAGAGACACCCAGGCTAAACAAAGCTGGCTCAAGGTTTCTTGTGAACATAGACAAAGCCAAATGTTCTCAATGAGCAAGCAACTTGTGGGAGCACAGTGTCATTTCCAGTTTGCTCCAAACAGTTTCATCCTCCTCCTGCCCTCTTGCCTGCCACATATTTCAAAGTTTTCCAGTTTTCAAAGCAATGAACTTGCCAATGCCCAGACAACAGCAGTAGCCAGCGGCTGTGATGAGACCATAATAACTGTGGAATGTTTTTTATCTTTGTTGTTGAGGGAAGATAAGTTTCTGGCATCCATATGGAACTTACTCTGGAGCACTTCTGATGTCGTGGTGGTAGCTGAAAGGGATGTTGGTCTTCAGAGAGAGCACCAACTCTATTGCCTACAAACTCTGTTTTTCCTACTCCAGCACTTCCAACAAGCAAGACTGGTTTGCCTTTTCTTATGAGTAAATCAATACAGTATTGGAGATGTGCAGTCTCAGATGTGTGAACAAAGATTGCCTAAAACTGAAAAGGAAAAAAAACCCCATCAAACACTTACACATCACAGTTTTGTTTTAAAAGCAAACAGTAAATTCTGTTTCTCTCTCTGGCTAGGACTGAATTCTAAAATGTGATGAAACAGAATACACCATTCTCTAATTCTCAAACACAATTACTACAAAAAAATTGTTTTACTGGATTACTTTTACATAGTATTTCTACTTAAAATTTTTTATTCAATTTCTTCTATGAAGAAGCTTTTGAAATCCAGTTGTAGCTGAAATGCATTGGTTCCATCTCAGCCTTTACAGAACGCCAGTCTCCCTATAACTGGTAGAGAAGCAAAGGCTGGTACAGGAAGTAGTTGGTTTAATTTCTCGATTATTTTCATTTAATGTTTGCCCTGGCTTTCACCATACATAGAATTGTTTGGGCAAATAGTTGGCAATAAATAGCTTTACCTACTGTGAGTGCCTAAAAGCTTCATTGGCTGATAAATCTTTCTTTTCCAAGCTCTGTATTTTCCTATCAAATATTAACCCTCAAAGAGAACTTGTTACAGAGGAGTTGATAATGGATAATGTCTTCTGATCATCAGCTCCATGTTTCTATGTCCATAGACTTCTAATCCCCACCAGGAAAATTTCTATTCATCCAAGCATTAAAAAGACCTACAGGTTAATGTAATCAAAACACCATGAAACACTTGAGAACACACAGAACACAGAACACTTGCTCTGCATATCCTATGCAGAACACACTGACAAAAGAGCAAAAATAACCAAAACTCCAAATTGAAGCAATTACAACTAATAGCTCATGCTTCCTATATCTCCACTGACGGGTATATTTCATACTATCATAACTCCTACAATGTGTATTCCACAGAAATAACTCCAACTTTGTAAGTTGTTCAAGAGCATAGTGGAAAGGTGATAAAGTGATTTGCTTGCCCCAGATCTCATACACTTCTTAGTGTGAAGCTAATTTAGCTGGTAAAAAATTACCTGTGCATAAATCTGAAATAGAAAAATATTAAGATCTCAATATGTGGTGTACAGTTGCTGTGGGCATTATTTTCAATGGTTAAATGGATTTGGAGCCTGAATTTTTCTGACTGTGGGAAAAAGTATAAACTAGTAAGAAGTTCAACATGATATGTCTTCAGGAGTGCTTAAAAAAACCAATAAAAGCATCACTTTATTGTTAATTCTCATCATTCAGCTAAAGGCATGTGGCTCAAATAATAGGGATTTATCCAAACACATATAGTGAGCACTACTTTCAGGACATCTAAGTTGATGTCAGAAAGGGTGACAAGACTCTCAAACATTTCTGCATCTAGCAGTGTTCATTGCATGGTACCTGCAGCGGTGCATCTGGATACACATCGGGACTCAGGACCTTATGCACCCAGGGCAGGAACTTCCTCATCTCCGGACCAAGGTAATAATCAAACACTGTGCCCTGGGACAGAAACGTCACTGCTTTCATCTCCTTAAGCTACCAGCAGCTGAATTCAGCTTGGTGGTTTGAAAGCATTTATTGTTACACGACATTTTCCATGCCTAGTCGTTCATGTGAAGCACATATGAAAAACAGACTTACAAAAAAAATCTTATTTGTAAATAAGTATACATGTAGACTGTGATTAAATAACCAAGAATATCAAAGCAATATCATAGTGTTACTGTTTTTTAAGGGGCTAAAGACAGGTCACTTTGTGATGACATCCTGGATTGAGTTCAGGTGCCAAGGTGTTGGAGGTGGGTGGCTGCAGGGTGGCCACTGTCAGGAGACAATGGGTCCCTGTGCTGGACATGGCTAGTTCCACCCAGCTCAAACACAACCCCTGCAGGACACTGCTGGTCACCCGAGAGAAAATATATTCAAGAAGGCAGAAAGACTGAGAAACAGCAGAACACCAAAGTCACATGTGGAGGAGGAAGAGGAGAAGGAGGTCCATGCTGCTGGAATGATCACCCACAATGCAGCCCCTTAAGGACCCCATGCTGCAGCAGGTGAGTATGTCCTGAAGGACTGTAGCCCACAGAGAGCCCATGCCAGCACAAGGGTAAATTAAAGTGTGAGAAGTAAGGAATGGCAAACAATAACCCCAGTGCATAGACCATAATCCCGCATCCACCTGCGCCGCTTAGAGTAGGGGGGGTAAAAGAGTCAGCAGTAAAGTAGTGAGGCTGAGACTAGGGGAATAGGTTTTGTTTTAATGTTTGCCTTTTCTCTCATTACCTGAATGCACTTTAATTGGCAATAAAATAAATTAATGTTCCCCAATTCAAGTCTGTTTTGCCCATGAGAGCTACTGCTCAGCAATTTCACTGTCTTCATCTTGACCCACAAGCTTTTTCACCCTATTTCGTCCCTACCCTGCTGAGGAGGGAGAGAGAGTAAGTGGCTGAGGTGGTGTTTGGCTGTTCATAAAGGCTAACTCTCCACACACCAGCCTAAATATTTTATTTCCTAAAACTTCTAAATTTCGTTTAAATGTACATGTATGTACACATGCGAGATCACAGAGATGACTTGCTTCAGACAAGACCCTCCTGAGTATGGCCACAGAACAGCAAGTCTCTGAAGACTGGTAGGAAAGCAGATATTAATATGACCAAAAAGATCTTCCCATTCTCCCAGAATATGTTGCTTCTGATTCATCAGCTTATGCAAGGTGCTCCATTACCTATGGATGATGCATACATCAATTTGTTCCTTCACATGGGCTTCATCTACTTTAAATAGCAGTAAAGACATCTGTATTTTTTTAGTCTTTAACAGGCAAGTTTGACTAGATATTTCTCAAGAAACCAAGTAAGCAAAACACTGACAAGTAATTTTCAGAGTTTTAGAACTTTCCTTCTCAAACTTTTGTAGCATTACAACAAAAAAATCTCACTAAGGGGTATGTACTTTAATGCTTTGTTTATATCTACATTTCTCATTATAAATCAGCTAAAAGCAGAGGAGGCAAAATCTCTCTCAGTGTCAATGGAAATAATCAGAAAGTGATCCAGAGCAGGACCCTAAACTTAGGGTCCAAAATTTCTCTTGAAAAAGCCACTCTGTTCCTTGGCTAAAGTTAGGTTATGTGGCTCACCCCAACAGACACCTTGCTGAGTGACTGAGTAACCACAGACCATGTCACTAGAGTTAAGTTCCTAAGACAGGAAAGCTTAAGAGAATGGACTAAACTCCAATCACTTTCCTAAGGTTATGGTCAGATTTTAGATTCAGATTTCATTATGTTTCAGACAGCCCACAAAACTGGTTTAGCTGTATAATTAATAAGAAGGGAATAAAGACTCTAGATGCTATTGTTCTTAAACTGACTTATTTATATTTCCTAACACTAACCTTCTGTAGTATAGTGATGCAAGGACTTCAGTTATGGAATCTTAAATATATTTTACTGAGAGGTTTTCCAAATACCAGTTTCAATAATCTTATGATTGACATCTTGAATTACACCAATTCATACTCTAGGAGGCACAATTACCCTTAAAGTGTATATATAGGCTCCTTTAAGTCTTTTTGTTGTACCAAATAGGCAAGACATATCGTTAATTAGGTGCTAAAATATTACTTAGCAATAATGAAAAACAAAGAAATCATGAGAACTAAAGAAAAGAATTGCGAATTACCTCCAGAAAAATAAAGGAAGAAGAAAATGGGAAAACAGGTAGAGGGGAAGCCACTGTAATTGTTTCTCAACTGCTCACCTTATTAACATCCATAACACTGTTGAGTGACTCAGTCCACACAGGATCTTTATTCTCTATTTAAAACTGACCTTTTTGGCCCCTCATGGGTAATATTGGCTCACTCTCTCAGAAGGGATGACAGATTCTATTTCAATAGAATCTTATCACTTCTGTGCTTAAGTAACAACACGGTACTGCAATTAAAACTTCAGAAGACTTGATGCATCACTGAAACATGAAGCTTTTGTGGAGTCAAAACCATGCTTTTTCCTTTGCTTGTTTATTAAATGGTTATTCAATGAAAAAAAAAAATCAGTGAACACTTCATATAACAAAATGACTGCATTTTATGCAATAATGACCCATTTCTTAATTCCAGAAGAGTCTGTCATTAGTCTTAATGAGATGGGTGAGATATGGGAGGTTTCCTGGGTCTGTGGAGAAAATAACTCACTCTTTAAGACAGCAGAATCAGCATTTTTCAGGCTAATACCTTTCTGTCTACTAGCATCTTGCTCTGCCTTCCAGTCTTTCCAGAACCACCTGTGCTCTGCACCCACATTTCATTGCATCAAAACTCAGAAAAATGCAAGAATTCTCTCGCTAACACCTTCTCTGAATTCTGGCATTGTCCATTTTGGATGGATAATGATGCCTCCAGGAACAGGTCCTAGCAAGAACACATGTGCTACTTGCTATCTTTCTCTTATCAGGTTTCATGGTGTATAAAGCCAAACAGTTCATCAGTTGTCAGGACTTTTGAGTAAAGATCATTCCAAGCAGGTATTTCTTTCATGCTCACATACATGTGGAGCAGAAATTTTAGCACCTGAAGAAGAGAAACAAGATGCATGTTAGTGACACCATTTTGATACAATAGGAATTTTTTACTTTTTCCTGAACCAGATTCCTGACCACAAATCCCTGCACTCATCCATTTATTCACCTTGATTTACTCTTGCCTCTGTGCTGATTTAGTCCCAAATTTCCATCAGGTCTAAGGATAAGAAAGGATATTCCCATTCTGAAATGGCTGTACTCTGTAGTCAATTCTAATAGAGAGTGTTAAATGGAGAAGAAAATCTATGCAGTTGCCAACAGTTAGTAGCAGAAATAGGCAAGCATTATGATTAGAATTATTTGCCTAGTGTTTTGGCAATAAATTCATTGATGTCTGTCTAGAAACCTAATTAAAACATCCTGCTTCTTCTTCCAGAACAAAGTATTACTTAGTCTATCTGTCCAATTGAATACTCATTACTTTGTGCCATGATTGACTGTCCTTTGGGACATGCGAACAACATGTAAAATGTAGAATTTGCTTGTAACATTTGAGCTTTCTATTGCGCATCATGTGACTGACTGAACGGCCTGAACAGCACATTATTACACTGCAGCCTAAAGCAAAGGTAACATGGAGAACGTTTTCCGCAAGAACCACAGCAATTGCTTTACAATGTGAGATACAAAACACGCTGCATAGGTAGGCAGGTACTCAACTCTTTCCAATTCCTGCATTTCCAACGTCAAACACAGAGTGATGCACTGCCAGCAGCTCCTCCAGCTGAACCGCCTACCACCCAGAAGGGACACACAGTGAGTGCCTTTCCTAACTTGTACTTCTTATCACGGAGACACAATTATTCACAAAAATTATCTCCCCCTCTACATTCCTATTCCCTTCAATAGGAAAAAATGAACGTGCACCATCTTGGCAGATTTGCCTCAGATGAGCTGATGTTGCATCAAGCAAAACTGTCTCCCAGAAAATGGTAAGAGAATTGATGCAAGGTAATGAAAACAGTTATCGCAACAAGTGAGAACAAATCCTATTCTGCCAGACACCCACACAGTCCAGTAAGACTGTGCCCACCCAGAGATACAGAACAGTTATTCACAATATTACAATTCTGCCATTGCTTTAGCAGAGTGAATTCTACACTCAGAACAGTTGTATAGCTATAATTCAGCAAAATACAAGGTCAGTCTACTAAAGTAATACATTGCTTCCAAAGAAATAGTTCTATGAGTCACAGAATGGAAATATGTTGGGTGCTTGTGGATTTCTGCCTTAGTGAAGAACATTTACACTGATTTTCTAAAGTCTAACAGGAACAAGACCATGTTCCTCAGCAGTTAGCTTCTGTTTCACCCAGCTAGTGGGAAACAAAATACTCTATAGAAGGCTGACAGTAAAGTTCACAGTACCCCAAAGTACAGGTTTTTGTCTTTCACCCTTGTGTCAGGATAATGGAAAAAGATAGACAAGAGCATAAAATCCTTTATAAATCCTGAGATCAGCCACATTTAACCAGCCTGGTTACTTCTGTTTCCAACATACCCTAATAAAGGTAAATCGTGTGCTGTCACATACAGTAGATGTGGATGTTCCTTGAAGAAAGATGGGAATATATGCTTATAGTAGTCCAGTAATGTGTGCAGCACAATGTGCATTACATTATACATAAATACCTGAGCACACAAAAGTCACATGCAGCCATGCACATTCCAAATCCACACCCTCTTATTTATATGTTTTTTGCTCCCTCACTCTTCTTATCTCACTATAAATAATTAACCAACAATGAATTTTCTACCAAGTACAAAGTCTTGGTACTGAGCACAAACAAACGTATTTGTCACTCTAGATTGTAACTATACACAGCTTTTTTGAACAGGATATATTTTCTTACTGGCACATTTATCATACTGAGGAGCATTACTACCATGACAAAATGCCTTTGAAATACCAAGTCATTGAGGGACACCTTATCAATACTGCAATATATTCAAAAATAACCTTCATTTGCAATTGCAAACCCATTTGCAATTATTTTGATTGAAACTCTTAAGGGGAGTAATTAAAGGCAATGAATTATTTTACTTTGAGACTAAAGCTCTCTTCAGGCTTCAAATGAAGCTTCAGGGTAGATTGTTTACCCATCTGTTCAAACTGTAGGTTCCTCTTCCTAGTAACATCCAGAGCTGGAAACAGGTCACTGATTAGGCCTGTGAAAATTGGGATATCATCTGTTACTATTTTAGGGAAACTAAAGTCTCTTTAGATTCCCATAAGCACCTGGAAAAGGACAGTAAATAACATATCGCAGGAGCATTAAATCATTCTCTTTATAGGATTCTGTTTTTATTCAAAGGCAAAACATCAGAAATAGCCTCTACTCTTAGATGCTTTTAAGTAAAGATTTTAGCTGATCCTCAGGACTATTTCTTGTCTCCCTGTTTCAAGGGCCCAGCAATTACCAAAACTGACTTGATAGCCCAAAGTCACCAGTCATAACAGTGCTGTGAAAATATTTTAACTAGTCATGTTAGCACAGGAAATAAAACGAAGTGGTTTTTATGAAGAAAACAATCGATTTACACACAGAGGAAAATCACACATTTTTAATCACTTGTAGCCTTGTAGGCTTTATGCCAGTGTCAGAGTTCTACTAAACAAAAAAAAAGACAAAAAATAAGGTGAAATGTATATCTATTTAATCTTCAGTATTCCACCACTTTGTTCCTTATTCTTAAATGGTAATATTTGCATCATCAAGTATTATTGAATTCATTGCAATTTTATCTTCATGATGAAATAAGGAAAGCAAAAAATGGCTTCCAAACTTCTACTAATTTGCCCTGATGTTAGCAATGCTTTTTTGTTTCTGAAAGGTAAGATTGGACACATTTGCACCAGCTCCACCACCAAAGTTAAAGATAAACAGATAGATACACAGTCTAGAGAGTGAGTGTAAAAACATTGGGTAAGTGAAGGGCAGAGAACAAGCCTGTATCCTCTTCTAAGCCCTACCAGTGGGAAGGTAGACACCCAGTGCAGAAGGTACAACTTTTTCCATGATACATATACATTGCAGTCCCTCTTTCTCAATTTTTTCAGGACTATGTAATACTTACCTCTCTCCCTCTCCTTCCAAGGTAACGTAGAAATAGAAAGAGAAGGACTTTCAAACAATTTGAACAGCACCTTGACTGACTGGAGTACCGTAATATCCAATTTTGAAGAGGATTACCATGAAGTTACAGGTCTCTAAATTTAAGACTACAGTAACATCTAAAGGAGTTCTTACAGCTCATGCAGAGATCCCAGATGGCTAATTTTGGTATAGCCAGCAGTGGGACCAGCTACCATAAGAGTAGCAGGCTAAGTATGTGGACAATCAGCTCCTCTGACCTCTGTGCTGCCGTGGCTAGTATCTCCTTATGTCAGCATGTACCACAATATTCATGTTGGTCCACAGTTTCCTTAGTGTGTGCATACTATCCCTCCCTCAATCTGAAAAATCTGTCTGGGGTTGCAACCATCCTGCTGTCAGCACCCAAACTGGCTACCAGTTGGGTAAGGTTTGAGAATATATGCTGCAAACCACACCTAGGAATTCAATATAAATACAGCCTAGTTAGTATTATTACACATAAATACAATTAAAAAAAAAAAAGGAAAAAAATAACCAAAAAATCAAACCAATCCAAAAACTCAAACCAAAACCAAAACCAGAAACAAATTCACAACTTAAAAATATACCATTTTTTAAGTTGACAGATGTCTCTATCCTCTTCTATGACAGTGTGAATCAAATGCACTAAATATGTCACAAATGATAAAAAATAAAAAGTAATTTTCAAATTCAGGACAGTTCACAATCAGTAAGAAATTTTTTTTTTCTAAAGTAATAAAGATGCCAATTATCTGCATTGAAAATGAGTCTCCACATTTTAGAAATGGTACACCTAGGCAAAGAATAGAGCTGATAATGAAACTAGGAAATTTAGGAATATACTGTGCTTAATAAGCTTCTGGTTAGATCAAGGTAATTTTTTTGTTGTTGGTTTGCTGTCTCGTGGGTTATTGAAGTGCAGGCTGTGCATCTTAACAGCAGTCTGGTGTGTGGATTGTCCAGTGTACAAAGACTTTAGGACATCCAGGCTATTTGCCATGGACTAGAAGTCCCTTCCTTCACTGCATATGCACTAAAAGCCCTGATAACCCTGTTCGGCAGCAATTTTCATATGCTAGGATCTTAGTGCCCCAAAGGTATATTTTAAATTCTAGAAGTCCCCACACTGGGCCAATATTCTCAGAACTCTCTGAACTGCTGTATATTTTTTCTGGCAGCCCAGAATTTTTGTCAAAGGGATTTGATTTCTCCCATTTCCATTAAAAGTAAAACAAATAAGATTTAAAAGTAAACAAACAAGAACATTCTAGCTTTTGCTTCAAACATTAATGTTAATACTATTATTAATACTATGATTAATACTGAACTGGCAAAGAGTGGAATAAATTACTTTTCCCAATTCAGAAACTGCCTCCAAGACAAAGTAATCATTAGACTTGAGGCATCCTTGTTCTGCTGAAGCAAACAATATTAATTATCTTAAGATATGCATGGTTTAATTTCATTATCTCTAGAAAATGGCAAGAATGTGTCAGGAAATCTTCAGGATATTTAGAGATAATTTCAAATTATGCAGGCATGAAATAAAGTTGCTTTTGATTTCATCATGGCCTTGCCTGCCATTTGCGTTTATAGCTTAATGTTTAAGGATCTTATTACACTGACAAAACTGCATATTAAGAATGTCTTGGGAAAAATTATACAGTTCAAAATGACTAAAACAGCATACATACCTGGAAGAAATTATATAATTTCTAGATTTTTAGGTTTTAAGATAATATCTCTGAATATGAATTCTTTCTATTATAATAATTAAATTATTTAGAAATGTTACCCCCCCCCCATTTTTCAAACAGTCTTCCACTGTATTTACTGGGAAAAGTTTAAAGAAGTGTTCGTCCAACTAGAATATGCTATCTGTTTTTCAGGATAATTCCTACTCTGCTATTCTCTTCTGCAAATGATAAAGTTGTCTTTCTAATACAGATACTACACAGCAGCACAGTGTAGTCAGTCATCCCAGGTATGAAATGGCGATATACAATTTTTTAATGCACAATTAATACATTACAAACATAGTAAGGACACTTTCTTTCAAATTCATATCTGACAATTTATTAAGGATGGACATGTGATTTAAAGTGTCTTCAAAATAAAAGATAAGACTATATACATAAATCCCTCCTATTATTATACAGTATCCACCTGCATTGGTATGGAGTATGTGTTGACATGTATCCAACCCAGAAGCCCAGAGACCCTCACCTGTTCAGGGAGCAGCTCCCTGCAGAGTGGTTACAAGGTGATAAACTTCCTGGCTAACAGACACGCATCAATAAACCCTTCAGCAACCAACATAATTTCAGAGATCAGCTCAATGTCAGGGACAGCCATGCCACAGGTTCTAGGAAAGAAAACAAACCTCATAATCCAAATACACAGATTAGTATTTAAACATAGTGAGAATAAGTAATTTAAATCAAATGTCTGATGTGTGCAAACATTTTTAAAAGCAGAGCTCAAAAGAGCCACAATTAAGAGTGTCAGCCAAAGCTAACAAGAACCTCACTTCAAAGCAAGAGAAGATAATTAGGCATTGTTGATTGTTAATATCCAATAACATTGCTGCACACAAAGGAGGCAGTTGAGAAACACAGAGACAGGTACTGCTGAAACTTAGAGCAGTCACAGTCTGCAGTGGTGTCATTTGCCACCGGCAACTGGAGGTCACAACCAGCAGCTGTAGAGGGTCTGGAAGTGCAACACCCTACCATTACTAAAAATGCCATAATTTTTTAAAGCACTTTGATTTTTTTTGGAGGGCTTTAATGCTTTTATGTGAAGTCTCAGTTGCCTTTAGAGGTTCCACTGTTTCTTTTTTAAATATAACCTCCAGTTCAAACTTTTAGAACAAAATCACAGACATATTAATGATACAAATGAGAAAAATCTCATTAAATCTAATTTAAAAAGTATCACAAAGTAATATTGTTATTGCTAAACAATATCCTCATTTAAAAAATCACTACTTAGATTATATAATAGCAAAGAAGAAATCTTGAATTTTTTGTTCAGGTCAGCTACAAACCAGCAACTTTTTCCCTCAGAGCACTTCCTCACTCCTGCAAAACAAATATTTTGTTGTTCCCTATTCATATTTGAATATGACGAAATTAAGACCAGTAATTTAAGTCAGCAGTATATTTCTGACAAATCAATAATATAGTCTAGAAAAAGAGTAAGAACCCCTCTGTTAAACAACTTTCAAACAAACTATGCTATAAGAGGTATTTCTTCATAAGCCCAAACAAGGGCTGCTATATGCATTGCAGTCAATTATAAAAAAGGACTTGCTCTTCTACCTACCATAATTATTACACTTCTTGCAAATAGAGTAACTGTTTATACAAGAAATATCAGGCTAGTAGAATTTATTATGTCTTCTCTCTCTTGGGGGATTTTATTAAGTGGCAAATACGTGGAGCTAATGCTTTAGCAGTTACCTCCTGTCTCTCCCATGTGCTGCAAAATAGATAGGAGCTGTTACAGACATCAGCTACAGGGCTGGATTCCTGAGTCTCAAATGCTCCAGTTCATATTATAATTCCAAAGACTTTTTATTTGGTTTATTTTTTTGTGAAAACCAAGCAAATGTAAGACTTCTGCTTTATGCAGCAAGTAGATTTTGAAAATTAAAAAAAACCCAACCAAAACACAAAAAAACCCCAAATCCAAAACCCCAACCAAAGCCAAAGAAAACCATAGTAGAAAGTAATGATTTATCTTTCAGCAGAGATCTTGTTAATTAATATTATTGCATGTCCCTTATCCTTTTCTTCCCAAACAAAAAAAAAAAGGAACAACAAAAATAAGACAACAAAACCAAATCACACGCATTTTCCATTCTCTGGTAGTCCACTGAGAGATGAAACACCTGGTAGTGACAGGGAATGAACTCTCCTGCTTTCTTGTCTATACCACACTCAGCTGAATGTGGAAGATGTGGCCACCAAGACAGCTGACTGAATGTAGGAGGGGTGGTAGCCACATGGCACAGACACAAGGGTCCCTGTCCCCTTCTACCTTTTGTGCAATGGTCTGAATTGAGGGGCTGTCTATTATTGTTCTCTTGGTGCAAATCAATTCTGCTTGGCCTTGAGGGGTTCCTAGATGGCAATTAATGAGAAGGCTTGGTAATGCTACAGTCAAGTTGTGAAATATTAACACCCCTCCTCCCCCCATTTATAAGGAAGCACGATATATCTCTCAGGGTCTCCCTCCAACCTTTGCTAACTATAGCATCTTACTTAGACACATTCTTTGCAGAGGCATATGAATTCAAATCCTAAACTCCCCCTTGTAAGCAGATATTACTTAACTGCTTGTTACAAATGAGTGTAATTTGGGCTTAAGGAACATGAAAACTAATTGCTGCTGCTGCTCCCCAGTCCTGCCATCTGAAGCAGGATGTTTGGCTGGCAAGAGGATGAGATGTGCCTGAGCAAACAGTTTTCTAACTTTAGCAGACTTTGTGTCTTTCTGCAGTGAAAGCATGCAGGTCTATGGTATCAAGAATTCCATGGTTAAGGCAGAAAAAATAAAACACACCAAGATCTGGACGTACTTTTAATACAGAAGAAAATACTACCTGCATTTGAACTTGCTCACAAAAGCAACAGTGATGCCTGGTTCTAACCTATCTTTCACAAATCCAAGACCTTTACTGTGCAGATAGCATGTGCATACTTGTGCCTCCCCAGACAGCCTGACAATGCCTTGCAGCTTGCCTCACCGAAGTTCTATATGTTAAGAAATGAAATCACAGAATGATTTCTTTCTCAAGTCTTGATTAAATCACTGAAAGTGTCAATGCAAGAGTCAGGTGACAAGTTTTGCACAAGCACGTGAGGGATGACTCCTTTTTAAGCAAGTCCTGCACCATGTAGTTCAAAGGACAGCTCGAAAAGTTTGTTGGAAGAAATTGGCAGTTTTACTGCCCATCAGGCTCAGTGAGTTTATATTCAAATGTTGTTTCTGAGAATGAATTAATTCCACAAACAATTGCTCCAGCCTGATGGAGTTAGAGTAATATAACACCTTAACATAAGAAAAGTAATTGTTCGCATTGCAATGAACTTCTGCAATATCAGGAGGTTTTGTTTTTTTTTTTTCAAACCTTATGTTTCATGGGTGATTTATTCCAAGACTTTCTCATTAAAATTTAATGTCCTAAGCCACAAATGTACCTCTTCCATGTTCATGTAAAATCACAGTGTGATACTACTTGGAAAATGCTTATTTTAGAAAACTAAACATATCAGTATTTTTTAGCAAGAAGGAACATCCTATCAGTGGTCACACAGGACAGGAAACAGGAGACTGTAGTTTCTGCTTTGCCTATTTCAAAGACTTAAGCCCCAAAATTGGCCCCCCCAACTGCAGGTCGTAAGCACTAAACCAGTCAGGGTGTCTGGGTGCACCTTTTTGGACCACTTATTTTAACAAGAAATTCTATACTGGAGTGGAAACATTTCCAGAAAAAAAATAAATTCATTGTGTGTGGTGTGAAAAAAACTAACAAACTGGTTTGGACTTTAATATACAAACGAAAAAAATTGCTGACAAGTCCTGATTAACCTTGGTAAAGATCCACTCATATTCCCCTTCAGACTAGACACTGAATACTTACATATGCAAAGAATATTTCAGTAATTTTAAATGTAACAGCCATTAAAATCATACCATTACATAAGTATGCATACCTACATGCACACACATGCTCAAAGATATTGTGTCTTAATAACTATATACATATGAGTTAGGAAAGAACACTGAACTTCTAAGAAACATTTAACTTCTTATTCACAGAAACAGGTAAGGCAGACTGTTGTAAGTAGCAGTCATTACCTGTCAGTCAAAAGTGTAAAAACTAGGCAAGGGGTATTTCCCAAGTACTCAAAAATGTACTGAAACTGAGCATCACTAATGCTGGCAAAACAGTGTTTCTGGACATCATCCCATCTATGGCGTAGCTATGACAACCAAGCAAAAGCTCTGAAACTGGTGACCTAAAAAGCCATTGTCGAGTCATGATGCCAGGTAGGAGCTATTCAGATGGAAGAAATGTCACCCATCAGAATGCTGTCACACATTCCTAGCCACTTAGGACCAATAACTACTACAACCAACCACAAAGGATTAGATGCACCCTGAGGCATTTGTGCTTTTATATAGATGCAAGTGTAATAGGAGATCATTTTAATAGAGCTATTACAGCAGTACACATTGTCACTTACTAAGTCAAGATCTCTCCTTACAAAAAATGCAGTCTTTGCCTGGTAGCAGACATTACTTTGACCAGAATGAGTTTCATTTTACTCCTCAAGCCTTGTTTCTTCTTATCTTAATGCTGTCTTAGAAAAGCATTTTATTTCTGAAGTTCAGGAGGTCAGAAGGAAAATGAGAATTCTTTCCTATTTCAATTCCCATCCAGTGAAACGTTTTGTTCATTCAAACCAACAGCATATGCCAGTCACCCTAGGTTTACCTGAACAAAGTTACACATAGAGTGAGCACTTTGGTTTAAATAAACACTGAAAGTTTCAACTATATGCACTTATAAAGAGTCACCATAGGAGAGGAGTGACTTGCTCTAGAGATGCATGTGTGCCTTTAAAAGGAGAGCAAAACACACTGTGAATTACTGAAGGTAGAATAAACTGTGCATGCAAAATATAGATGATTAAAATACACATCTTCTGAGCTCAAAGGCTTGCTAATATATCTCTGGCATGAATGTCTACATTGCAAATGGGTATGATTTTTTGATGATCATCCAAGGAAAGTTCTCAAAGCAGCATGGTAATAACAGCATTTCTCCACGTGACCTGAAAGATTTAGATAACCATCTAAAACCTCAGACGGACCTCAGCAACATCTACCATTATTGCTACTAGAAATTAGTTCTGCCTACATCATGAACTAGATCACCACGAAAACTGGCTCATATGTACAAATTTGTTGGTATTAAACCTGAGATGCCAGAAGAAATCCTGGTTAAAACAGACATTTGAACCACCCCTAAAACAATGACAATCCAGGTGAGCACAAATACTGCAAATGGTCAGCTAGGTAAGGTAGGAGGAATGGATGGATAAGATGATGTGCATGAAGTTGAATTGTAAATTCTGTGGTTATAATCTCCATAGACATATGCACTAGACTCTGCAAAAATTGTACTAATTGCATGAGAACATTTATTGGCAAACTAAAAATAGCTTTTAGGAAAGATCAGTGACTTACATTTTAAAATAGGCAATGCAATAAGGGGATGATCACAAAATATGACATAAATTACTATACAGGATTACATAGCAGGAAGTGACTATGGAATTATTCAGGTTTCATATTAATAAGAGAAAAAACACATACACAGCTACTGCATATAATTCTAAGGAGGAAAATATAACTAACTTCAATAGAAAGATATAGTATCTTTGCTATTATAGGGAAACTTTAGTCAACTCTGTCAGATATCTATCACCCTTTTAAAGTCTCTTTCTTATTTTGCATTTCCCTTCAGCAGATATTCTACGTTGAAAAGCAAAACCAAAACTACTGAAAGTTTTTGCAAAGAGAAAGTGTACTCACAGCAGGACAGAAACATTCAGGAGAAGTTGGAGTTAAACAAGAGCAAAGCAAAAATCAAACGGCAGAAGGCACCCTTCTGAAATGGGACTAAAACTAATCTTAGAAGTTAACTGGTTGGTTTGACAAAAATAAACCCAACAGCTTTGGCTTCTTTACACAAATATATGGGCTTAATATTTGTATGCATAATGGCTGCATACTCTGTTCTTAGCACAATATAATGGTTGATGTTGGGCAGTATCCTTGCTTACCTTTCATCTCATTTTGGAATAATACCGCAAAAGATCTGGGATAATTAATTAAAATGTGATAAAAATGATCGTGAGGTAGCAAAAATGGAAGTAAATGCTATGTGTCTTTTTCCAGTAGGTGCTAATAGCAGTTTATTTACTATGGTATTAAAATTATCCAATATGCCACTCATATCTTTTCATGGGACCATTTTCGCACTGTACTTATTTTCTCTGAATTAAAGAAAAAGAAGATATCCCTTCTTGCTTCTTGTGGCAATCCTTGGGGGCTGAAGCTAAGCCCTCGTCCACCCTACCAAATGCCACTTCTGCATCTGAAACCTAACAGATTTATAAAGCAGTGAGTTCAGTCTGGTCTGAGTAGTAAAAACTTACTGTTCTCTCTGCTTCTCTTCATAGGCCAGTGTTGCCTCCATGATGCAGAGACTTTCTGGTTTGTGTGCAGTTTTCTCAAGGTGTTGCAACCAAGACTCTACTTTTGAAGTAAAAAACCCAAGCATGCATAAATTTATGCACATAACATAAATGGTACATTTGACACTAAAAATAAAGGAAGAAAATCTCATTAATCTTTACAAAGGATTTTCTTTACATTAAAAGTTTTTACTAACTTGAAACAAAAGTGGACTTTTCCCCTCCATTTTCTGTGTTATTGCCTCTGCATTAGGATTTAGATGAAATGATAGACACTGCTTTGTTTTACATATCCACTTGACTGGAACACCCAGACATAATGTCTTAGAGCTCCAAATATGAAAGTCTGAAGTTTTTGTGTTCACAGACACAGAGTAAGCCCAGACAATACAGTCTTTCCTATGTCTCTATGTACTCAAATGTAGCTGTATCTTGGAGAAACTATCTCTAAGAGGCAAGCTGCATATATTTGTCCATTCAGTCTGAGGCCTCCCTGCTGAGACAATCAATCATTAGAACCACAAGCAACATTGATTTTATGCAATGTGAATGCTTATGCATTCAGCACTGTTCTGAGAACAATAAGTTATTGTCTCAGAAGTTGCTGATCTGTTCTCTCTGACCTACCACTACACAGTTAGCACAAATACTGGCTGGCCAATTAGCAAATATAAGGCTCAAAACCAGCTGAAACCCTGTTCAGATGATAGGGGACGTGTGAGAGCACTGGAGGTCTGCAGAGGTGTGTGCTAAAGGATAAGACAGGAGGGTATCTGAAACTATATAAAAAAAGATGAAATAAAAAGGGCAGAAGAGAGGAAGTATGAGAAATGCAACATTTAACCATAATCTTGATCAGTTCTGTGACTTTTAGTACCTTTTTTTTCTTTTTCATTGCATCAAAACAGTAAGCTCTCTACACTTTTAAAAAACACCTTATGTACAAGAGGCAGATAGACAATGTATTAAATTATTAGTAAATCACACAGCTTTGGGTAACAAAATGTTCTGGTTTTATTATTATTTGTTTATTTATCATTATTTTTTCAAAATTTACGTTTTTAAAAGTAGCATTCCAAAGAGGGCAAAATCCATGAAGGAGGTTCACATAATTCAGCATACCTGACTACTGGCTCCACATTTGTCATGAAACAGAATACACTCCTTTTATGTGCCCAAGGGCAGCATTTGTAGATTCCTCTGTATTCTCTTGAAATATATGATCAGCAACTCTGCCAGAAAGTATGGTAACATGATGGGCTACCCACACCCAAAAATAGCAGATGTATAAGGAAACAATTTACCTTAGGTTTGTGTCAATCATACTAATGCATACTTCTGTTAAACTGGATGACTATCTGAGTGTTGCATGATTACTACACACAAGGTTTTTATGGGAAAAACTGGAGCAAAATGGTCACAGATAAATCAGTGAATGGAGTAAATGGAGTTAATCTCTTCTGACTTTCAGTTGTCAGAACAGTCTGAAGGACAAAGATATCTCAATATAAAACCGAGAAGTCTTGAAATTGTTATTAATTATGGCTAGTGCTTATATCACAAATTACCTATTGAGGTCGAAATGCCTTGTGCAACTAGATATCTCCCCAAAGATCGTGGAATTTGAAGATCACTGTCTATACACCAGCATACTCTATGCCTGACAACTAGAACAGAAGGTTTGTTTGGTTGCTTTTATATGTGGACGAAACAAATCACTGAGATTTAGTTACATGAAGAATCTATGAGAGTCTGCCATCATGTTTGAAAAGGCTCCGTGTTTGAGCCTCACAAGTCCTTCATCCTCTTGGAAAGTATCAGTTCTTCTGTTATATGTCACAGCCCTTCAAAAAAAGGCTTAGCCCGAGGCACACTAAAAACTGTAGCATTGAGAATTGATGGCTGTGGCTGGATAGTAACTGAGGCCAGGAGTATCACCTGGCATGTAGATAACATAGTATGAAGCTCCTGAAATACATCAAAGTGCCTGTGCTTTTATATAAATTGTTCTCAAAGCGTCACAAAACCCAGCAGATTGTTGTTCACAGGAGGAACACAGAAGGATGGTTACAAAAACATTCCTCGTACAATAGTCAACAGCCTAACAGATACCATAGATCTTTCAGTCTTACTTATCATCACTACACATAGCATGCCTGAAATTTGATCAATCTATGCTAGAAGGAGAACAGATTTGATGATCTCACTGACCTTTTCCATTTCTAATTCCTGCAAACCTACAATCCAAAAATCCAAATAAATGCAACTTTTACTGGATAAATTTCCAGCAAAGACAGCCCAGGACCTGTAACACGTCTCTCATTTCTCTTTGCTGAATACCTTCTACTTGTCCTAGCTGGGAGAAAAAATGTTTACTACCTTCCTTAGGCAAAGTGTTCCTGTTTGCAAAGTAAATTAATGCTCAGAAACAAAGGTGCAGTTCTATGATACTGTCACCTCATGCAGTTAGCTGGACAACTTGCCTTTCTGTAGACAAAATGAAGTAAATTCATACACAAAGAGGCTCACCTGTTTTGACTGTGTTCCTTTTGAAAGGATGTCTAGCAAGTCTGCTGAAAAAACAAAACATAAGAAAGGAAATGACACACTTGGTTTCTTCATAGGCAGACAAAGCTTTTTCACAAAGAGAAAGTCTGAAAATATGACAGAGATTTTAACCACACATTCCTTTTATCATCCTAAAGCTAAAAATTCCCTCCCAGTTAGGGTAAAAATCAGACCAAACGGTATAACAGAACAACACATTCCATTTTTAATTTAAAGTTACAACAACGAACACAGCTATAAGGAACAGAGAAGGTGGCAAACCTTATATGTTTCCTTTCCAGAAAATGAAAGGGAACATCATCTTGTAATAATTAAGACCAAGGAAGCCAAGAGAGGGGAATTTTGCCAGAAAAGTTCCTAAAAAGGTAAGTCTAGCTAGGGGCAAAATCCTCTTTGACCTTCCGAAGAGTCCAGCCTCAGCAAGTAAGGAACAAGAAAAAATGTTCCTACTCAACAGGGCAGTTAGGTGCAGATAAATGAAAAAAAAACCCAGACCCAACAAAACAAAACAACAAAGAAAGCAGCAGAAAAGAACCAGTTGAATGTGAGTGCAAAGTAACCATTTTTTTCAGGATGCACATTTTATCTTTGATGTATGCATACATGTTCGTATTGACACAAAAAGTGAATAAATATACTTTTACAGTAAGACATGCTGCTGTCCACATCTTTAAACTGCAGATTTAAGTGACTAGAAATACATTTAAAATTTCAAACATAGAGCTTCCCTATAGAACATTGCCCACGATGAGAACTTTCCCTGGCATATGTGGATTGAATTACAGGTATATTGACAAAGCAAAATCTTTACTATTGAAGGGTTCAGTGACTTTTTTTGGTCAGAATGAACACTTAAGGTACAATGTTTTGTGTCAAGTTCAAATGTTAAGGTTGATTCCTGTACTTAACTTTGCCAACATTAAATAACAGACCATAAACTTGTATTTTAATCATCACTGTCCTAAATGACATGGAGTTCAGCAGAAGAGATTTCTGCAACTCAGAAGTATTATATCTCTATGTGATTCCAAGAGGTTAAAAAACTAATGAGTAAATAAAAGAAGATATTAAAGACATGCGAAGGAATGACCTCCAGAACTTTGTCTCAAATCATGTCACCAGCAACTGCCAGTCCATGCAAAAAGGAAAATAAGGCAAGTAATTACTTTGTTTTTAATAATAAAAATGCAAAATCCACTTCTGATATTCTCTCAAGTAAGCCTGAGACTCTCATAATAATGTTAATTCAGTGGGTTAGAAACAAGTCTTTGAAAGAAATACTCAAATTAACAGTCAATATGGTATTATTTAGGAAATATTCTAAAGAATTCAAATGCAAGATATAAATTAATAGAAACTAATAACTCTACTAACTTTGAAGTCTCTGTTGATCTCATCAAATTTGTTTGCATCTTCAAGGCAGATAGCTTCTGATGTTTTCAGAGCCAGTGAATATACTTTCTAGAAAAGATCATGTGCGTTGAACTTCCATCCAAATGAAAATGACAGAATCTGCCATGTTTACTTTGCCAACCTTTCACTTGTTCAGTGAAATATACCACATATTTACTTTTCAGAATTATTTGCAGCTGAAACTAGAAAAATAAAAAAAAAACCCAGAAAAAACTGCACAAATCAAAATAATTTATCGAACAGAAGAACTAGAGATAGCAAGAGCTTAACAAATTCTCCAGTAACTGTTATTGTATATCACAGCATAAGACATCTTCAAAAAATGAAAATGCACAGCATATTATTAAAGGATTAAAAAAAAAATAGAAGAAAATACAAGCTTAGAAAGCTGTGATTTTGTTTAACTCCTACATGGAGACAGTAATTTTTTTTTAACACATGCAGTTACATAGTATATATGTAAATTCTCACTACTAACACCTGAAGAAAATATAACTCTCTGCAATAATGATTCAGGAAAAAAGTTTTAAATAAAAGTATAAAGAAGGGAGTGAGTAATATTGATACACTAATGGTATTGCTATTAATTGAATTCTTGATTGTTATCTAAATTTTCAAGTAGCTGTTCATCTGACTTCAATAAAGGAGTTTATTTCCTCTGATGCTCTTCATAAGAAAATTCAACGGCTGTCCATGTTTGGCAGATTTCTGCCAAAATCTGGGAATAAGAAAAGTAATAATAACATCTGTCTCTCTCTATACATATCACATTTCATATTTTGAGTTGGTAACTTTAATTAAATTATATTTAATTCACAGTGATGGTAAACTACACCAGACAAGAAGTTCATTTCTTTAGGCTGTGAATTTTGATCCCTAGGTAAGTCATATGAAAATATTCACTTCTATCATTAACTGCTTGGAAAAAACCTAATCAGACAAATAGTTTGTTACATACTATTCTGCAAATAATAGAAGGAAAAAATGGGATTCTTTTTGAGAAACTGAAATAACTTTTTTTTTTTGGTTCATAGAACCTTCTTTGGTTTTCCATCTATGTGATCAACAACTGGGTTAAATGTATACATTGCTTCCCTTCTGGCACCCCTCATTTTTTTCTTTTTCTTTTTTTCTTTTCTATCTGCTGTCAGGTCAACAGGCTCCCTGTGAACTCATTCTATGCACCATGTCCTGGACTGCAGCAAAAGCAGAGTGGCCAGCAGGTCGAGAAGTGATTCTCCACCTCTCCTCTGCTCTTGTGAAACTCTTCCTGGAATTATGTGTCCTGCTCTGGTGGCCCCAACATAAGAATGATGTGCACTTTTTGGAGTGAGTCCAGAGACGAGCCATGAAGATGATCAGAGGGCGAGAGAGTTGGAGTTGTTCTGGCTCAAGAGAAGGCTCCAAGAACACCTCATAGCACCTTCCAGTGCCTAAAAAGGGCCTAGAAAAAGAAAGCATGTGCAGATATGTGTGAAAGTTGTAGTTAGCACAAGACTAAGGAAGATTTTATTTGGCTTATCGGTTTATGTGGCAGGTAAGTCAAAGAACAGAAATATACTTTCCAGTATGTCATTTAAAGTAATGGAACTGTATTTACACCATATTTACATAGTGATTTTATTATTCCAGTTGGATCAGAGCCTTTTAGTTTAACATAGCCCTGATAATTTAAGTATAGTTTTCTTATTAATTATTTAGCTGCAGATAAAATTATACATAAATTAATACATTTCAAACCACTGCTCAGAGGAGTAAGGGAGACTCATATACCCACTGGAGCATGATGAGCATGACATAAGTGATCAGCTCACAGGCAGTGAACAGCATCTTTTGTGTTCCAAGACCTGGCATATGTGCCACAGGGAATGATGCAAAAGCAGAAGGAGAATGCAGTTATCTCAATCCTCTCCTTGCTTTTACCACACCTATCACAGCATGACAACCCCCAGTATCAGAACTGGCTAGGCAGAGTCCACAATTCTGAAGCAATAAAAGCCAAGACATCTACCATGAAGCCTGATTTTTCTCTTAAAGCACTAATAATTGGGCATGTAATTAAGCTTATTCATTCCTAAATGAAACAAATGTGTAAAGAAGAAACTTTATACCCATTAGGTTCAAGACTTTATACTCAACTACTATACTGTCTGTGAACCACAGTTATTCCTCTAGTGTCCTGCAAATAGTCTGGGGGGCCTTTGTTGTTATTTTTGCTTCATACTTCCCTTGTCCCATGAGAACTGTCTTCTGCAGGGCTGCTGTCAACAAAGCATTGCAAATACTTAAAGCAAAGAAAGTGTCCTCCCTTTAAAAATTAGTACCTTTCCTGCAGCTCCCAAGACTCTGGAGCTATGTCTGTGAGCTGAGCAGATAAATCTCTGCAAATTCCACTTGTCTCTAAAAATGACTGTCAACAGGTGAGGTCTGTCATAAACCCCCAACCTCTTTATTCTTTCACGTACTACCTCAGCTCAGAGAAGTGACAGTGTGGTTTTATCATGTACCTCCACAGGAAGTGGAAACTCATTCAGAAGAACAAAGTTTTAGAGGAAAACCCCCAAAACAAAGCATGTTCCAGAAAATTCAGTTTTGGACATGAGTAATAAATCCATTGCAACATCAAAGTGGGTGGGAAGAATGAGAAAGGAGTGGCACTGAGACAGATAAATTGTTGAAATAGACAGCTATGGAACCTGCCTTGGCAAACCTTCTGAGCTGCACATCCATCTGTTCCACATTAATCTCTCTCCACTGAGTTTTAGTCCAATCATCAATGCTGCTCTGAAACAGAAAGTACAGATAACAGCGTCAACAACATTTGGTAAAGAAGAGCTTCTGGTACATAACAGATAAAACTGATGCAGGGGAAAGCCCATCACACAGCAATAGCTCCTGGACCTTAATTTTTTTCCAAACCTATACCATCACTACCTAGAAAGCACATATAATAATCCATCTTCTGAAAATTCAAACCAAAAGCCAAGTATTTTACCAGTTTCACGCTTTCCTCAGTATCTGATACTATATTTTTAACCTTGTCTATGAAAAGCAATTTGTTGAGGGAAACAGAACTTTATAGACTGATTTCCCATACAGTTTTGTACACTGAATTTTCTGGACTCCTGCTTCTAACTTTGTAGGGCTTTCCAATGTACAGTCCTCAGTTCTGAAGTGGAATTTTCTGGATTTCTGAATTTTTACTCAGTTGTTTTAATCATGCAAGCAAGTTATTGGTATTAAGGAATCTCTAAATGAAAATACAAAGTTTGTTTTGTTTTAGGAATATCTTGAAATTGATTGACTTGAGAACAGATACTTTTACTCTGGATATCCTAAAACATAGTAACTATTATTTCAAAACAAAAGGAATATTAAAATCGTCTGCATTTTAAACTTGTTTTTTTAATCAAAACTGTAACACTTCTAAGATCAAATTAAAAGTATAATATTAGAATATATTCTAAATTTGTAAATAATTTGAAGAAAAATATTAATATCAACACAAAAATCTTCTATTAATATCATCGTGAATATCTCAAACTTTCTTGAGTGACTGCACTTTTCAACATGGTTTCATGTGCTTGTAGCCTGGAATAGTTACTTCAAATAGTTTTGCAGGTAGATTCCTGCATTAGTAACATTTCTCTTTCCAGTATCTCAAGCTCTTGATTTGCCTCAAAGAGGCAAAGAGCTCTCAAAATACAGTTGTAGAGTACATTGAGTTTAGGTAAACCTGTCAGTGAAATCTATAGATCCTGTATATATGATTCAATAAGAAAAGCTGAGAGAATTATTGCATAGAGGTTATAAAAAGCTGTATTTGCACTGCCTCTGAAAGCTCCCAAAAACATACAAAGGACTTTGTATTTGAAGCATAAAAGAAAAACTGCATAGAAAGCAGTTAATTTATACTCTTGTAATAAATCTCTGAACTTATTAAACTACTTCTTAAAGTTGTATAAATGTTTACAAAGTCCCTTCATGCTGTTTTAAAAAAGATCCACTAAATAGTTGACTTTAGGCTACTGTATTCAAGAGTACATTATGCTGACTGTTTAAAGGAACATGAGAAAGTATTCTGACTCTTTAAAATTTTAGGAAGCACATGGAATATGAGAAGAGAAACAAGAAACCTGAATTTGGTGGCATTAGAATTATACCAGTTTCTTGAAAAAAATCCCCAAACCAACCAACCAACAAACAAAAAACCCCCATAAAACAGTAAACCAAAAAACCCCTCCAAAACAAACAACTCCCCGAATCCCTGCTATCCCCCCAAAAAAACCCACACAAACCACAAATATTTTAATGTGTACATTGAAATATCATTAAATATCATACCGAAAGATTACAAGCAAATATGTTTTTCTGAGATTACTCATCACCTTATTGAGATGAGCATACGGATTTTCTACATCAAACTCAAAGGGAACTTCCATTTTAAATCTTTCTCTGAATTCCATCTGCTTCCTCGATGAAGCACAGATAATGACACTTGTCACTAAACATGTTCTTATTTAAAAAAAATGAGATAAAAAAGACTGATCGCACAATTCAATGTACATCAAGTAAAGTGCATTTTCTTCTGATTAACTGCAACATCAGGTGCCTGAAGAGGAGTTACTTTCTACTTGGCCGACACAGCTCTCTTCCGAAGGATATTCAATTCTTCAGGTAATTCCTATTTAACAGAGTAACATTTTCTTAAAGCAAAAAATACCACACATGACAGAAATATATCAGTAAAATCTGTATATTAACAGTAAGGATAGTCCAATACGTGTTTATGAATAAGAAATGACAGTGGATAAATTATTTAACCGCAAGTATACTCTATGCCATAGCTTGTACCATAGCTTTGTCAACTGTAAGAGAATTGATTTTATGGATCATTGGTAATTATAAACTACTTGAACTTGATGAACATAGTTATTTTATGTATAACCACATAAAATTTCATTTAAATTATCTTCCACACTGTAAAACAGAGAGCTCTACTCCTTCTGCTTTGACACATTTTCAAGTATATAAAGATGACCTGGAAATACCTTTCTCATTCTCCCCAGGATGTCTTGAAAAAACATTCAGTAAGCCATGTGAAAAAAATTCCAATAGGATGAAAAAAATACCTTGACAGGTGGTTTTTGTTCATATGAAAAATACAAGAAAGAGAAGCTGGAATCTAAATCACTTCAGATTAAGTAGAAAACCAGTTTAACGAACATGTCAAAAATCCTACCAAAAAATACTAGACCAGATCAACTCAGAAACAGAAATTCCACTGTGGACAGGAAGCTCACTGAAACTGGGGAGGAGTTATAATTTTGACTAATTAAATTATTTGATGAAAAACATTAATTTAATTGCTATCCAATTGATTCTACCCAATTCTATTTAACAGTATTTACAGTGTAGTGTATCTCCCAAAACAGACCAAATAAGGGTCTCTCATATGCAGGTGCTACTCTGGAAGCCATAGCTTAAAAAGCTCTTCTTTTAGTGCCAGTAGAAACCACTACAGCTATAGCTCTTTCCCACCTATTCTTACCACTGAGTTTTGCTTAATTCATGTAATTCCCTCAAATTTTGCTTGGCAGTCAAAATAATTATAACTGGAATGGGTGTGGGACAGAATATATAGAGAAACAAGTGACTAAGGATGTCTGTAAGAGCACCACATGACAACGATCAAATCCTACCTTTTGTATTTATATATGAACAGAGTCCCAAACTACTGATAACCGTGTTATGGATGGCAAAGCAACATAGGAAATACACTCACTGGAGTTCCTCCTATATGGTTCAGGTTCTAGAAGGACGCTTATCAATGTGAACATGATTTGGTCATTATTAAGAAAAGAAAATAGCAAAAAATAACTGTGGACCTCATCCGAACAAAATGTAGCATCTCTTTTTGAACTGATTTTCCATCATTCACATAAAACAAGTTTTTAAAAAACAAAAGAAAAACTACCTGGTTTTATTGCTGGCAGTTGAGAGGAAACAAGGAGAATGGAATTATTTACCTCCCTGAGAATAAATGCTGCTATTACAGGATCATATACACATAGGTAAATATGAAATACTATTTTTGCTACAGTACCTCCAACTGGGCACAAATGTCACCTGTCATCTTCTGTCCACAGCTTTCTAGTAGTGCAGCCATCTCTTTTAAAGGTTCAAAGAGTTTGTCAGCAGTTGTCTGACTCTCTTTCATAGCCAGGAGATGGCCCATGATTGCTACCAGCACACAATAATCTCTCTTGGTCACCTCTCTTTGGAGTCCAGCATCTGTCACTTTTATAAATTCTTCTAATTCAGTTAGATTACCAAAGAGAGACAGGTAAGATGACAGAGAAAACTTTCCTTACTGTGGTGAATAAGAAGGTAGTAAGCCCTACTTACACTGTTATACAAAATAAAAATAGTTATTTATAAAATAAAACAAATATAGTTTTACTAAATCATTTTAAGACTGTCTGGGTCCGATTTCCAGAGGTGGCAAGTGCTACAATGGAGAATTAACCCTACAGGATATGCACGTACAATATCTGGAAAACAGAAAAAAAAAACAACCCAAAAGACTGAAAAAAACCCCACTAAAAATAAAATTTAAAATCTGCAAACCCAGCTCATTAAGGGACTACATGTAAAAAGTCCCCAAGCTTATAGTTAGTCCTTTTGTGCATTTAAAGATGCATGCACATACACACTCCATTTTACCCAACTGAAAAATCTCAGCAGATGCTCCTTAAACCACCCACCCAGCTCCATTTCTTAATAATGTTTAGCAAGCTTGTTTTGAAAGGCTTTGTATCCACTTTAAACTAACTGTCAAAAATTTTGAGTCCGCAGAGTTAGTTATCTGAAAATAAAGGTTTTCACAGGTGTCAATCTAGAGCAGAAGAGAGAGAAATAAATACCTATACTTCTCCATCCCTGCCCCCGACCCCCCACTAAATAGCCAGTTACTAAGACTAATTGCTTTATCGTCTACTCTTTAAAAACTTTAATAGTGTGAGGCTGCTGAGAGACTTTGTCAGCAAGAGGTACCTTTGTGGATGCTAAACCATGACCACAGAGAAGGAATTGCTTCATGAACTCAGACCGGTTCTCCAGCCAGAGAGATGCATGGCCAACAAGAGATCTTCTGTATCCCAGGACTTTGTTGGTAACATTTGCCACTCTATCCATTATTGCCTGCCTGATTTCAGACAGATCAAACATGTTGTCCATATCATTTTAGGCATCGAACAAAAATTTCGTTATTTCAGTGAGACAGTAATACCAATTGGTCAAATTTACATGCAGATGAAAGACCGGAATTCCATCCCTTTTCCCCAGAGATCTATTAACAGAAGAACTGTCGTTCACTCGTCTGTTCCTATTTTGGGTTTATATTTCGTTACATGAACATAAAGTTAACTGAATCCTTTGCAAGTTATTCAAACCTGAACTTTACATGGACTACATATAATTCTCACTGCCAGTTTAATGGATGGTCCCTTACTTGTCTAAGAGATTAGGTTTCCACTATGTGCAGATTTAGACACTTGGCCCCAAGGTGGAAGCACAGGAACCAAGAGATAAATATTCAGCTAATCTCAAATAGCATTAGAATTAGAACCAAGCACTGAAACAGGCTGCCCAGGGAAGTGGTGGAGTCACCATCTCTGGAGGTATTTAAAAGGTGTGTAGATGTGGTACTTGGGGACATGGCTTAGTGGTGGACTTGGCAGTGCAGGGTTAGTCCTTGGACTTGATGGTCTTTTCCAAGCTAAATGATTCTACAGTTCTCTGTTGGACTTCATGGTCTTAGAGGTCTTTTCCAACCTGAATGATTGTATGAGTCTACGAAAATAACTAAGAACTTGAGCTATTAAGATTTATTCATACCCTAGAACATTACTGTCATTTTTTGAATATGAAGTCAAAGACAAACATCAGCTACAGATTTAGTTGCAATTTTAAGTACATAACTTTGGATCAAAATTCACAGTCAGGAGGCTGTTTTGAGGATTAGGCTTAATTAGATTTTGGTCTAAATTAAACCAACACATTTCATCCACCTCAACAGTCTGTTTACAGTAGGTCTGATCTTTGTATTGGTCAAGGGATTTCAACTCCTCCATATATTTCTGTGAAATAAAGGTTTCTGGACTTTCTAAGAATCAGCAAGGAAAAAAACCCATACCTAATCATTTTTTTTCTTTTACTGATAGCAACTTATGAACAAATTCTTGTGAAAAGTTTTAGCTGCCCATATTTTTCATTTTTAGATGAAGTTCTGTGTATGCTGTCCATTTTTAAGCTATCCATAGCTTTACATAGTTGAAACAGAGTGCAAAAGATGCATAAAGCAAGAAGTGAGAACACTAGACAAAATTAAAACTTGGGGGAAAAAGATGGTCATGTCCCCCTTGCATGTTATTAGCTATGTCAGTTTTCAACAGTTGGAACTGTTATTACTCAATAATTTAATTTACGTGTGTCTAAACCTCTCACAGGAATTTCCATCCTTTGTGCTCCCACCTAAAAGCATGTTTGCTGAAGGATCAGGACAAGAGGAAGGGACGGGGCATAATTTTCAAATAACTTGGATGACGAGGTCCCCCATAAGTATCTTTGAAGGTCTTGACCCTATAGAGCAATAATACTGTTTATGTAGTCCCATGAAAAGTCGGACCAAAACGCCTGTATTCGTTCCTCCAGTTCTTTAGACCTTTTAAGGTTTCCCATAGTAAATGGTATACTTTTGTTAATTATTTAATTCTCTCCCCCCACTTATTAGAATAGAAATTAAGCCATGATGAACCTACAAGAAAATAATATTTTAATTTTGCAATGTTCAATATCTTTTTAATGTGTTCATCATATACACATCTGCAGTTATCCAGTTTTTCACCAAATATTTTCAGTGAAATACTGCAATTTGGGCTAAATATCTCCACAATGACAGGTTTTTTTAGAAAGCTTCCAAGACGGTTAAAAGTTTGAAAAGAAAATAAAAAAACACCCAAACAGCAAAGTAAGCATTGGAGTTCTCTTTCTGTAACTCTTAACTTGAAATCTCATCCAAAATGTTTCTGAAGTACAAGGATTGGAACCATACCAAGCTATACTGTTGGCATGTGTCACGTGCTAATCAACAGACCACATATTTTCAAATACGCTCTTAAATTGTGCACAACAGATGAATTTTAGAATGCTAAAGAATGACAGATTAGCTCAGATACTAGGAAGTATGGAACGAGGCTTTCCAGATCCAGGCATATACCCCACACTCTAGATACTTTCGAAATCACAGAATAGTTTAAGTTGGAAGGGACCCACAAGGATCAGAGTCCAATTCTTATGTGAAATCCTATCCTGCATTTTTCTAACTTGTGTGTTTTCTCACTTTTTTCCCAGATATATCCTCTCTCATAAGTCACTATCTTCTTCCCCTTTAAGCCTCATACAAATTCAAAGTCTTAAGTGTAAGTTAATGTTTTCTGGAGGAAGAAAAAGCCTACTGCTGTAAAAGATTACAAAAATAGTGGCAAGTAGAAATTATTTCTCTAAGGATAAGTTGCCTTCCATTCTCACTGTCATGTTTAAAGTTAAGATAAGTTGTCTGCCTTTTGAAAGAGTAGATGTAATCAATGAGAAAATAAGTTTGGAAAGAAACAGGGTAAACATGAAATGCAAGACACTCATTTGATTGCTAACAATGCCAAAAGTGGCAACCTAAGGAAAATTAATTTACTCAAAATTAGTAGCTAAATATTCATTATTACTACCACAATTAATTTGCAATACTTTACCACAGTTAGAGTGTGATGTATACACTGTCTTAAAAATGTGTGTCTAAAAGGGAATTCAAGTGTAATTATTTCACCTCCTTGCCCCAAGATGAGGTTTGCTATACCTATGCCGTCTGCAAGAGAGGTTTTTCTAGCCCTCCCTGAAAGGGATTTTTCAGTAATGAAGTGCCTGTCACCTCCCTTAGAAATCTGTTCCAGCAATTCATTATGCTTGGCATAAAGTGGTTTTCCCAGTCACCAGACTTGAACTTTATGCACTTTAAATTAAGTTCATTATGTTCTGGATGTAGAGAATAGACTATTTCCTTCCTGTATGCAGAAGTCTTTCATGTATTTGAAGATTTATGCCTGTTCTCTCTTTTCCTCTTCAACCCCAATGACTATCAACAGATCCTCTTTCCTGAAGTGCAATGTTTATACTCAGCACAATACTCCACTAGAGGCCTCATCAAGGGTGACTGAAATGTGAGATTTCTCCTTATGCCTTTCAGGACAACCACTCATTTGAACATTTACATACTTACCTCTTTCTGAAAAGCACGACTTCATTTACTCATGGTCTACATATGACAACTCCTAAATCATATTTTGAAGAACTGTTTTTAATAAGTTATTTCCTATCTTACATTTTAATTATTCCTCTTTTAGAATAAAACATACCATTGTAGAAAAATGTTTCAACTACCCAGGCTAACTATATGCTACACTGGATGAGAGTCTGGACATATCCGACATCCATGGGTACTTTGTGCCTCATGCAGACAAGAGTTGAAAATCTCTGTTTCTTTGAATTACATTTTAGATCTGGCCTCAGTTATGAGTTAACTTCTGGAAAGAACCTGTATTGTTCAGATCATCATTAAAGCGAGCATAGAATCACAGAACAGTTTGATTCCCAGCTGAAATACTGTAAATCAGTATTCCAAGGCATTCAATTCACAAATAGCTTAACTAAAGTATAATTTAAGCAATGCATAAAACTGTTCTCCTAATAATAAATTAACAGTTTCAAGTGTATGTGTGCTGACTTTGAACATGAATTCTAAACTAGAACAGTTAAGAAATCCTACACAAAGAACCAAGGCAAAACATCTGCCAAGATCCAGGATTTTGACTTTAAATTCAGTATAACTTTCCAAACTCCTGTAATGTTAGGGAAAAAAAAAAAGTATAAAATGCATGTCTTTACAATGGGAGGAAAATCTATTAGGTGGCACATGTTAGTGCTATACACATAGCTCACCTCTGCCACTGAACAAACTTCTGAGATTTTTCAGTACTATTTTAACCAATGAGCAATGATCAATGTTATTAAAAGTGATACTCGGGTTTTGGAGTATCACTCGGGAACTGAAGTCTTGGTTTAGCAATACAGATTAATTTTAAATAACAGTGTAAGATATATATGTGTGTATTAGTGACACCTTTTGCGTGCTGCGCTCAGATGGCAGCTGTGCCATGCCGCGCTAGAGTTCAAGACTCAGCAATTCAATACATTACACAGCAACTGGTGAAGAATGAATTGAATATTGCCCCTACTTTGGGAGAAACTCTTAAGGCCATACAGCAGGTATGGTAGCTGGGGTTGATGGAATTCCACCTGAAATCTGGAAATATGGGGGCCAAGCACTCCATGCTAAATTTCACGAGTTTGTGGTGTGCTGTTGGGAACTAGGTGAACTCCCATCAGATCTACATGGTGCAGACATCATCACCTTCTATAAGAAGAAAGGAGATAAATCAGACTGTTCAAATTACTGAGGTATTACTTTGCTCTCCATTGCTGGCAAAATCCTGGTAAGAATACTTTTGAACAGACTAATACCCGCTATAGCAGAAGGAATTCTACCTGAAAGCCAATGTGGTTTCAGAGCCAACAGGAGCACCACAGACATGGTATTCGTTCTCAGACAACTGCAAGAGAAGTGTAGGGCACAGAACAAAGGACTCTATGTAACCTTTGTTGAGGACTCTATGTAACCTTTGTTGATCTCACCAAGGTTTTCGATACTGTGAGCAGAAAAGGTCTGTGGCAGATTTTGGAATGTTTAGGATGTCCCCCCAAGTTCCTTAAAATGATCATCTTACTTCATGAGGATCAGCACGGCCAAGTCAGATTATGTGACTAATATGTCTGTTCTAGAACAAGCAGCAATCACAAATATTGAGGCCATGTTGCTGAGAACACAGCTGCGCTGGGCAGGGCACGTTTCCAGGATGAAGGACCACTGCCTCCCTAAGATCTTGCTGTATGGTGAACTTGCCACTGGCTGCCGCAAGAGAGGAGCCCCGAAGAGGAGATACAAGGACTCCCTGAAACAACATCTCAGCCTTGGCCATACTGATCTTCATCACTGGTCTACTCTGGTCTCCAATCGGGAGGTCTGGAGACACACTATCTATAACGCTGCTGATGCCTTTGAGAACACACTCAGG